CTACATGGGAGATATTTAAGAAAAAAAATATAAGGAAACTAAATAAGACCAATGAATGATATTTTTTTTTTTTTTATTTTAAAATTCTGTCTGTGTGTAATGTACACACAGCAGAATTAAAAAAAAAATATGTTACGGCTTCACGCAAATACTGCACTAAATTGGATGCTATTTCCATAGTTCATAGAAATATATTTCCAAAGGTCCAACTTAAAATCTAGCAAGAATCTATGTTTTATCTTAATACACCATCTGATTAACAATTAAATTAAATTTACTTAAATTATTTATTATTTAATTAAATTTTCACGTACGATGTTACGGGCAAAAGCCACCCATGTTTTTTACAGTTACCCATGTTTATAGATTATTAAACCAGATAATAACTACCACAGAACAAACACTATAACTACTTCTTATAATTGTTGGTACGGGGCTTTGAATTGCCAATTTAAGAAACTCATTTATGTTTTTCGATGCCTAAATTCTCCGTAACATATAATATTTTATGTAACAAAAAAAAAAAACAAAATAGTTGCAGTGCAGCTTGTCTACATTGCCAACATTTATTTAAAAAAAAACCAAGTCGCGACGCTACAGTGATTTATGGATGTACTATCGTTGAGTTGGAGAGCGAGATCAATCTGGTGACCCAGTAACACGACACATGGACTGTCGACAGCCATTGTATGCTAACATATTGCAGTTTAATTGTTATCTACTTTGACAGAAACAGGAACACCTACACCTACTCATACGTGGGCTCTTACAACAATACCACTCGTAGCGTATCGTATGTATAATTAAAATAAACTATAAATTGTTTCAAATAATACCTATATAATAAAATTATACTTTCAAATCCATAAAATCAATGTCATTTTAAGAAATTCTTAATGTGCTAGTTAATTGGCGGTATTTTCAAATTTAGAACATTAATGAAACGATCAGGCCGCATCACTTCGAACAAAAAATCGTTTGAACAATATCTATGCAATGATTTTATTGAAATACCATGAATCATAACTTTACTGAAATTTATATGTCGGCTTTACTCACGTTTAAAATTCGGGGATGTCCGATTAGTTGCGAACTCAAAAGGAGCCCTTATTCATGAACGCGGTTCACGGCTCATGAGATTATTGAATGTAAAAATTTTATGCTACGTAGTATTTATAGCCGAAATGTCGATTATGATGGTAATATTTATATCATTTATGAAACCTATTGCTATCACTGTGTTGGAAAAAGGTATACTAGTTGCACAACACTATGAATATTCCATTATTTTATAATGTTGATTTTTGTAAGTGATTGCATAGATTAATTTTCCAGTTCGATATACATAAAGGCGTGTCAACTATTAAAATAACGCAATGATAGCTTGTTTTGTGCTTATGATTACTCACTTAGCTATTTATTTTTATCTAAAAATTAAAGTTAAAATATATATTTAATCCCCACTCATGTAGGTTACATACATCGAAATTTCAGATATTAAAGAATCTACTGATATTAGGTTATATCCCAGGAGATATCCGAGTTCCGAATCCGCCCGTTGGGCAATATACCTATCTTTTGGTTCCTAGATTTTCACCTGCGCTGTACTAAGGTAGGTAATATTACGCTCCGAATTTCTTCGTTCCTTCAATATTACATGAACTAACTCGCCGAGACTTTTCTGAAATATTAAAAAGTAAATTGAAATCCTGACGAGAGGAGGTGCTGTGATTTTATAAGAGGATATTGAAAGTTCATTTATTATAACTTTGGTTCAAGAGTTAATACTTTTAATCGGCAAAATTGGCAATAACACAATACCAGCATGTTGGGTGTATCCCAAGACACTTGATTTGAAAGAGTTATAAAAGCAATTCCTTGTACTTATCTTAGAATAACTCTACTATAGAATAACTCTCTATATTTTAGAAATAATAGAATTTCATCGTGCCTCCGATCAAACTGTTTATAATTACTTCTCTCCATCAAAAGAATGCCTGGAAAAGAGATCGCTTTTAGCGATAAGGTCGCCCATTGTTTTCTCATTGTGATCATTTCTTGTAATTGTTTATATTTATAATAAGTTTACTATTGTAATCTTTTGGAGGAAACAATAAAGAGTATCTCTCTATCTATCTATATATAGAGTATTTAAAAAAAAAACCATAAATACTATAGTAATGTACGTACCCAGCACGGGATTAGAACGAAACATCGTAAAGACATGTCTGAGAGTACATTATGCGCTTATTTAAGGGTCCACCCTCCCTCCCACACCTCTACTTTGAAAAATAATTACGCCATTGTATGCGACTAAAATCATTGACATTTGCAGTGCAATAAAACGTAATCATGGTTGATTTTCCTATCTGTACAGGCACAGCGAAGCCATAAATAATAGATGCCGCAGTTATTTATAAGCCTTCGCATCATTTCAAGTGACCCGATGGCCTGTCAGTACTTGCACAGCAATCCTTCCTGACGTGATCATCCAGCCTTGTTAATTGTTGCGACGCTGGAAACGTATCTTGCATCGATATAACATCGATATCGATAACCGTTATTTTATGAACTAATTATCGATACGAGATATATTTCTGATATGATCACCGTTATTTTTTTTTTAACTGAATCATTAATCGATAATGAGATAAAATTGTAAATGTAATGTAGAGAATTATCTATATGGCAATTATTTTTGCCAATTCATATATATATATATAGATATTTACTTTTCGCTTACCATCAGGTGAGCAGCATGCTTATTTACCCCCTATGTTATATAAAAAAACAATACCAACTCATGCAGAAAAAAATGTCCTTTCTGAGTACTTATTACACTTGTACGGGTAGTGCCCTCTAGTGTCAAGATACTAGGCCGCCTTTTATATACATAACTACTACACAGTTACTAAACCTTCGAAAAGGGCTCAGGTGGAGGCCTCGGCAAGAACCACCACTTTGCCCCTACTTCAACACCGAAGGTGACTACTCCCAGGTCACTGGCTTCAATGTCTTTTGACGGGCATTATTGAGGAGTTACTAATGTGGGAAGCTGGATCCTTCTCTCCTTTCATCCTTGATTGATGTAGTAGTAGATATACATCCTCTAACGTGGCTTACGGTATGACGGTTCTACGCGTTTTCCAAAGTATGAAACAAGTGACAATTTATAAACCATCCCTCCGCATCATTTCAGATGACCCGATACCCTGTCATTACTTGCACGGAAATTCGCTATGACGTGATCATCGAACCCTATTAATTGTGGCGTCGTTGGAAATATATCTTGCGCCGATAAGCCATCAATATCGATAACAGTTATTTTATGAACTTCATCGTTAATCGATAGTGTGCCTCCCTATTTATTTTTAGCCTGGGATATATATTTTTATTTTTCCAATAAGAAAAGCCATGTGTGTGTTTAACATACATAAAAAAACAATGTACCTCTCTCTCTCTGCGTGCGTGGGTGCGTGCGTGCGTGCGTGTATGTGTGCACCTTGCTAGCTTCCTTAGGGATGGGCCAAATCTAACTTCATCCTCATCATTTTAGCCACCGTGAGCATAGGTGGGTGAACCATTGCATCCTTTATCCATATAAAAAATGAGTACAAATTCAAAAATATATACTCCTGATACCTAAGTACATTATTTTAATAACAATATAACAGCTATATCAATTACTACATCCCTAGAAATCTAATAAAATGAATATCTTGCATCTATAAGTCATCGGTGGTAGTAATTCATCTTTGATCGCAGCTAATAACCGTTATTCTATAACTGTTCCCCGCTGCTCTCTTGCACGGAACCCAGTATCTGTCATTCCGTTCGATCCCGGACACAGATATATTTACTAATTTATTTTATAATTATTAATCTTGAACTGTCCACATATTTCAATAAAAATACTAAGGTTTTTCTAAATATATCAGATATAAAAAAAAAGTATAAAATATTGTAGACGTTTCTCTAACAATTGTTCATACCGTTGATCGTTAATAATTCTTTATACACAAACAACATACTGTGTCGCCCATGATACCCTCCATGCGTTGCCATTTCTGAAGGTGTTATGCCTCTGTACACTATAATTTCATTGCTATATTCCACACTTCAAATCGAAATACAGCCATGCCAACAAATTGTACAGCCATGCCAGCAGTTGCTTCACAGCAGAAACACGAATGGGCAATGTAAAAATAAATAATTTCATATATTCCCTAAACCTTTTAGGTATTCTTTATATATAATACTGAATTATTCAAACTGCTGGTAACAGAATTATTGCTAAAAATACCTACTTTATGATGACGGTTAAATAGTAATAATGTACTGCCACCGAACAAAAACAGACAATAACAAAAAAAAAAGTTTCATTAAGAGGGATTAATCATACTTGCAAATGAGAGGAAATTTCTATCTATTCTTCTGGACTGTCGGCTAAAAAGGCCTTTTCATTAGGTAATGAATATGTTTTAATTTTGTTTTTAATTTTACTCTGTCTTATTACAGAAATAACTTAAAATTCTGCCTGTCTAAGTAGTATGTAACTAAACTCTAATGATTAAATGTTGTTTATTGGGTGTCATAATGTTTATTTGTAAGTTTATGTACGAAATTTTTTAGTTTACTTCAGTACTTAAATATTTATTAATTGAAACTTTATTTAAAATAACACAGACTTTCTTTTGTTTATACATAAATATATATTAGACACGCGTGTATCGTGGGATCCCGGTATAGAATGACACATTCATTCTTTTCCCGTGGGTGTCAACTAAGGGGATGGACAGCAGCGTCCTTGTTCATCACCAAAGTCTAACTATGGTTACCAACACTCCTGCCAAGCGTGGCAAATTCTGGCAAGCCCCTCCTTCATGGGGAAGCCCTATATTCAGCAATGGACAGTTAACGGTTGATAGAATATAATGATATCTCAAGTTTAACTTTTTATAGTAAGACCCAATTAAAATGTATTTTTTCTTCGTTTACAGGAGCTAAAGGAGAGCTTCAACTATGGTTTGTTCTGCCCTCCTGTCAACGGCAAAGCCGGCAAGTTCTTGGATGAGGAACGCCGCCTCGGCGACTACCCCTTCAACGGACCTGTTGGATACCTCGAGGTAAATAAGATTATTATATCATCACTAACGAGGCGCCCCGACTTCGCACGGGTAGATATGAGAAGGAAAAATATCTCCTAAATATCTAGATATTTCTATTTAATATAATACTACTGATACTATACGCTGATAATGTAACTTTTTATAGATGAAAAAAATGTAAATCGGTTAAATATTTTAACCGACTTAAAAAGAAGGAGGTTTACAATTCGATAGTATCTTCTTTGTTACAACATAACTCCATCAGTTGTAAACCGATTCGAAATATTATTTAAGTATATAAAAAGATATATTTACAGATTCATCCCATAGAGGTTTTATTAATAAAATCTATTTAGTAGTTTAGTTTTTAATTTTAAATAACTGATTTTGCCACGATTTCAATTGCTAATTATTTTTAAGGAACAAAATCCTAATTATTGTATAATTATTACGATTGCGTAATATACATATGTATACATTAATTACATTGTATGTATCCAATACATACACAATAAATAATTAATTAATTATCGATTTTTACGCGACAGCTACTGACAAACGTAAGATGAACAATCAGCTTATTTACCATTCCAAATCCAATGAAAAATATCAATATAGAACATATTACTTTTCATCCATCATCCAAATTTTATATTTCTGCTATGCGAAGTTATAATTTCTGAAGTACACGCCAATGCAATGTACATAAATAACATATGATAAATGCAAGTAATTTATCACGAACTAACTACGGAGTGCGTCCGCGTTCCTAGCCTTTTATGGACTGGAGCATACCAACGTGTCAGATGCCCAGTGTCTGTCGACACCGGTCTAGTGATGTGCTGAGTCAGATTGAATCGACTATTCATTCGAATACCTAATAGAAAAATAATAATCTGATAATGATAGGTGCAGTGCCGGATTAAAACAGCGCGGGGCCTGATTTTAACAAATGTCAAGGGACCCTTTCTTTTCATAAGAGTGTCAAGTTTATAATAATAAATAAAACAAAACTGTTATAAACAAACTTTTCTAGATTTAATTTGGTCAAATTCAGAAATAATACTACTCATATTGTATTCTCTGAGTAAATCGTATTCAATATTCATCAAAGTGAGGTGATTAATGACGTTCTTAGTACATTGTGTTCCCTAAAACATTTTTAACGTTTAAGTATTGAGAAAAACGTTTACCACTGCAGTTGGTAATACTTTAGATATTTTTTACAGTCAGAAAGCATTTATTGCTTAGCCCCAATATGGGCAAAGCCTGTAGCATTAGCTACTATTGCTTGCTTGGTTAATCTACCACTAGATAAGAGCAGAGAAGATTGTCCCTATACCCTCAACTACAGTAAACTACACTTGCCTAATTGTTAAAAGTTTGTACTTTATTAACACGTTAGAATTTGTTTTCTAATTTAATATTAACAAAATAAGTTATTACAACTCGAAATTTAAGCTTATAAAATTGTTTGCCCTGACTGAAGATGCACGGTCAAAATTTCTTAGTCCAGAAAGCTGAATTTTAGAATATAAGTTTAACATTTTATAACAAAAGTATCTAGAAGGAAAGAATTTTTGCAAAATTTCGACTAAAAAGTGGAACACGACACCACGCGTGCAAAGCCGCAGACAACAGCTAATAACTAACACAATAAATAAAACATAATAAGGTCTCGAGTAAGCGCGGTATTCGAATACTTGTCGCATGTTAATTATATGTTTCTATGTTTCTGTTTCATCGTTTACATTTTTTTCTCAATCACCAAAGAAAGGAATATTTATTACCTTCATTAAAGTAAGCTTCAGAAATCAACCGTAAAATTACTCGAGGGTTTTTTTTTACTTGTCCGCGTCTTCATATTCTCGAGGTCAAGATTTTTAATCAGTAGATAATTTAAGATTTGTTCCACAAAATAACACCGTCTTCAATCGTGGCAGAACCAGTTATTTTGATTTAAAAACTAAACTACTAAACCGATTTTTATCAAAATTTTATTAGACCAATCTGAAAAAAAAATATTACAGAAAAAAGAATTCAAATCAGTTTATAAAATACAGAATTATAAAGTAATAAACATAAAAAAACACATATCATAGAGCCTAGATGGACGCGTACAGAGCGGTTTCAGAGATGTTTCCTCCCATGAACAGTCAGGTTTAGAAATACTATCCGAGAGACCACAGCATAGTGTTCTTCAAAAAAGGGGTAATGTTTCTTCAGGGTCGGCAACACACGTGTAATGTCCCTGGTATTGTAGGTATACATAGGCTACGGTAACCACTTACCCTCAGGTCGGCTGTATGCTATATTTTTTTTTATATCGCTGAGGTGACAAACAATGTCACCTCAGTGATACAAAAAAAATACAACCGAATTGAGAACATCCTTCTTTTTTAAAGTCGATTGAAAAATATTCGATTACGAAAACGGCCGACTCGGCACATCACTACATAGGCCACGGTCCGCACGTATATACGGCGAAGGCGAACACCCAGACTTCCATGTGGCGATTAGATGAAATGATGCATGCTTAGCTACTTTTGTTGTCAACTGTACGTTGTGCTATTCAGACAATTATATCTCAGTCCATAATTACATTTCTACTTATTTTAAATGTCAACAACCTGTATATAAATGTGAGAAATTTCCTCTAAGGGCAAAAAAATTGTTGGAGGATATGATGTTTCTCACGTCGCGACATCGGCTCGGCGTTACTAAATATTTCTTAAAAAATTTATTTATATTTTATTAGTATTTACTAATAATCTATTTTTGGATATCCAACGAAAATAGGAAATTGCCAACAAAAAATCTGTTTGTAGACACAGCTACGATATTAAAGTCGCTGACATCGCTGGTATAACAGTTTAACACACTATTTCCTACCTAATAAAAAAATTAGTTACCAATTTATTTTTTTTATAACATAAGGGATAAAGGTGTATGCGGCTCACCTTATGGTAAGTGATTACTGCCGCTCATCAGCACCCGTGACATCAGAGAAATCGTAGGTGTGTTGCCGGCCTTTTCAAAGGGAATATGTATTTTCTTGAAGGTTTCAATGTCGTATCTCTTCTAAAATACTGCTGGGAGTTGGTTCCATACTTGATCTATCAATTCATAAAAATATTTTCTAATTCCAGTTAAAATATAAACGACGTGTTTACAAAATGCTGAAGTTGGACGAGAAGACGCTGAAGACGCTGCACTCACGAGCGAATCTGCGACGGTTTCTCGAGCACGTCACACATTCACAGCTCGACAAGATAACCAAGGCCTGCGCTAAAGGACTGGACCCCAACTTCCACTGTCAAGACACTGGTGGTGAGTATCTTCCTATATAGAACAATGTAGATGACGACGAATTTAGATCGATCCGAAATATTAAAAAAATATACAGATGACATGAAAACCTTAAATAGCCATTTGAAAATAGTCAAAACGTGGTTATAAGTTTGAACCAGAAAAAACATTGTTTTATTTTTTAGAAAAAAGAATTATAATAGAGTGTTCGAACTTGAATAGGATAAAATTGATTTTTTTTTTTTGTTATAATGTTTTCCAATTTTACTAAATATTTTTTCTGAAATAAATATGAGTCGAAGAACGTAATACATTTTGAGCATTTCATACAAACACAGCCCGTTCAATTTTCAATTCATAGAAACTGTAAATTCTTTTTTGTTCCATTTTTTTTTTTTTATTTTTTATTATATTAAATTATTTGATCATCTGGATGAACTTTACAGTCTCTATATATAATATATAACAATAATAAAAGTAACATTTTATATTATAAATAACTGAACAATCAATAGTCATCCAACGAAACTACAGCAAGTTAGACACAAATACGTCTAGTTGTGGATACTGGCTCATCACATCATTGAGTAGTTTCAACGCAAAAGAGAAGGGAACTCGCTTGGCCAATTCTGTTCTTCCTAACGGAACATCAAATAAGTGTCTTTTACATGCTCGCACGTAGTTACTAGGCGCTCTCATAGATAGTGATGCCAGTACAGTTTGATTAAGTACATTTTTCCCCTTGTGTTAATTTCAGTACATATTCAATAATTGATATGCTCAGTTACATTGCTAGAAAACTATTTTTAAAAGACTACTCAATTTTTTCCCCGTTAAAAACGATGGTTAAAAACATTTCTCATGTCATGATATTTCATACATATTCGTGTTTTAGTGAATAAAACAGGAAACAAATAGCCGATGCGTCCCAGTCGAGCTTTTATACACATGCTCCCATCCATTTTCCCCAACATCATTATTTATATTTTCTGAACAAAGTAACTGAACATGAATACTGGAGTAGGCGGTCTTGAATGTTAACAATGCCCAAAGTATAACAAAGCTATATGTATGTATTATAAATATACAATGTAGACACATATATATTTTTTATGGATGATAATGGAATGGTAGCCCCACCCGCGCTATCTGTATACACCGGCGGAACACCAGTGGAGAATGATAGGTGAGGATGAAGTAGGTCAGTTAGCCCATCGTGACGAATTCAACAAGAATTGTTCACAATGGTTTCCAGGGGAAACCACGTGGAGGTCGATCTAATAAGGCATATTGCTAGCAATGGGGCTGTCAAACTCCATTGCTAACAATCCCTTTTCCCCCACTTAACTATATTTACTCGTATACATAGAGGATATTAGGAAAAAATATTAAAGGGCCTTAAAGTAGTTTCATCATATTACCATATCAGCCGTTAACTGTCCACTGCTGAACATAGGCCTCCCCGTGGAAGGTTTTACCAGTGGTTGCCAAGCTTGGCAAGCAGGTTACCAACCGCAGTTAGGCTCTAGTGATGTTTTAAGAAGAGCGCTGCTGCCCACCTCTTTACCATTAAGTTTCCTAAGTCGCTTCTTACACCACCCATGGGAAAGGACATGGTGTCCTATTTTATGCCGAGACAAATAAACAAAATAAAAAGAAAACAATATCTTTATTTATTTTGTTCTGTCTATATGTAGATTTGTTCCAGCAGCACGTAAAGACTGCTATACCAAATTGCATGCAGATTACATAGTTTTATTCCTAGTCAACAACCAATAGTACTAATTCTGTAGGTAAACAAAACATCAGATGTGAATTTACAGGGTACAGAGGAATAACACCTGAGTCCTCAGGAATGGCAACGCATGGGGGGTATCACGGGCGAAACAGTATACTCTGTTATGTCCGTGGTACTGCTCATGTCTATAGGCGACGGTTACCACTTTCCATCAGGTGGGCCGTCAGCTTGTTTGCCATCCTAAGTTGTATAAAAAAAAATTAAAATAAATCGGTAAAATTAATTTTTATTCAACTATACATAGGTATAACCTTTATTGAACAGTCATTTCAGTTTCACATGTCGTATTACTTTGAAAATCACGCATACAAAACCGCAGGCCAAAGCTAGTCTTAACTTAAACGAAGTCAGAAAATACAGTGTGGTACAGTAGTTAACTCGACGTGTATGACTAAGGAAATTTACATATCGATGCCTTATCTGCTATTGTTCGAAAACTAAACTAGTATAGTGCCATTGTTGTAGTAGCGTATCAATCGAGCTGTGCACAATCCACGATAAATATCGCTTCAGCCTTGGTACTGACTGTGCCGAATTCATGATATATTTACCTCCTTTCAGACTTGTTTGTGCCTTACAGATGTCTGTTGAGAATTGATGCGCTCTGCTGCACTGAAAAAGACGTTATTAAATAATAAATACATAGATTATTAATATCACTGACAGCGTAACGAGTTTGCAAACTAATTTTCTATTAAATAGAATTAAATTTAACATGTATAAATCCAAATCCTTGTATTGTTTTATTATAACTTCTTTTAACTAGTTTACAGAGTAAACAAATTTTAAAACCTAAAAATTAGAGAAATACTTATTAATGCAAGTACTAGAAATATCGTAAAAAAATAAATTTCTTGTTTATAATACCGACTCCAACTCACTTCACTATCTACACTACCAGTCACCTTCTCACTTATATTTTATTTTAATTTAAAACAAAAAATAACCTATAACAATTATACCCACTTGTGTTCACTACTTCCTGTTCTAAAACATCTGTTTCTGTGGTTATTTTTTATTAAATTTGAAAATAGTTTGAAGCATAATTTTAATTGATGTTTGGAAAACGTTACGTGGTATACGTTCATTCGGCTTCCTAAAACAAAGTAACATAGTTTTAGAACTACGTAAATTGGTTTGAAAAATATAGGACTTATCGACCTGTTACTTCCTATATGGTCACTCTAATCTCTTCTTATAGTAATTATAATAATATGTGGATGATAATATATTGCAAATTTTGTCCAAGAGATATAGAATTTTCCATAACCCATTACTTATAATTTATCAATCTGCATTTACAGAGACACCTCTAACCATCGCAGCCGGTCTAAAATCGCCAGGGAAGGTATTAATAGCGCTTGTAAACGGTGGCGCCCTCCTCGACTATCGGACAAAGGATGGCAGCACTGCAATGCATAGAGCTGTGGAAAAGAACTCTCTAGAAGCAGTAAAGACTCTGCTGGAACTTGGTGCTTCGCCCAACTACAAGGATGGAAAAGGCCTCACTCCACTGTACCTGTCGGTCACGAATAAGACCGATCCGCTTTTGTGTGAAACGTTGTTACATGATCATGCGACTATTGGAGCGACAGATTTACAGGGTTGGCAGGAAGTGCATCAGGTAAGCTACTCTTGAATCTAATATTAATGTCATTCCAATCTATCGCCAATGACAATTTTATACTGCACTCGTAAAATAACGTTTAGGAATTACGTTAGAATTGAGATTGGTTTGCAATACTTTGTATCAGCAAGGCACTAATATGCGTCTATCAGAACAATATGGAACCATTGTGTCGCTAATATTACATTTCGAGAGTGCGAAACATCTCAAATCCAATATCAATCTATTGCCATTTATTTCAAGAGTAACCCCACTGGTCAATTCTTTTATTTTTTACAACACGTTTGATTTTAAAATGGCAAATAAGCTGGTAAGTATTAATCATCGACTAGGTATCCCTCATATGTTGCCATTTCTAAGGGCTTAGGTATTTTGCTTTACTAAAGTTTTAACCCTTAAATACCTGAAGTTTCAAATTTGAAACCGGGGTTTGCATTGATTCATTGTTAAATAAATTTAAATATTTTGATTACCGTAATGCCTAAAGTATCAAATATGATACCAAATGTTTTTTTTTCCAAATAAATATATAAAAATATCATTTTGATTTTTTTACTATTTTCCTCCATTAGTAAACACAGTAAAGGATACACTTATATATTTTTTAATATGATTTAAAAAATTTGGCTTTTAAGGGTTAATATATCCTTAATCCTCAAAGTCCTGGAAGGTTTTACCTAGTATTGTTTGCCGCCGATCGCAGGCATGCCGCAACGGCCTAGTCCAAAACCTGGACCACCTACTGTTCTACGGCGCGGACATGAACGCGCGCAACGCGTCCGGCAACACGCCGCTGCACGTGTGCGCCGTGAACGCGCAGGACTCGTGCGCGCGCCAGCTGCTGTTCCGCGGCTGCGACAAGGAGGCGCTCAACTACGCCAACCAGACGCCCTACCAGGTGACTGCCGCGCCCGCCCGCGCAGCCAGTGTTAGTAACGGGTCATAATGGAAAAGTAACCCCGTTAGAGTGGGAAAAAAGGTCGACCTCTAAGCGGTTCCCTCTAGAAACTACCGTGGTTAATTCTAGTGGATTTTGTCATGATAGGTTAACTGACTTGCCATAATGGAATAATAGCCCCGTTAGGGGGGAAAAGGGATTATTAGTAATGGATTCTAACAACCCTATTGCTATCAGGTTGACCTCCACGCAGTTCTCTCTAGAAACTACCGTAGTTAAATCTAGAGGATTTCGTCACGATGGGTTAACTGACCTGCTTTCTTTCTCACCTGTTATTTCTCACTGGTGCCCCACTAACGTATATCAAGTACGCGGGCTAGGTTACTATTCCACTATGACTCATTAAAAAAAACTATCGAAAATCAGCTTGAAACAGCAAACAGCTTACAGTGATAACCGCGGTCTATAAATATGAACATCACAAAATACACTGTAACGCTTATGATACTCTTCATGCACCATAAAAAAAATCTACTTACTAAAAATCTGTAGCCATTTGGATCCCGGCATAGAAGAGGCCACCCTGTCCTTTCCCATGGGTGTCGTAAAAGGCGACTAAGGGAGCTTATAGTCGAGGGATGGGCAGCAGCGTCCCTTAAAACATCTCCAAAAGCCTGACTGCGGTTGCCAACTCGCATGCCAAGTGTGGCAACTATTGGCGAAGCCCTCCTGTAGAGGAAGGCCTATGTTCAGCAGTAAAGAGTTAACGGCTGATATAATGATGATATCATGGTTAATCTGATTTGACCAAATTTAATCTATAAATAATAAATAAACCCTCACTTATTTTTTTACTAACTGTATCCCGCGGTTTTACCTGCGTGAATCAATATTTAAAGTATTCTATGTGCTAAGTTAGGATATAACCTATAGATGTACAAAATTTCATAAAAATCCGTTCATTAGTGTTTGCGTGAAAAAGTAACAAATAAATATCCATCCATCTTAACAATCTTCGTATTTATAATATTAATTGAAGTTACAAGCTACATAATCTTAATCATACATTTTCTCCATTCCAGGTCGCCGTTATAGCAGGCAATTTGGAATTAGCTGAAGTTATAAAAAATTACAAGGCCGATGAAGTCGGTGAGTGGAAACCATACGATTGGGCATGCCTTATTTTTGATGCTTTATAAATATAATTATAACTTCTTGTTTAGGATTCCTAAATGCAATACTCTCGTATACCTTTCTAACAATTCGTCGTAGTCGTAGAATACTGACGGATCTGACGAATATTACATATAAAGATCCGTCAGTATTCTACGGTTATGACGAATTCAGTAATGTTACTAACAATATTTCGTATTATTTGTTTAAAATTTAATTGTATTTAAGAATCCATATTAACAATTTCCTTTAACAAGCGGCGACCTCTTATTTTATATGCTTTATATTTCTATATATTAACAACAAAGTGTTAACAAATGTATTATATTATTTATTGATGAAATTTGATATATTATTGCATGATATCATCCGCACTATATTAAAATATACATATTTTTAAATAGATGTTTTTATTCATTGCTTTATCATAATGGTGATGGTTGTATATTGGGTGATAACGTGGAATTATTCTTATATCATAAATAGCTCGCTAACCAATGACACATATACACACACACACACACACAGAAATATTTTGTATAGAGTCCAATACAGGGTGTATATTATGTATTCGGCGTATATTTAATTGTATTATTATTTATATAATTTATATTCGTTATAGTTGATATATAAGTTTTATATATTTAGTTACAGCACGATTTAAAACCTTGTTTTACACTTGGAGTTGGCACTTTTAATTTCCGAGTCAATTGTTTTGAGGCACGTTTCCTTTTATTATTTTGTTCCGTTTGCTAACGAAACTATTTCAGTGCCGTTCCGCGGACCACCGAGGTACAACCCGAAGAGACGCTCGGCCGCGTGGGGAGGCTGGTGGACCGCCGGAGACAGGTCCTCGCTGGCTTCCTCCACGAGGATACCAGCGGAGTTTGACGCTATCCTGCGTCGGCCTGGTGGCTCGACAGCGTCCCCGTGCAGTCTAGAAAGGCCCTTCTCGTCGGCCTCTTCCAGCATCAGCGACGCGAGCCATCCGAGTCACGAGGACGACGCCAGTATCCTCACAGGTAATCTTGCAGGACGGCAACCCACGTGACGTGACGTAACGTACAGGCGTAACGCCTCAACCCGTATGCCGACACGAAACAACCATCACCATGCATATCAGAAGCACCACCGATGATCACCCCACTGCATGTTCTATGTGCCTTTTGTTGATACGTAGATGTTATCATCCGCTTCTTCGCTTCGTTCTTGTTTCTCGACTTTTCGATTTACCCCCCCTTTTAGATTTAGATTTAGGTGATGTTTACCTGTCCACCATGTTTACTGTAACAGGCCGTCATATTGTTACATGTACAAACTGCAATGATCCAATATTCATGAAACAGTACAGCTTTCTACAAGGGATGTGGACCAAAAAATTTAAAAAAATTGAAGATTTTTAAGGACCATTACATGATCGACTTAGTGTGAAAAATTCTTTTTATTTTTCGGTACATATTCCTTGAAGAAAGTATTCAGTTTTATAAATACTGTCTGTATATTATTAAACCTTATCCAAAACACCTCATATAATGAAAAAAAAATATATTACAACATTTGACCACGTAAATCTTGCACATGTACACCTAGTGTGCTTCACAATAAAACCAACCACAGTATCTTATGGTGGATTTAGACAGTATAATAAAGCCATTAGACAAGAATGACAACTGAGTAAATGGCTAAAAAACCAACAGATTAAGAGATCCCCTTAAATATATCTACGATGTATGATGGATCCATTATAAACAATCAAGCACCAAAGGAATGCTTTAAAATATCTGTGTTAACTAACTATGTTAGAACATGAGATAAAGTTAAAAACAATGTGTCACTACTCCTTTACACATCCAAAATATTTAAAAGGCAACTAAGAACTAATCATCTAGCTAAACGGAGAATTTGAAATCTTTCATCAACTTACCAGTATGGTGATAGTAAGTTTCTCTTCAAAAGAAGGACTAAGGCACCTGATCAGATAAGTGTGAGGACTTTTAGGATGAAGATATATCTACATATATTATTATTAATATACACTGATGTATTAGTGAGAGATAATAGGTGAGGATTAAGTCAGATCAATTAGGCCAATTGTAACGGATTCTTTGGATATTCACAACGATAGTTTCCAGGAGGATCTAAGTACCAAAGGGAGACTTTGTACAAAATTCGATTGCTTGGGTACCTCTGTCCCATTCGTGTTTCAACCGTGAAGCAGCTGTTTCGGTTTGAAGGGATATGCCGTGAATTTACTGGGTACAGAGGAATAACACCTGAGTCCTCAGGAATGGCAACGCATGGGGGGTATCATGGGCGTAACAGTATACTCTGTTATGTCCATGGTACTGCTCATGTCTATACGCGACGGTTACCACTTTCCATCAGGTGGGCCGTCAGCTTGTTTGCCATTCTAAGTTGTATAAAAAAAATCTGCCTAATTATATTACAAGCAAGGAGGTCTTTTACCTTCGCTATAAAAATTGTATTATGTTAATGTTCAGGATATAAGTAGGCCCATTCGTATCGTTAATCACGACGGTTTCCAGAAGAGACCACGTGAATGTCAACCTAACTATACTGCTAGCGATGGGACTGTTAATCCCCATTAGTACTAATCCCTTCCTCCCGTATTAAAACTAAGGATATTATAAAACGGGACCCGTGCATGGTTGGCATGCGAGGATGATAGATGAGAGGTATATTTGACGGGCGCGGGCGTCGACAGATAAGAGCGCGGGCGACACTAGCGACATCATATCGGACTCGAGTGGCGTCGGCACCAGCAACTCGGACACGACCACGTGCTCGCTGCAGCTCAGCACCACCGTCGTGTGCCTGCAGCCCTACGAGCCCACCGCGCCCGGCCACCTGCGCCTCGCGCAGGGCGACATCGTCGAAGGTATGTACTGCCAGGATCTCACTAGGTATCCAGAACATCCATATTCTAGACCTTTCTAGTACTCTTAGCAATAAATCGACTTAACTCAGTGTAGACAAAATGAATTCTTTAGCACAGTATGGCGACGTATTGATATATTTAGCAAAATAAAACTTTATAACATTCGAGTACTAACTACATATGCTAAAATCATGTTTTTAACTTTGTTGGTACGCGTACTAATGCACATTAAATAAAAAAAAATAACCGATCATATGAAACATTTTTATACCATGATCGTTCATTACATGGGACACGTTTAACAATTGATCAAACAGTGTATTAACAGGTGTTCATGTTATAAATAATCTTTCATATTGTGAAATGTTATATTTTATTAATTAATAATGTTTCACGCCATTCGTTTCATGTGACTGTGATAAAAAGATCTTTGCCACATCAGAAATACTTTATTTTTAATGTGTTTTTAAAATTCGAACACCGTACACACGTACCGTTTTGTTTTTTTTTTTTTTATTTATAATTTTAAACTGTGACGGGTGATGCAAAAAAAATATTTTATGTATAAATTCTTGTTTATAGTGATTTTATTATATAATACATAAGGTAACTGAAATTGTATTATACAAAAGATATATATTATAAGGGGGTTCTAGATAATTTATTTACGAGTGTTCCCAAGCAGGATGTTTCGCCTGTAAATGCAGTGCTTTGGATACACCATATTGTGGTAAATCTAGTAATGGGTGAATTTGAGAAGTAAGACACCTGCGTTACATAAGTCAAAATATTATGTTTCTTATGACCTCTTGATGAACCTGTACTAGTCAGTGTGTTTTACAAGTATGATAAATTGTGTAAAATAAACCAACATGTTTGTTATAAAAAGTAACACTCAAATCGGTCTCAATCGATAAAGATCATAGATAGGTGGAAACTATTTTTTTTAGTCCCACAGATAGGTTAGACGAAATACTTTTCAAAAAACAAAAGTGTTCATTGAAAAGCTAAAAAATTATTTAAATTATGGTTAAATAATACAAGTAACTATGGTGAGTCATAATGTATTATAATTATTTATGTCAACTTTACTCAAGTATGCAGTCGTGGACTGCGCTCATGAATAAGGGTACCTGTTGAGTTTCAAACTATGTAATCGGGCATTCCCAAATTTAAAACCTGAATAAAGCCGACATAAATAATTAAAAAATATATATTCTTATTACATTTGTTCTTTATATTTTGAAGTTTTTAATGATCTCGCGATTTACAAACGCGATTTTCTTTTCGACGGTCGTAGGTTCAATGGCCATACGATGCAAACATTTATACCTATTCATAAATACGTGTGTTCAATCGAGCTAGGTTTTTTATATGTACAATATTTATAATACGTACAATATATAATATTTATTAATTTATATTATTTCCAGTAGTATTTATTTATTTATATACACGAAAGACTTATACGTAAAATATTTTAAAAGACAAAGTAGTATGTTGCGGGTTGTATTGGGGCGACGAGGTTTGTGGAAATGTATTTTATATTTCCAATGGCTCAGTTATAACTGAATAAAATTAAGGAATAATAATAATCTTATATACTTAATACAAATAAGGGAAATTAATACAAAACTGGTGGGGCGATACATTGACCTTAGTACGTGCAGTGTTAAATTGACAATTGTTAAATTTCTTATTAAAGCAACAATTGTATTGCACTGCACGCATGAACATTATATCGTCATATTCGTAGAATACTGACGGATATATATATTGAATATTTGTCAGATCCGTCAGTATTCTACGACTATGACGTATATAGATATATATATAGATATGGGTCCACATAGTACGTGTCGGTATTGGTACCCAGTGGTGGGCGCGACGGACGAGGGCCTGCTGGAGGGCGCGGTGCGCGGCGCGGCGGGCGCGGGCCGGCCGGCCGGCCTGTTCCCCGCGCGCTGCGTGCAGGAGGTGCGCCTGCGCCACGCCAACAACCTGCACCAGGTGACCTACACGCTTCACAACTAGATCCTAATGGAATGGCAACCCCGCCTGCGCTATCGGTATACGCTAGCGGGGCACCAGTGAGGGATGATAGGCGAGGACGGGGGAGAAAGGGATTGTTAGTAATGGAGAATCCCATTGCTAGCAATATACCCAACCAGGTCGACCTCCTCGCGGTTCCCCCTGGAAACTGTCATGGTTAATTTCTGATGAATTCATCATGATGAGCTAACTGGCCTGTTTTTATTCTCATCTATCAGCCTTCACTGGTGCTCCGCCAGCGTATCCCATTAGCGCAGGCGAGGTTACCATACCATACTCTTATAGGGAAGGCCTGTGTTCAGCAGTGGACAGTTGGCTGATATGATGATGATGACACAGCTATGCAAGAACATATGTTTGACAATTATAACACAAGTGGAGCAGAGGTATCTGTACAAACGAAATTTACGCACAAATCTATGCTAATACTGTAAATCTAAAAATGAGTTTCTGAGTGAAATTTAGTACCACTTATATGGTATTTTTTTTAATGGATGACAATGGTATGGTAACCCCGCCTGCGATAACGGTATACGCTGGTGGGGCACCAGTGAGGGATGATTGGTGATGATGAAAAGGCAGGTCAGTTAGCCCATCGTGATGAATACACTTGGAATTCAGCACGATGGTTTCCAGGGGGGACTACAGGAAGGTCGACCTGTTAGGGTGTATTGTTAACAATGGGACTGATAATCCACATCACTAACAATCCCTTCCCCCCCCCCCCCTCCCACTTATATGATATTTAATAGCTTATAACCTTCCTCAAATAAAATAGATAACAAATTCAAAAAAGAATTTTTTATATCCCACTGGAAGTTCCAGAAATGAACGCGTTCAAATAATTCTAAGCTTTATGTATTAGTACAGAATAAAGTACTAAATGTATTATAGTTTCTAACGATATATTTTATAATTTCCAGGTGCTTGCATCAGGACCAATCCACCATTCTAGAGTAACTGGCAGAAGAGAAATGGCATTGAGCAAAACATATAGCGCCACAGCGCCTAGAATAAAGAAAACGTAAGTCGTTCATACAAGTACTTTTTTCAATTTAATTTCGAAATTATTTAAAATACGACGAAATCATTAGGCAAATTAAATTAGTTAATTTGCCTAAAGATTTAATCAGTTGATTAATGTAAAAATTATTTATTTTATGTATTAGAGAAAAGGAGATGAAGTAATTAAAAAAAATCTGCGATTATTTTATATAAAAATGTTAGTTACGAAGTATAGGTAGCTAATTTTTGAAATACATTAAGCTTAAAACTAACCGAGTGTAAAGTAACTTTGATACGGTAGATGGCTAGATTCGTACTTTAATGCCGTTTATGGTTCGGCCTGGTCAAATGTTATCGAGTTCTTATGTTACACTTCGAGATTAATCTCATTCACACGCATTATTTCTTACATGACATTTTACTAGACTGCGAATGAGCCATAACTGGCATCTAAGTGTGAGTCCAGCCCAGCTACATGTGATGCGAATTTTATTTTTAGTCACATCTCAAATATTTTTTTCTTCGAATCGACGGGATTTGCAAGACGTTTACCAAATCACAATCTAAAACAATGTTTCTCATGTTACCGTCTTTAGGGTTTCTCCAAAAATTATTCCGAAATTTCGCGAACAGAGATTTTTTTATTCAAAATTGTGAAAAATGTACCCAATGGTGATACGGGCGTGTGCGCGCGCAGGCCGGGCGGCGGCGCGGCGTGCGCGCGCACGGTGGTGCTGCACCGCGCGCGGCGCGGCTTCGGGTTCGTGCTGCGCGGCGCCAAGGCCTCCTCGCCGCTCATGGAGCTGCGGCCCTCCGAGCGCTGCCCCGCGCTGCAGTACCTCGACGACGTGGACGCGGGCGGCGTCGCCGACCGCGCCGGCCTGCGCAAGGGCGACTTCCTCGTCGCGGTAACTGCGCCGCCGCCACCGCTACCGCACTACCGCACTACCGCACTACCGCACGCACACAAACCGACCACTACTACTCACATACATTGCCACTCGTCGACACTACTACTCACCGACACTGCCACTCGTCGATATTACTACAAATCGACACTGCCACTCGTCGATATTACTACAAATCGACACTGCCACTCGTCGACACTACTACTCACCGACACTGCCACTCGTCGATATTACTACAAATCGACACTGCCTCTCGTCGACACTACTACTCACCGACAATGCCACTCGTCGATATTACTACAAATCGACACTGCCACTCGTCGACACTACTACTCACCGACACTGCCACTCGTCGATATTACTACAAATCGACACTGCCACTCGTCGACACTACTACTCACCGACACTGCCACTCGTCGACATTACTCACCGACATGGCAACTCATCGAACACCAACATTATCTCACTAACACAATCGCCACAGTATAAAGAATAACTAGTAGACTTTCATGTTTCACATAATTGCTATTATATTAAAAGTTCTTTAAACTGTGATCACAATATTTCTGTCCCCAAACAATTATGCTTGCATCTCTATGTTTTAGTTTGAAGGGTGGGATATGGCACAGATATTACAAGACAACATAGCACCTTAAGAATAGATCTAAGACATGTTAATGCATGAGAAATATCATAATAATTACAGTATAGTCTCTCGGTGTCCATACTATTATACTTTTTATGTCAATAGGCAACAATTCCCATAACTTATTTGCTATTTTCAAACTCATAATAAAAATTACTACCACTCTTTAACATTAAGCACTACATTAATAAACTTTCCTTAATAATTTTAGAAAAAATTGTTATCGTCCATTTTATTAAAGTCTATTGAAATTAACTATAGCAATAAAGTTCTGTAATTTACCCTCTAGTATGGATCATAACAACTTACTCCTCATAAATGACACTGCATACGTTAAAAAGCTGAAGTTTCTTAGAAAAAAGGCAACTATACGAGCACCTTAGATTATATAGATAGAGCATCGAGTCTCAAAAACGGGTCAACTTTTGTCAGCTAAATGTCAAATTAGCTGACTCGTTTTTTATCAGTGTTCTGTATAATATCTTGACGTATCTATATTTAATTATTTAATAAATAAAATTACTTTTTACGCCTTAAAAAGATGCAACAATTATAAGATATAATAAATATTAAAGTTATAAAGAAAACACTCATGACTATTTTTTTTTAATGGATGATAATGTAATGGTAGCCCCACCCGCGCTATCGGTATACATCAGCGGGGCACCAGTGAAGGATAATAGGTGAGGATGAAGTAGATCAGTTAGTCCATCGTGACGAATTCAACAAGAATTGTTCACGATGGTTTCCAGGGGGCACCACGTGGAGGTCGACCTAATGAGGCATATTGCTAGCAATTGGGCTGTCAAACTCCATTGCTAACAATCCCTTTCCCCCCCTCATGACTATTTATCACGCAAAATTGTATGAAAAAGTTGACCCGCTTTTCTCGAAACATTTGTATGGAGACACTATCTATATAATCGAAGACGTTTACTTATACTGTGACTTCCTATTACCTCCAGATAAACGGCGAGGACGTGTCGGCGGCGTCGCACGAGCACGTGGTGGAACTCATACGCAGCTCCGGAGCGCTCGTCTCCATGACTGTTGTCTCGTTGAACAGCGCGCCTGGTGAGTGGCTTCTATCCAAAATCCAACGTTGAGGCCTTTTATTATGGATCATAATGGAATGGTAACCTTGCCTGTGCTATTGGTATACGCTGACGAGGCACCAGTAAGAGATGATAGATAGGTGAGGATGAAGCAAAGCAGTTGGTCCATTGTCCAATATTGGAGTCGATTCTAAGTCACCATTTTTTAAACATATCTCTTAACATAATATTCAATAATTTCCCGAAATTACTGTTTTATGGGCCATTATGAACTAAATTTACAATTTTGTTTAATTAAATGTATTAATAATTTAGTTCATACTAGCTTCTGCCCGCGGCTAAGCTCGCGTGTGGTATTTGATTTATTTCACGTGTCTAACAAACTTACCGTTTCACCACCTTAAATGTTGAATTTTCAAAATTTCTTTCTTATTATTCACCTACGCCTATACGAGTATAAAGAAACTGCAATTTTTTAGGATTCTGGATTTAGTAGTAGTTTCGGTTATGCGTTGATATATCGGTCAGTCAGTCAATCACTCAGCATCCTCTTATATATGTATATACGGTACATATCATACATACATACATACAAATCTGTCACGCCTGTCTCCCATTAGGGTAGGCAGAAACAATAGAACGCCAAATGCTTCGATTCAAACAAACCTCTTTCGTTTCTTTCACATTCATCAATCTTTTCATACACGCTCGCCGGTTACGGGTACTTTTAATTTGGCCCTTCTACAGCACGTCGCCTATTTGGTCAACATATGCCCATCTAGGGCGACCCCTACCGACATCTCCATTCATTCTTGCTCGATAAATCTCTTTCGTAATTCTTCTTTCATCCATCCTCTCCAAATGACCAAACTAACACGCTACATATTCTTACTAATATTATAAATGTGAAAGTGAGTTTATTTGTTTGTTTGTTATCTTATAGCGCCTTAACAGCGTCACCAATCACTACGAAATTTGGTAAACACGTAAATTACATGAGATAGAGAAGGATATAGTCTACTTTTTATCCCTATCAGTAAACATACTCCGGTCACGCGGACGAAGTCTCGGGTAAAAGCTAGTTTCATTAGTATTTTAATATATTTTTACTATAAACAATAACACAATAAAACCGAACATTCTTGTTTTATTAAATGATTAATTATTTTTTATTTCTTCATAAAGAGCAATAAACACATAACCTTAAAAAATAGCATATTTTTAAAAGGCTAGCAACACACCTGCAATGCCTCTGATGTTGTGGGTAACTCATGGACTACGGTAGTCACTTACCATCAGGTGTGTCGCATGCTCGGTTGTCCCTATGTTATAAAAAAAATCCCTTACGATAAATAATGTTGCCACAATAAAAAATCAGTAACATTGCAATACTACTGCTCATATGGATTTCAGCAGTCGACTTTAATAAACATGTCTCCTGCAGTTTTATCATCGTCATAGTCTCGTAGTGTTTCTTTAAATGTTTTGTTCCACAATCGGTAGGTAACAACGAGAACAACACGTGTACGGTACCGACGAGCAAGTCGCAGAACCAACTGTCCAGCTCCGGGCGGCCGTACGCCGCCACGCTGCCCAGGAAAGCTGCCGGTGGTTAGTTTAAAACCTCATTATTATATATACAGGCTGTCCCAGAACACAACGTCAAGCCGAAACTAGGTGACAGGATTTATTGTAACCATCATGAGAAAAATCCGAAAAAAAAATCTATCCCATGCAGTTTGAAAATTATGGGCATTTAAGAAAAACCCAGAAATTTGGTCAAACTATTGGTAACCATTTTTCGGTTATTGTGGTTAATTTTTATACCAGATTTTTTTTACCAGAGGAAGACCTTGTACAAAAGTCGATTGCTTGGGTACCTCTGTCCCATTTGAGTTTCAACCGTAAAGTAGTTGTGTTTGCATGGCTGTCTTTCGGTTTAAAGGGTGGGATATGGCGTAAATTTACAGGGTACAAAGGAATAACACCTGAGTCCTCAGGAATGGCAATGCAAGGGAGGTATCAAAGGGCGAAACAGTATACTACTCTATTATGTCCATGGTACTGCTCATGTCTATAGGCGACGTTTACCACTTTCCATCAGGTGGGCCGTCAGCTTATTTGCCATTCTAAGTTGTATGAAAAAAGTGCAATGTATTCAGATCAACAATATAGTTTTATTCTTGACTAGAAATTTTCTGACTAGAATTGATTGAAATACTTTGTATCATATTAAGTTGAACGTTTAACTATTAAACTGTTAAATACAGGATGAAACCGAAATCGTTAGCATTCATCGAAATGTCTATCCAAATATGTACTATACTATAGACAGATTTATATATAAATAACTAGCTTTTACCGGCGGCTTCACTCGCGTTAATAGTCACTATATAACGCAAACTTGTTACGACAATTTTGTCAATTGTCCGTTTACTCCGTTAAAGTACCTATAACGTAGTAAACAGACACAATTAGCTGAATGTAATCATTTAAGTACCATTTTTCCATAAATAAATTTGCTACCCACATTTCATCCCATTTAAAGAGTAGTTTAAATTAATTAAAACTATAATAAAATACTTTAATTATGAATTGTAAACAATAATTCTGCAAAGTTTGCAGCAAATTGGAAGACCCATTAAAAAAAAAGTTTTATACAAAAATTACCACTCCCTCACCTCACAGTCTATAAGTTTTTCGCAAGAAAAAGTAGCCTATAACCATCTCTAGAGTCACATCTATCTCTATACCAAAATTCGTCATAATCGATTCAGCGGTTTGTGTGAAAGCGTAACAAACAAACAAACTCACCTTCGCGTTTATAAATATTAATTAAGATTAATGAATTGGTTCGATGTATTTGTTGTGTGTGGATAATGAGTAATGTGAATGTCCGGGCGCAGGCCGCAGCCCGGCGCCGGCGCCGCCGCGCCGCGACCCGCGCACCACGCTCAGCGTGGGCCGCGCCCGCGCCAAGTCCATGGTCGCCGGGCTCGGTACGTACACACACACGCACACGCACACACACACGCACACGCACACGCACGCGTACGCGCACACGCACACACACACACACACACACATACACTCACATATACATACAATCGTACAGGACTCATACTCACTAGCTGGCCATGCAAGTTCCAGCAAAGAATGAGCCACTCCTTTCGTTCCCATGGGTGGCGTGAGAGGCGTCTAAGGGAGGGCAAGGGATAGGCAGCAGCGTCAGCTAGTAAATCATCATAACTAACTGCAGTTGCCAATCCGCCTGCCAAGTGTGGCAACTACGGGCAAATACCATCCCCCCCCCTTATTAGAAAAGCCTATATTCAGCGGTGGACAGTTAAGGGTTAAATTATCCTTATACAACCTTAATTAAAAGAAACTACTACCAGAAATGACAATTTGTTATTCTTTGCTCTTCCGAATAGAGCTCCTGGATATTATTCCCCTTTCTATTATTATTCTATTTTTTTTTTATTAAATTAATACTATTAAAATATGCTCACTACCGTCGCTTGGTAGCAAAATACCTGTAAATTTCTCTGACATTGCAAATACCATGTTTATTGGCGATAGCGGTGACGGTTTGGACGTTCCACAAACCCTACTATGCAGGGGCCCCACTAGTGCTACTGTAACTCCTGCTGATATTTCTGCAGGGAGCCTCCTAGTTCATAACTACGCCACTAGGCAGCAATTACAGTTATCTATCAGGGGGGGGGAGAGATTGTTAGTAATGGAGATTAGTAGGAGGAGTCGAGGGATCGCCATTACTAGCAATATACCCTGTCAGGAAGACCTCCTCGTGGTTCCCCCTGGAAACCATCGTGATTAATTTTTTGTTAGATTCGTTACGGTGGGCTAACTGACCTGCTTCATCCTCACCTATCATCCTTCACTGGTGCCCCACCAGTGTATACCATTAGCGCAGGCGAGGTTACCATTCCATTATCATCCATAAAAAGTTATCTATCAGGTGTAGTATGTATGAAGAACAACCAGTAATATAATAGTGACATGCCCCAAAACGAGTACATGACAATTCGGATCCTATTACTCTGCAAATATGTCTAAGACATTGAGTGGTTTTTAGGAAAGTTTTTTTTTTTTTTTGTCATATTCAATTTCTATAAATATCCATTGCTCTCCCGAATGTTCAAAATTGTCAACATACAAATTATATACATTTTTCCTACTTTACAGTTATTTTACATATAGTTTACATATATTTTTAGAAAATGGCGGTGAAAAAGAAGAGAGTTGCGAGCCGCTGAGCGTGGCTGGCAAGTCTTCATCGGCCGAGTCTGTGCAGCTGCATGGCGGTAGTAATTGTGAGTTTTGCTATATTTACAGATAAATGTTCACAGAGGGAGACATAGAAACAAAAGTCGTTTGCTTGGATACCTCTGTCCCATTAATGTTTCTACCGTGAAGCAATTGTGTTCGCATGGCTATGTTTCGGTTTGAAGTGTAGGATATGGTAGTGAATTTACAGGGTACAGAGGAATAACACCTTAGTCCTCAGGAATGGCAACGCATAGGGGGTTTCATGGGCGTAACAAATTTCATTTGAAATAATAAATTTCAAAGTCCCAAGCTTTTTCAGTATCTATCTCAAGTAGTTCAAATTTTGAATTGAGTACATTGGCATTCGCTTAAAAATATGTGCTTTTAACTCATTTTTATTTTTTATTTTTATACTCTTAATCCTATATATAATTTTTGATGTCTTAAATATCAAAGTCTAAATAATAACGTATTAAAACTCTTAGTTTTAGATAATGTGAAATAATATCAATTCAAATTATATTTACTATCTATAGGAAATCGAATATTTGAACACAGGCAGCCACCAGTTTCTACTTCGTAATTAAAAAATTTAAAACAGAAACTGTTTATGATGAAGTGTAAACGTATTTGTAAATTTTAACGTACATTATTTTTAGTGCCGTGATCAGAATATTTCAGCTTTAGATTTAAAAATAAGTACTATTATTATTAATAGTACTATTTATTAATCTAATTTTTAATTTTCTTTTTTTTTCCGTGTGATAGTACTTAACAAACAATATAGTACTTATATTGGATTATACCCATTATGATCACACTTTGCAGATGATTTTTTTAAGAATTTACTACAATATAATTTATTTGATCTGATAAAGGCTCGAGTGAAATCAACTTGCAGTTTGGAATCTCATTTAGTTAATTACAAATTAACATTCGGGTCGTATGTGTAACTATGATAACGCTTGGGGATATCATGCGCGAAACAGTATACTCTGTTATGTCCATGGTACTGCTTATGTCTATAGGCGAAGGTTACCACTTTCCATCAGGTGGGCCGTCAGCTTGTTTGCCATTCTAAGTAGTATAAAAAAACTGAGTATTTTTACCAAAGACACATACGAGTAGGTCGAAGACGACATTATTAGACAAATTGTCATTCGGGCCGTATGTGTAACTATGGCAACGCTTGGGAAGTATCATGGGCGAAACAGTATACTCTGTTATGTCCATGGCACTACTCATGTCTATAAGCGACGGTTGCCACTTTCCATCAGATGGACCGTCCACTAGTTTGCCATTGTAAGTTGCAAAAAAAAAAAGAAAAATCTTAGGTAAAACGAAGTGAATATTGAAAACCTATTTCGTTTCATCTCTGTGAATGTTGAGTACAACTAAAGTTGGATTGCAAACTTATAATGCTATTGTTGTATTCTATTGTTAAAAGTTTTGTTTGTAATATGTTGATGTACCACAAAAATATATAAATAAATACTAAATAGTGCGTGGTGTTTGTTGGTACAGGCGGCACGCCGGTGTCGGGCACGCCGGTGGCGCCGCGCACGGCTTCCATCCGGCAGCGGCCGGCGTCCTCGCGCATTACGGCCGCCGAGCTGGAGGAGCTGTTCCAGCGGCAGGCCGACACCGACACCGACACGGACGCGCTGTTAGTACCATCTACCGTCCTCTTTCTCTCCGTCTACCCATCTACAACCTTCACTATCACGACTCCCGATTGAGTCATCGCAAATATCTGGTATAGGGATCGATACCAGATTTGCCGGAGGTAGTCGCCCCCGGTAATGATTCCGAGGCAATAGGGGTTTGCCCCGAGACCCCCATTTGAGCCATCCTAAGGGAACTAAAAATACTCGTCATCGTCACTCTATAGTGAGTTAGTAAAATATGAATGAAAGAATGAAAACACTTTATTGTTCAATTTATAATCCGTACCCGACCTATAGGTCCCCATGACACTTGCGGCATTTCCGCGTTGGATTGCCACAGATATTCTTTGAGCCAGATACGAACCAGAACGGCGATCATGGCCCCTACCCGAAATGCGTTGACCCAACTCCCTTATAAAGGATTTCGCTTCTGCTCCCCACACACGCGTAGTCTCAAAGATTTTATTATTATATTTATAACTAGCTGTTGCCCGCGACTTCGTCCGCGTTTCCGTTGTTTTTCATAAAATAAGTAACCTATGTCCTTCCATACGATTCAGTGGATTCACAGACGACCCTTCACTGCTCTGCTCCTATTGATCGTAGCGTGACGAAAAGTATACTATAACCTGCCCAGGAGTATGAAGAATAATTGTAAAATCCGTCGAGCAGTTTTTGTTTCTATAACGAACATACAGACAGACAAAAATTTTACTGATTGCATTTTGGGCATCAGTATCGATCACTAATCACCCCCTAATAGTTATTTTGGAAATATATTTCATGTACAGAATTGACCTCTGTACAGATTTATTATAAGTATAGATTAAATAAGTCTTATTCGAAAGAGAAGGGTGGTGAGATTTTCTCGAGGAAAAGGACACTGTCACAACACTATTATTTATCTATGGTTGCGGTGTACAGGGGCGGGCCGAGCGCTATGATGACGCGGTCAGCATTCCAGGGCGGCAACAACTCGCCGCCGTACTCGCCCGCGCGGCAGCGGGTCTACGCCTCCGTCGCGGAGATGAAGCGCTCCAGGGGGAAGGTATGCGCCAAACATAAGCTATTTTTTTTATTTGTTCCATATTCATTTAGATAATTTAAAGTTTACTATTTAAATTCGCGTATTAAAAGTTCTTGTAATTAAATATATTATATAAAAAAAGAATAAACTATGGTAATCAAACGTAAATAAACGTAAATGGATCGACTAAGTATTACTTAAAAACTTTCAAGTTTTGTATGAATACAACTTTATTTTATGATTTCTTCATATTTGATATAAAGTTGAATTACATTATTTTCTGTATTTCGTGTTCGTATTGATTTTCTGATTTCTATAATTAAATTAAATATTGTACTAAAAGTCGATATATGTTTAATTGAGAATGTAAGTGAATGTACTTGTGTACGATGCAGTCGTGGAGCAAGTCTACGGGGCGGTCGCTGCGGCGCGAGTTCCACTCGACGCCGGACCTGGCGGCCGAGCTGGCCGCGCACCCGCCGCGCACGCGCTCCAGCGAGGACGTGCACGGTACGTACTTATCCGGCGCGAAGGACCATATCCACGCTAATACATACATTTCACTTACCTGGTATATTAATTGCAGTTGGTCTATCTCAGAGTAAATTTTAATCAGTAACATCCTTTGAAGGGAGTGTTCTAAAAATAAAATAATTTTTTTCTTAAATAACAACAAAAAATATAAAGGTCAATAAAAACATTTATTTAAGCAAAATGTTCAATTTAGTTGAATACTCCCGATAAAAATATGGACGATTTCGATTTCACCCTACATAATTAACACAGTAAACAGTAGTGTTGACTGTCCGTCACCGTGTGCAGCAGGCACGTCCCGCGTGCCGCCGCCGGCGCACCCGCCGCCGCCGCCGCCGCCGCCGGGCGCGCCGGCGTCGTCGTTCAGGCCGGCGGCGGCCGCCAAGTTGTACGCGGCGCCGCGCGACCTCGCGCCCGTCGGCTACCGGCCCGCCGCGCCCGCCGCCGCACCCGCGCCCGCGCCCGCCTCCGCCGCCGCTTATGCCCACATGCACGCCGTGAGTACTATTACATTTTACAATTTAAGTATCAGAAAACTAAGCAAAACTAAAACAAAGTTTGTATTGATTTTGAATGTTCTTGAGATTTAGCTAAATGGTCGCATACTGCGCGGTTTCAGAGATGTTTCCTCCCACAAACACTCAGGTTATGGAATGAGCTCTCTGCCGAGGTTTTCCCAAGAGACTACAGCATGGGGTTCTTCAAAAGGGGGGTAAAGAGGTTTCTTCAGAGTCGGCATCGCACGCATAATACCTCTGGTATTGCAAGCGTTCATAGGCTACAGTAACCGCGTACCATCAGGTGGACCGTATGCTTGTTTGCCACCTCAGTGGTATAAAAAAAAATATTTTCATAAGTAATAGTGTACATTAACTAAATCCAAACTGGAATTGGACTGGAATTGGTTCCTGTGACGAAAATACAAATTGAATTGTTTGTAAACAACTTGAGTAAATAATACAAATATAATTAATTTTGCTCTTACTTATTCTTAATTTAATTAAAATATATTTCGTTCCACAAGACGATACACTAACATTACTATGCAATCTTAACAAAGCTTGTGGAATAAATAAATAAATTTCCAAATGTGATAATATTGTAGGGTCGCAAGGCGGCGTCGCTGCGTGCGTGGACGTCAGCGGACGGGCCCGCGCCCGCTTCCGCTCCCGCCTCCGCTCCCGCTCCGCACTACGCGCAGCCCATCATCGCGCACAAAGGCTTTGTGCGACAGGTAACAACACGGCACTGACACTATTACAATATAGTATACTGTTTCCCGCGACTTTGCCCTTGTGCATTAGTATATAAAGTATCCTACGTTTTAAGTTAGGCTTTAACCCTTCTTTGCATAATTTGTTTTTATCGATGAAATAAATCAAGGTGTTTAAAATTAAAGGCAAAATGGATAAAAAAATAAATTTGACAGCTATGTTTTTTTTTTCTGCAATAGACATTAAAAAGGTATCCAGACACGGTCAATTTAAAGTGAACTTGTTCTTTTATATAATTTTTGGGCGTTCAATGTTATGATGGAAATTTCCACCATTATGCAAAGAAAAGCTACCCGTGTATGGTACAAAATTTATTTATATATTAAAATAATTATAACATTATGACAGTAAATCCAAACGTGATTGAGTACGTAAAAAATCTTTACTAAACTTAGTAATAATAATATATATAAGCGATGGTTACTATTTTCCGTCATAGATCATTAACATATTTATATATTTATTTATTTTTTGGAAAACGTACAGCTGAATTACAGTCAATACATAATCAAATTTATATCTATGTTAAGCCATGAATCGTTCTCACATTTGCGTAATGACACAATTGATCAGTTTTATATATGCAAAATATATACATACATACATATACATACATACATATACATACATACATATACACACATATACATACATGCGCATACATACACACATCTATAATAATTAAAAAGTTATAAATTTTTTACTAATAAATAAATATTATGTAAAAACTTGCACAAAAAGAAATAATTAAGTACTTGATTTTTTTTTTTTTTACTTGTTAGACCTAAAATCTATAAACGTTACCCATTGACTACAAAAAGAATTTAAAAAGTTGGCGTTTCAGTTCATGTTGTGAAATGAGATGAAAGATGAAATGAGATTTATTCGTAAAAACATAAGTGCAATTACCAAACTAATATTAATATTATAGTTTTGAAAGGGTACAGTAGTTGTGGTTTTAGAACTGGGCTCCAAAATAGGTGGATATAATAACCTGTGTTAAGGAGCCACAGCCCCAACCTTCTATAGTGTTATTGGGGAATTAATTACAACAAGGTTGTATACATAATTTAACAATTAAAAAGTAAACAGAAACTAAAATACATTGTCTTATTACATAATACATTTTGTATGTACGTACTACATGTTCAGTGAAAGGAGCAAAATTAAAAATACGTAATCGGCTGCAATCTCAAACTTATGCGCATACAGAGGATCTGATAAAACCTATTGTCTAAAATATTTATTGAAATGCAAGCATACTATAGTTTCATATTACACACACACATACACACACACACACACGCACATGCACACGCACACGCACACAAACACCCATACACACACACAAACTATGACACGTTATTATATTATATTATACTATATTATATTATACTAACGACCCGCCCCGGCTTCGCACGGGTGCACATTACATCACATCACATTAGAAACCTTTAAAATTATCAGTGTTTCTCTACAATATTGTGCATGTTTATGCATGCATCATTATACATATAAACCTTCCTCTTGAATCACTATCTATTAAAAAAACGCTTCAAAATCCGTTGCGTAGTTTCAAAGATTTAAGCATACATAGGGACGGACAGACAAATATAGCGACTTTGTTTTATACTATCTAGTGATATTTATATTAAAATAAATAAAAAATTATATCTATCCGAATATGTGTTTAATAGGTTCCCCAGATACACGCTCGACCCATATGGGGATCGTTGTTAAGAAATTTTGTAATTTACTGTTTTAAATAAAGATAATTGGGGGAAAAGGATTGTTAGCAATGGAGTTTGACAGCCCCATTGCTAGCAATATACCTTATTAGGTCGACCTCCACGTGGTTCCCCCTGGACACCATCGTGAACAATTCTTGTTGAATTCGTCACGATGGACTAACTGATCTACTTCATCCTCACCTATCATCCTTCACTGGTGTCCCGCCGGTGTACACCGATAGCGCAGGTGAAAGAAAGAAAGAAATAATTTAATCAAAAGAAGCATGCGGCCCACACAGTAGCGCACAAAACAAAAACAAAAGAAATCAAAACAAAACAAACAAAAGAAAATAATAATTATATACAAATAGATAGCAATTAAATTATAATGTACGCGTGCGCGCGCGTGTGTCGCAATGTTCTGTGATGTAGGTCCGTGCTCAGCATATTGCTGCAGCGCTTGAAGCGCTACAGCGCTGTTTTTCAGCAAGAACTAGGTGGGGTTACTATTCCATTACAAAAAAAGATTATTATTATTATTATTATTATTACAGAACTCGACGCCGGCGCCGCCGATCCCAGAACCAGACTACAGCATGTCGGAGTCGGACGAGGACGAGCGCAAGCCGCGGCCCGAGCCCGCCGCGCTCGCAGAGACCAGCGCCAACAGCAACACCAGGTGAACACCGCCCGCCTTTATATTCAATCGATACACAGCCTTCGTAGCAGCAGAGAGAACGGATTGTTAGTATTGGGGATTAGAAACCCAATGCTAGCAATATAGGGTATATTGCTCGACCATCTCGATATCGGATCGACCATCACGCAGTTCCCCCTGGAAATCATCGTGATTGATTCATCGTTGAATTTGTCATGATGGGCTAATTGATCTATTTCATCTTCACCTATCCTATCCCTCTCTAGTGTCCAATCAGCGTATACCGTCAGCGCAGGCAGGATTACCATTCCATCGTCATCCATTAAAAAAAAAAAACCTCCGTAGCAGGGACTAAGATTAAAAACCCCATGCTAGCAATGTATCCTATCAGATCGACTTCTACATGGTTCCCCCTGGAAATTATCGTGGATAATTCATGTTGAATTCCTACACGATGGGCCAAGTGAACTGTGCTTCACCTTGCGTTAACACAGGCACAATTACCATTCCAATAATAGCTTGAAAAACATTACTCTCTTTTCATCATAAGAAGTTTGTCATTTTAAATTTCTATGTATGTTTATCCGAATATTTGATGCAACGTATAGCATAAGCAACGGCTGCTCGCGTAATCCTGGAATGTGAGGCTGTGGCCCATCAACGTTTAGAAATCCTCGGAACGGTGAGGTCGCTCCGTGAGGCCTGTGAAAAACCCAGGAAGCTTCTGCGTTTCTGGGCGGAGCTAGGTTGGCTGTACTAGCCACGACTCATACGCACAACGGCCCAAATGAGAGGCTAAGCGCGGAAAATAGTCTTTTTCACATTGTCACATAGCCTAAGCAAGTTGACCGTTCTGTTAATTTAAACCTTTATATTTATTTACAGTTAACAGTTAATATTATCCGTAATGGGATTCTTATGTGTTATTTTAAATTATATAGATTCCGTTTTTTTTTTATTTTGTTTAAAATTTTATACCATTTTCAGGAACTCATTCCATTCGACTATTTATGAAAAATCTGAAGAAAAATTTTAATATAAATTTTGAAACACTGATTGTAAAGGTACAGTTGATTTTGAATCACAGTCTTGTGGCTGGGGAAATGCTTTGCGTCCTCGTCCGATAACTGTCACGTGACTATCGCATCATATCGTTGTAAAATGTAATGATCTATGCATACTGCATAATTTTGATATCAATTTTAATAATTCAGAAAAAATACACCTATTTTTATAACAACTCTTTCATGGAGTAGGCAGAGACTTTTTGTTCAACAATAATCATTTTCTGTACTAAAAAATCTATGTGGGTTTATTTAAAACAAAATCTGTTGTTTGTCCATTGTGTTTGTCAGTGCCGTTTTTGTTTTTATACATTGTAAGGAATAACCGGAGGTCCAATCAATGCCTTTGGCGTGTCCTAAACGATTATATGACAATTCGGGACACACCACTCCGCGAGTCCGTTGGAAAACTGGTGGTTCTTTAGATAAAATGGGAAAGTTCTTTAGACTGTGTCGATATTAAGGCGTTTCACACAAACACCGCAACGCCGTTTACAAAGATTGCGGTTTTCCCACAGTGCAGTACAAATTTGTACCTATCGCAATGACTGCTATGCGATTGGTATGTTAGCACTCTGCTGTGAGAGAACTACCTAGTTCGTTCTTTTGTTCATTTTCATGTGTATGTTGTCGTGTGACAACGCGACATTTTTATGAAATACCTTAGTATCGAATTTAGTAACGCTTGTGGTAAGCACTAAGTAATGAGTGGGCGTGTGGGTGCGCTTGCAGCGGCAGCAGCTCCGGCTCGAGCTCGATGCAGCACTCGTTCTCCGTGGACGAGATCCAGAAGATCCGCACGCGGCTCAAGTCGTCCAAGTCGTGCGGCGACGAGCTCGCGAGCGGCGGCGAGCGCGACGACGGCGACAACTCGTCGTCGGGCGTGTCGTCCGACCAGGAGGCGCAGGCGCGGCCGCCGCGCCGCGACAAGGTGTCCTTCTGCAGCTCGGTGACCGTGAAGTCGTCCAACGACGTGATCAGCACCGAGCCCGTGCACTCGTCGTCCGAGAGCCTGGCGCCGCCGCCGCCCATGCAGCGCCACAACTCGCTGACCAGGAAGCGCGCCACCGCCGCCCTGCTGCGCGGCTCGGTGGGCGCGGCGCGCGGCCGCTCGGCCGCCGAGCGGCTCGGCGTGGACGTGGACAAGGCGCCGGGCCGGCGGCGCGCCGCCGTGCTGCTGGCCGAGCTGCCGCCGCCGCCCGAGGAGGCGGCCGCCGCGCCGGCGCCCGAGCCGCCCGCGCCGCCGCTGCTGGCGCCGCCGCCGCAGTTCAGCGACCGCGTGCGGGTGGTGTCCGCGCTGCCCAAGCAGCTGGCGCACCTGCAGTAGAGCGCGCCCTTATGAACCGTAGCCTAGCACGTTCCCCTCGGACACCTCGCGCACGAGCGGGGACCTTTTGTAATCGAGCGACTAAATGAAACCAAAGATTTATAGTATTTATTGTTGAGGAGTTAACACTGATATAGTTGAAACTAATTTTTATACATTCCCCTATTACCTTAATACTGTTAGAATTATTTTTAATACGTATCGTATGTATGTAGTCTCCGACGTGTCAAATGTGTTATTGTAATTATGTCGTCCCCTCTACTTGTTTAGTTTTACGTTGTGTTATCCCCCCTCCCCCTGTTACGAAGCAACCGAGTGCCATCGTGTCTATGTTATTGAAATATTTTTATATATATAATAATGTCTGTAAATATTTTTAAATAGCTACATTGTAACGAGACAAATGAGTGGACTGTGCACGTGCAACCACACAAAGAATATCCGGCCAACATGTTATTGTATTTGAAACACAATATATATATGAATTAAATAAAACTTATCGATGAATAAATATTATATATATTTGAGTAACGCCCACGTCCGCCAACGAATATTACCGATTATGTTTCCCTCGTACGTCCTATTGAAGTGCGCCCGCGCCGGTTCACTCTAGTCTTGGCACACATTCAAAGATTACTTTAAAGGCTCCTGGGCCCTTAACTATGTGTTCTCTTACAAGACTAGTGTTTATTATTATTATTGTCAAACGCACCATCATTCGTCCATTCCATGATATTGTAAATTTTATACTAATCGAACACATCCGTGCATCATTAATAAGTAGATATAGCTGTATCACGGCCGACAATGAAAGTATGTAACACCAATATAAAATTTTTATATTCCTCTATCGATTTTGTATCTTAATATAAAGAGAATTAGGTGCATTATATTGTCATTTACATCTCGATATGCAGGAACTCTAATGTAACAACACGTCGAATTCTGTACGTCGACGACATTTACAACTATTCACTGTAATTATCGTCAAATTCCACTTGTACCGTTTTACTACGTTTATAAATATCGACTTAACCTCCCTTAATATTTCATTTTACGGTATCGACGTTATAGAGTTCTGTGTGTTGCACACTGAGCGTACAATTGCCTACTACCCGCTTCTATAAGCAGCCTAATTAGATAGATTTCAATTCTTCATTTTGCCATTGTTAATAGATAATTAAAAATTTGAACAAACTCGAATTCGTGCTGTATCCGGCTCGATTAACGCTAGTTAAAGGAATAATAAACTCTTAACAGCAAAATATAAAATATAATTCCTTCGTATGTAAACGTTAAAAGTTCTAGTGAATTTTAAAGTATAGCGTAATTCGAGTGGACGGTGGCACAGCACCGCCGTGTCTGTTGACTTGAGCCTTTACCGTTTAATTAGCACAATGAAATTAATTTTTATTATCGGATTTGTATTATTTTGTTATAATCGTCTCGTCATTATATTAAGTTGTATAAATGTAATGTCTACATAAGGCGTAGCTAGGTAGTGGTAATTATATTAGGGAAATTCGATCGTAGAGGTTAACTGGCGATTAACTGGGAGCGGCGGGGCTTCCGATCTCGGCCGATTTATTCTCGGTCTGGATATAGACGCATTTGTTCGTAACATACCCTGCAGATACAATTTTTAATTGAGCTTGTGTGCGAGACGCGTGCGAGTGCTGCGTATCAACGTACGCGCACGCACTTGCACGCGTTCATCATTGTGATCATGCTGTCCTTGTTTACATAATGTAAATTTGTACAATATAAAAAGAGACAGACTGATCTGATGTGCGAATAATCGAACACAATTGTTTTAATACAGGAGGGTAATGAATGTGCCATTTTAGACCGACAATGAATGGAGCTAGTTGGATTGTGGGCTCGCGCCGTTATTTTGTATGTTTCCTATCCATTGTGTTTTGCGTTTCATTTGAATCTCAGTATGAAATGTGTAACACCTTGATATACTTTCAAATGAAAATTAAATGTTTCATCACTACTATATTGGACTTTATTGCTTACAATATCCCCTACCTTGAATTCATTCGGTACTTTTATTTTATCTTAGTATTAAATCCTTTATAGTGGTGTTTCACAACGTGGGGCCTACAGAGGGGCAATAAAAAAATGGACTCGAGGCGATTTTAACCGTCTTGCTCCAGGCCATTTAAATGCAATGCTACGAGTAGATATCGGTGCCAAATTTAATAAAAAAAGTAAATTAAAAAATGCTGTAAATATTTATTAGGTATAATGTCATTTGACATTACCAAAATATCAACTGGGCGATTAGAGTCGTCAAGTAAACTTAGTTGCTAAAAAATGTACGGGGGCATAAAAATGGTAGAAATGTTCAAGTGGGGCATGGCACAAAAAAGGTTGGGATACACTGCTTTATAGAGAAGATAGGGAACATAGAAATCCCTAGGTCTCTATTCCTACACAAAATTACCTCATTAATTACTGCACTAAAACTTTAATGCGCAGTGGAATTCTATATACATTTGGCGGACTTAACACCTGATAGTGTTCTCAACTAGTCAACCATTGGACAAACCGAGAAATAAGTAGGCGGTGCATTATTGAATAGAGGAAATATAATGTAATACTTAATATAGTCATATATTATAAACATATTTTTAAATTAATATTAATATACACATATATTAAATAAATACATACATAAATAAATACATAAAATAATCTATGACACAAACAAAATAACCAGTAAGGTTAACTAAGGGAAAGTGAGATAAAAGGGAACGAAATAGGAGCGCAATTTATGTTTAAAAGCTAATTTGATTAGGGTACATATTATATCAGTCTTTAATTATCTTTTTATCTCTTCTGTAAAATCTTTAAAAACTATACAGCTATTAAGTACCAATTTAATCCAAATGTGGATAGTGGCGTGAATTTACAGGGTACAGAGGAATAACACCTGAGTCCACAGAAATGGCAACGCTTGGGCCTCCTCCCCCCTACCGCATAGGGCGTATCATGGGCGTAACAGTATACTCTATTATGTCCATGGTACTGCTCATGTGTATAAGCGACAGTTACCACTATCCATCAGGTGGATCGTCAGCTTGTTTGCCATAACTCATTTTATTTAATAAATAATTAAATATAGATCTGTCAAATTACATTGTTTACGTAAATATATAGGACACTAATAAAAAAACGAGTCAGCTAATTTGACAATTAGCTGACAATAATTTTACCCGATTTTCAGGTTCGATGCTCTATCTATATAATCTATGGGTATTTTTATTATAGTTTTGGACACAGGAAAAGGTGTTAAAATAAAATATAATTTTTAATATAAAATAATATATTTCTAACATATATACACGTTCAAGGTTGTTCTAATACAATATAAATTACATATACATTTTATCTCTACGTATAAAATAAGGAAACTAACTGTTGTAACAATGTCAATGAAACGTGACAATGTCAAGCAAATATTGTAAATCTTTCACACGGAAACATATAGTAATCTTGTTGATAATAAACTAAAGCTACGGGCAATAAAACTTATCTCTTATGAACTAAATGGACGGATATCTAGTTACAAGTGGACGGTATTGTTACATTGCATAATGGACCTTATTCGGTGGTGCCAACGTCTAGGTATAGTGATACGTCGTCTATTTTGACGAGACGACGGTAATCCACGTTCTCGCCGCACATGGGACATTTACCGTCTTCTTGTAGGAGCCTGCAATATAAATATTAGGGTAAAATTGAATGGATGCCACAATATATTTATTATGTAAGTAATACAAAAATTAAAGGTTCTAATGTGATAGGCACATTATTTGTTCTGTTCATTGCTGAACACAGACCTCTCTCATAGGCATATTAAGCCTTAAGTTAAATAATATACAGAAAGAAGCAGAGGGAGACTTTGTACAAAAGTTTTTTGCTTGGGCACCTCTGTCCCATTCGTGTTTCTACCATGAAGCAGTTGTGTTTGCATGGCTGTGTTTCGGTTTGAAGGGTGGGATATGACAGTAAATTTACAGGGTACAGAGGAATAACACCTGAATCCTCAGGAATGGCAACGCATAGGAGGTATCATGGGCGAAACAGTATACTCTGTTATGACCATGGTGCTGCTCATGTCTAGGTATAGGCGACGATTACCAGTTTCCATCAGGTGAGCCATCAGCTTAACCATTCTAAGTTACATAAAAAAAAGAAACAGGAATGGGAGCGAGGTGCCCCAGCAGATGACATTTCGTCATAGTCGTAGAATAGTGACGGTATGTAATCTTCGTCAGATCCGTCAGTATTCTACGACTATGACGACTTGTCAAAGACGCCCCGGTACTAATAATAACTGAAAAATTAATACTATTTCATTTATTAATTTGTGTCAAGAATTCTAGATAAAGAATTACTCACTCTGTGAACTCGGAGTAGATGGCCGGAAAGTCGCATTCTGGGCACGCTGTTAAATCATCTTTGACGATGTGCAAACCCTGTAAACATTTACGTATATATTTGTATTTTATAACTATAACGGATTGACAAATTTCTGATGAATTCATCATGATGGGCTAACTGGCCTGTTTTCATTCTCATCTATCACCCTTCACTGGTGCTCCGCCTGCGTATCCCGTTAGCGCAGGCAGGGTTACTATACCATTTTCACCCATTGAAAAAAAAACTACGGATTGACTATCATCTGTATAGAATATATAAAACTGTCTGCGACCTATATTTATCATTTCAATACCACCTTCATCAGTTTTCATATATTAATTCCGGGTTCTTCATAATGAATAACCGATATTTAAAACTAGTGTTTGTGTTTTTAATGTCTAAATTTTTATCTAGATTTTTTTATAATACCAAAAACTAAGAACTTAGAGTCGGTTTGTGTTGTTGGTGGATTTATATTATGCAATCAACTTATCCCCGTGTGGTCCCGGTATAAGGCCAACCCCTTTCTTTCCCGTAGTTGTCGTAAGAGACGACTAAGAGAGAGTGAGGAATGGACAGCAGCCTCCATCTTAAAACATCTCCAAAGCCTAACTACGGTTGCCGATCCGCTTGCCAAGCGTGGCAACTACTGGTAAAACCCTCCAAGGGGAAGGCTTATTTTCAGCAGTGGACAGTTAAAGGCTGATATGATGATGATGACGAAACCACTAATGGTCTTCACCAGCGAAATAAAAGGTTTATAGAAAAATATAAAGGAGTAGTGAATATAATAATAATAAATAATAGAAGCGTACGGTGGCGATGCAAAAGGGCAGGTAGGCCTCACAGCTGGCGCAGTGCAGGTCGGCGGCCGCCAGCCCGGCCACGCTGCACACGGGGCACGCCGTCCCCGCCTCGCCCTCCGCCCCCGCACCACCTGCACCACCAGCACCACCAGCCGGGCCACGCGGCGCATGACGCACCACTGATTCAATTTTCTTGCTGTACTTCGGATCAATCTAAAAATCACACGTACTTTATGACACACACTTAATATTTATGAGCCGTGAATGTACATAACATATATCAATATCAATACCCAAATCTAACCCACAGTACTATTTTCGATACAAAAAGTACAAAATAACTATCGTGATTGTAAAGAAATTATTTATATTAGCTTTAGTAATCGTAATTATTTATTTAGCACGCGCACAGCTACAAACAGCATGCTGATCGCGCAGTGCTGCTTGCAACACAGCCGTGAACTGCCCTCATGATAAAAGAGCTCCTATTGAGTTCGAAACTAGACGGGTTTCAACTAGACTCGATTTAATTTAAGATAAGATCTAAGATAGAATCCGCAAGACGTGTGCTGAGACAATGTTTCTTTGATAGTTCATGTTTAAACGTGTGATTTCAACTTTAACACACGAAAATAAACAAAAAACAAACACAACATAAACACTAAAAACTAATTTAAACACATTATAATGTTTGTATAACTATAATTTAAATTTAATTTAGTTGATTGTAAGTATTATATTAGTTAAATCTTGTTTTTATTTGTGAAAACCTGTAATTCGCTTTTTGTCTTTACTGTATTTTTTTTATTATAAAATTTTCTAGCTATTGTTTTATCTTTAATAAATAAATAAACAATTTTGTATACAATAAGCAATATAATTATTACTAAGAAGTTCCTAATACAAAAATTGGCTAATTGGAGGCCATAGTAAGGAAAATAAAAACTCATTTAAAAATTTTATATCGGCAAAAAAATATACACAGACATATACCAGAGGGAGACTTTGTACAAAAGTCGTTTGCTTAGGTACCTCTGTCCCATTCGTGTTTCAACCGTGAAGCAGTTGCGTTTGTATGGCTATGTTTCGGTTTGAAAGGTGGAATATGGCGTGAATTTACTGGGTACAGAGGAATAACACCTAAGTCCTCAGGAATGGCAACGCATGGGAGGTATCAAAGAGCGAAACAGTATACTCTGTTATATCCACGGCACTGCTCATGTCTATAGGCGACGGTTACCACTTTCCATCAGGTGGGCCGTCAGCTTGTTTGCCATTCTAAATTATATAAATAAAAATACACATAAAATACTATCTTACCTGCGATCTATATTCAGGTTGCATTAAAACTTTGGCCCAATGATGAGCTTGATGCTTCAAGCCAGCGCGGCCGCATTCGATCACTGTTGACGTCAATATTGACACTTGATCTGAAAACGAAAAACGTAAATACAGAGTGAAATTAAAATTCCTTTAAGGAAGTATCTTACTAAATGTGAACATTTACTCAAAAATTAGTCCAAAACCGACTACAAAAATAAAGCACCCTTCCTTTCAGCTCCTTTAGTCCTTCGAGCCGGATATGAACTACTAACATGCGGTTGATCAGTAAGAGATACTATAAATAAGATTAGGGGCTTATTAACCAAACTTGATGTAAACTCATACAAATAACCAATTAAATAGAAAATAAGCTCTTACGTTGTTGTGTAGGAAAGAAGGAAACATCAGCCGCGATGCGCAATAACAGACGAGCGGCAAGGTCGTGACGGCCGCGCTTAACATGGGTGCGAACCTATTTTGTTTAGAAACAAAAGTTCCTCTTAGAAATTATTAGATATACTCAAGAACTTAATTCATACGCACAATGGCCCAAATAAAAGGCTAAGTGCGGAAAATTGAGTCCAATTTACATTTACATTACTCAAGAACTCTCTAAAACAGCCTGAATTGTTAATTATAGTAAAATTTATACACACATATATAGTAAAATTACTTTTAAATTACTGCATTCAGTAGACAATATTTTAATTTTTCATTCTAACAGATCATATAGATTTGTTAGACCTTAATGCGAAATATTTAATGGTAAATAACACATTAATAACTACAGGTCACAATCAGTGGCGTAACAATGGGGTGGCAGGGCTGGCAAAATGCCACGGGCCTCCGATCTAATAGGGCCACGGCTGAAGAGGCCGCGAGCTCAGATTTTTTTTTTTTACAATATACCTGAGTACTTTATTTTACTTGAAAAGTATTTATTTATTTAACTCTTTATTGCACCATAAATAAAAATATACAATGACAAGTGAATAATTCAAGTGAAATACAGTAACATAAATACAGATAGAAATATACACATAAAGGTACAAAAGGCAGTCTTATCGCTAGGGCAATCTCTTACAGACAACCTTTGGTTAAAGGAGAACAGATAGAAAAGGGCAGGTGGCGCAAGAGTGAATTAATAATTTTTCGTGCATAAAATACAAAAACTATATATATATATATATATATATATATATATATATATATATATATATATATATATATATATATATACATACAAAATACATAAACATACACATATAAATACATACATAGCACTCACAAGGAAATATGACAAATCTAGTCCAAAAATTACAAAGGAATGGAAAAGAGTAACTACAGTGAAAGAAAATGTGATTTGACTTGTCCTTTAAACGAAGCCAAGGATTGAGCACTCCGTATAGACGGTGGCAGCGAGGTCCAGATGTGGTCGTATTTACGCAGTCCAAATATAAATCTAATATACAGGTTTTGGAGACGCTCAAGTTTATTAAGTTGGTCTTCGCTGAGATCAATGTAGCAGGTATCAGCATAGTAAAGGACAGGAAGGACAAGGGAGTGAGCAAGCGCAACTCTAATGGCCATAGGTAAAAAATTACGTAACCTTCTGAGTGAGCCCACAATCGCAAAAACCCTCCTACTAATCTCTATTATTTGAGTGCTCCGGGATAGCGTTCTGTCAAGGTATATTCCGAGATCCTTTACAAAGTCTTTATAGTCCACAGATATCCCGTAGAACATTATGTTAGGTAGATTTTCCCAGCAAATTCTCGAAATATAGTTGAGGCTCCCGATAATAATAGCCTGCATTTTATTAGGGTTTACAGTTAATCCAAATGATTTACACCAGCTCGATATGTGTGCTAGATCTTTGTTTATTAAATATATCGCAAAGTCTAACTCATGAAATAGAGCGTGTGAGTAAATTTAAAGATCATCTGCATAAAGGTGGTAGGAAGAGCGAAGTTAAATAATGATGGTGTTAATAAATAACGAAAAAAGTAATGGAGATAAGACGCCACCCTGAGGTACACCAGCTAGCGTGTGACATCATGATGAAAAGCTATCTTCAGTACGAATGCGTTGCTGGTGCCCATTCAGGTAACTTTGAAACCACTCGATTACGACTGGAGATATATTGAGAGGGCGCAATCTTCCTAATAATATATCAAAATCGACAGTATTAAAAGCATTACTTAGGTCTAACAATGTTAAAACCGTAAGCTGTGAGTTTTCCATACCATGATGGATATCGTCAGTGATTTTGACAAGAGCAGTATTTTTTTTTACTGATGGGGCCCCATCAAAAGAATTTGCCACAGGCTGAAAATAGTATAGTTACGCCACTGGTTACAACCTGATCTTCAAAACTGTTCTCTTAGTGCACTTTTTTTTTGATGGGTGAAAATGAAATGGTAACCCCGCCTGCGCTAATGGGATACGCTGATAGAGCACCAGCGAAGGGTGATTGATGAGAATGAAAACAAACCAGTTAGCCTATCATGATGAATTCATCAACAATTAACCATGATAGTTTCCAGGGGGAACCACGAGGAAGTTGACCTGGTTAGGTATATTGCTAGCAATGGGATTTTTAGTCTCCATTACTAACAATCCCTTTGCCCCCTCCTCTCTCAGTACATCGTAAAGGATCTGTTCAAGTTCAATACAATGTGGCCAAATCCTGGGATAATAATACCTGACCTCTTAACCATTAATACAAAGAACAGTATTTTTTTACTATAAGCTTCGACTAGTTGCACCAGCTCTCACCGTGTGCAGTGTACAGTACCGACCAGTATGTAGGAGTGCAGCGCGGCGAGCGCGCGGCGCACGTCGGCGGGCGCGGGCAGGCGGCGCGCGCGCAGCCCGGCGCCGCGCAGCGCGTCGCGCAGCACGTCGCGCGCCTCGCGGTACGCACCAGTATGTAGGAGTGCAGCGCGGCGAGCGCGCGGCGCACGTCGGCGGGCGCGCGCGCAGCCCGGGCCGGCGCGCGCGCACGTCGCGCGCCCGCGGCGCCGCGCAGCGCGTCGCGCAGCACGTCGCGCGCCTCGCGGTACCGCGCCGCCGCGCACTCCGCGCCGGCGATTATCACCTGCCGACGCACCATGGCCTCCGTCGGTTGAACGGTTCGTTTTGCTTTTATATCTCATTTACATTCGACAAAAATGAGTTAAATGAACAACGTGTGTACTGTGAACACCGCGTGTACTAACATCGTTTTTTTTTTTTTTTTTTTACAACACAGGGGGCAAACGAGCATGCGGCTCACCTGATGGTAAGTGACTACCGCCGCCCATGATCACCCACAACACCAGCGGCATTGCAGGTGTGCTGCCGGCCTTTTAAAAAGGAATATACTCTTTTCTTGAAGGTTATGTTGTCGTATCGGTTCGGAAATACTGCTGCTGGAAGTTGATTCCAAAGAATGGTTGTGCGTGGAAGAAAGTGCCTTGAAAAACGCACGGTGGAAGACCGCCACTCGTCCAGATGATTGGGATGAAACTTTAGTTTGTGGCGGGTTGTACGGTGGTGAAAATCAGCAGCAGGTATCAATCCGAACAATTCCTCAGAACACTCCCCATGATAAATTCGGTAGAAGATGCACAGAGATGCAACATCTCTGCGCAGCTTCAGTGGATCAAGTCGGACAGTAAGGCGTTGACTATCGATAATTCGAGCCGCCCGACTTTGAATGCGGTCTAACGGAAGGAGTTGGTACTGTGGCGCTCCTGCCCACAGGTGAGAACAGTATTCCATATGCGGCCTGACTTGGGCTTTATATAATTTCAGGCGGTGTTCTGGCATGAAATATCGTCTCACCCTATTGAGCACTCCTAACTTCTTGGAAGCTATCTTAGCCTTCTCCTCCAGATGACCGCAAAACTGGACGTCGCAAGATATATCAACGCCCAGAATTCCTAGACTCGACTTTTTATCAAGGGAAGTGCCCTGAAAGTGAGGAGATACGACAAACGGCGTCTTTTTTGCGGTAAATCTTATCGCTACCGCCTCTAGAAATGAAGTTCGTTCAGAAGTTGGAACTAAAATTGCATCTTACAGTTACAGGACCGCAGTCGAGAGTTTCACCAAATCTATCACGACTTGTAAATAAAACTATGAGCTCTTTATAGGTTTCGCGGCACGAGGAGCTTTTTTGCTAAATTACATGAAGTATGTAAAAAAATTGAAAATTAGAAGTTAGTAAATAGAAACTAGCAATCTCACAGCAGTCTTGGCAGCCTCGGTGAACTGTCGCTTGGCCATGTACAGCCGAAACAGATGACGCGGCTCGCGTGGTGTCCCATCTGTCTCGCCCAGTAGGAATTCTATTAATCTAGAACAAGGTATAATATATATAAAAAATTCGTTAAAAGTCCAAGTGAATAATATACCAATGACAGGAAGAGTAACTGACCTTCTTGTGAGCCGTTCATCATCACTCGCTGCTGCAGCATCAATTGCTATACCAATAGCCTCATTCTCCTCTTCCTCAGACCCGCCCCCAGCCTTTAACAAATGAGACATTGCCTTGCTGTACTCCCCGGCATGAAAATAAAATTTGCCAGCTAGCAAATGATTTTTCTCCCCTTCGAAATGCAACGCTAAACTCTTAAAATCTTCCGACCTCGCATGAGAAGTCTGTATTAAAATCTCTCCATACAAGTGTAGCTTTCCGTTCTTCCTCGCTAACTGAAAAGCTTCATCGTAACACAGAGACATCACCAAGAACTTTATTGCTGAACTAGGGTCGTCACTATTTTGGAAATAGTTCGCAACCATTTTAGCTCCTTGGACGGACTTGGATTCCTGGACCAATGCAACAGCTTCATCTATATCGTCCAATTTCTCCAGATTCAATCGTATGGCTGACTCATAGTCCTGAGCTCTTAAGTAGGATTTCAAAGCATCAGAATACCGGCCTTCAGCTTCCTTGGCCTTCGCATACTGTATGTGTATGCTAGGAGAGTTGATCTTGGGGAGCAGCGCTTCGACCTTGAGCCAGGACTTAAGTCTGATGTACAAAGAAGCAGCTTTCTCCGTGTTCCCCGCATGGTCATAAAGCGCGGCGGCGTGACTGTACTGCTTCTCCTCCTCGAGCAGGAGCGCACAGTCCTTGAGCAGCAGAGCGTGGTGGGCGTGCTTCATGGCCGTGGTGACTCCACGCGCCACGTCTCCACAGCGGATGCTGGTGCGCGCAATGCCTGCCTCGCAGCGTGAGTTGTGTTCACGCACTTTGGGATCATCTGTGTTGTCATGAATTAGGCTCTTTTCGTAGTTCGCAAGGGCTTCGTGATAGTCGGCACTAAGGAACGTAAGGAATAATTCTGAATGTTAGTCACATAGTCACGTTACGTATAATTCAAAGTAAAAACACCGTTTTATCCGAATAGTAATGACAACTGAAAGCTAATGTACGCACGTGAGTTCGAGGTGCTGTGCATGGTGCAGCGTGACGTCGGCAGCGCGCTCAGGACAAGCGGCAGCAGCCAGCGCAGCCGCACGAGCCCAATCACCGCGCGCTGCGTGCAGCTCCAGTGCGTGCGGCCCCGCCCCCGCGCCCTCCAGCCACCGCGCTGCTGCCTCGCCGCGCCCCAAGCACGCACACACCATACCACTGTACATACATGTGTGTGTGAGATAGAATAGGTAAGTAAGGTAGGTAAGTAAGTATAACGTGTAGAAGCGAGATAGTATGAGATGTGAATAGTTACGAACTAGAATGAGTGAAAGAGAGAGAGGGACGTGTGTGGAAGAGAGATAGGGAGAAAAAGTAAGATGGAGGAGAAGTAATACGACGACGACGCATGTGTAAGATGTTTTTTATATAAATAAATAAAAGAAGTGCTGAGATTATTGTTTTTATTGTTCCACCGCGTCACATACATGACTATGTAATACAGAGTGATAAACATTATTTTCCGTTTATTAGCATCACTGTAAATGCATTTCTTTAATTAAATAGAAAAGTAAATACTAATACTTGCGATGTTACACTTATTAAGCATAGTATTGTTACAAATTTGTGCCGTGACCAAGATTCAATAGATTTTAACCAGAAAGTTACCGCTTAGTTTGATATGCATTTACTTTATAAAGTTGTTTAAAGTTACAAGGGCAATAATATTTCACAATTTTTTTATTTACGTGCATTAAACGATAAAGAGTTGTCGATTACAAGTGGCTTCTGCATAATATAATAAATCAGGCATAAAAATTACCACGAACCAGTGACGAACAGCTGTCATTGAAATTATTCATTTTGAAGAGAAAAATACTTTCATATTTAAAACATATTTAGCACGCAGCTGAAATGTCTTTTTTCAGTGTAGCTATGTTATCTCTATTTTTAACAGTAAAAAAAAACTCTAAATATTAAAATATACATGAAGACGAATAAAAATAACTATTTATTTGTTAATACCTACCAAAGTATAGACAAATCCTCAATATGCAATGCATCTTCTAGGGCCCAAACCATCGCCACATCACTCAGTCGAGTGTACATTCGTATAGCTAAAAAAATTAAATATAAATAATATAAACAAAAGATTCTTAAAATGTGTTTTATTTGAAACACAATGAAGCCGAGTATGTATTTGTTACCAAATTCGAGATTAAGATCAGCAGCTGCACGGTCAGCAAGTGTCCTAGTGACTTCTGGGTCAGCAAGCGCATCACAGTATAGCGCGGCGTCGGAAAATCTCCGCAGCAGCATCAGCTTTTCGACGTGACGTCGCTGATTGGCGGCGCGTTTCTCCGCGTCTGCCTCCGCCAGCCCAGCGGTGTTGTGAGACTCCAACGACACCTTCTGTATACTACCAAAAAACGAGATATCACATTAATCACCACCAGATATCACCAGAGGGAGACTTTGTACAAAAGTTGATTGCTTGAGTACCTCAGTCCTATTCGTATTTCAACCGTGAAGCAGTTGTGTTTGTATGGCTGTGTTCGGTTTGAAGGATGGGATATGGCGTGAATTTACAGGGTGCAGAGGAATAACACCTGAGTCCTCAGGAATGGCAACGCATGGGATAACTATAGCGACATGGATTTTAATTATTTTGTATATTAATTAACCTGACTTTATGGACACTCATTATTATACATGGTTTCTTTCATACATGCACTTATATTACTTGCATACACCCACTCTAACTTGCCTACTTTGCTTTAGAATTATAATTTTATTTATTTATAAGAGACTTAACATGTACGAGTAAGTTGTGTTTTTAAGAACTATAGATTTTTGTGTTAAATAAATAGACATTTTATCTTCAATTCTTTTTGTATTAATAATCAACCTATTTTGTTTCATCTCTGTGAATGTTGAGTACAACTATAATTGGATTGCATACTTATAATGCTACTGTTGTATTCTATTGTTAAAAATTTTATTTGTAATATGTTGATGTACCACAGAAATAAATAAATAAACAAAACTTACATGCCCCCCGTAGCGTAGCAGTAGACGTCGCCAGAGAACAGTATGAGCGGTATCTGTCCCGTGAGGATCGTGGTGGACGCAACGTAGTCTACGTGCGGGCCATCGATCGAGTTCGCCGCGTAGTAGTAAGTGTCGATTGTATCCTCCGTGTATATTATGAATACATTGCGGTCCGACAGGCAGATGTCCCAGATCACGCCTCTGTTAATTTCGTAAAAGAAAAACAATAAAAACTCTGCAAAAATGTTGAGAATGGTTCAATTGAAAGATTTCTCTGGTTATGTGTGTGTGTGTGTTTATATATAGAATATGGTTTGACAGATTTATGTAAAAAATTACTAAAGATAATTCTGATTAAAGTAATTACAAAATAAACTTATGTTGCCAAAAACTAGTCAGAGAAAGGTTTCAGTTACTACAACGTTCTTAGTTATTAAATAAATTATCGAGAGATCCTCGTTTACTTTGGTGTTACATGCATTCATTTGTTCGGAAGTTCAAAAATCCTACTGTATACAAATTATTACAGGATTTACTTTGTATAATAATAACATGTTAACGTAAATTAACTTGTTAATTAGTAACAGTATAATGTTTTTACCGCAAGAATCTCGTGTATTTCTTTTTTTTTCGTAGATTTCGTAGGTGACGTAAAAAAACAATTCATTTTGCTGGTAATAGGAGCCGCCTCAGCTGTTGCTATATATGCACTCTTCCAACGAGATGTATCTATATAGCGCTGATTTTCAGGCGGCCTCCTAACTCCTTTAACTTTAGCATGCGGGCGAGTCGAGAAAACCCATTTCTCGGATGGGAGAATTTCCATCATAACATTGAATGCCCAAAAATTATATAAAAGGACAAGTTCACTCCAAGTTGATCGTGTTGTCGTGAAAAAAAACATAGTTGTCAAATTTATTTTTTTTAACTATTTTTCCTTTAATTTTGAACATAAATGACATACCTTAATTTATTTCACCAATAAAAAAAAAAACATGCAAAGCAGGGTTAACAATAAATAAATAAAAAAATTATGACCAAAATTAAAAAAGAACAAACTCTGAATAAATAATCGCAATTGACAATGAGAGCGCGGGTACCTGAGCGGCGCGGGCGGCGGCGCGGCGCGGCGCGGCGGCGGCACGGCGGCGAGCGCGGCGGCGGCGGGGCAGTACACGTGCGCGCGGCGCCGCGCGTCCGCCAGCACGGCGCGCGCGCCGCTGATGTCGCAGTGCACGCTCGCCACGCCCGCCGCGTGCCGGTAGCGCGCCGCCGACCGCCACTCCTCCACGCCGAAGTACTCGATGTGCCCTTGCTGCGCCACCGATACATATGTACCACACGGTGACCGGTAAACGTTTTGACCACTAACTAGACCCATTCTTTACTATCGGGTTAAATACTATCCGCTAATACTACATACATATATTTTTTTATACAACTTAATAATGGCAAACAAACTGACAGCCCACCTGATGGAAAGTGGTAACCGTCGCCTATAGACATGAGCAGTACCATGGACATAACACCTGGGTACCTCTGTCCCATTCGTGTTTCAACCGTGAAGCAGTTGTGTTCGCATGGCTGTGTTTCGGTTTGAAGGGTGGGATATGGCGTGAATTTACTGGGTACAGAGGAATAACACCTGAGTCCTCAGGAATGGCAACGCATGGGGGGTATCATGGGCGAAACAGTATAGTCTGTTATATCCATGGTGCTGCTCATGTCTATAGGCGACGGTTACTACTTTCCATCAGGTGGGCCACCAGCTTATTTGCCATTCTGAGTTGTATAAAAAAAAACTACAGTTAAATATAGCATATTTTTGCTGTGTAAATACACAGCGACAATATATTGACACCATAACCTCACCACTAATAACGACACACAATTCATCCATCTTTTTTTTTTTAATTCGTCAAAAAACATCAGCCGTCGAAAGTAAGAATTTCGGATCATGGGAATCCTTTAAACGAGACTTTATAGACAGAAATGTAGACACTCACGTCTGTAACGAAAATGAAGAAATCTCCGGTGAGATGTATGTCCACGATGTTGGCGTCTTGCATATGCGGCTCGGGAAATATCATGGCTTCTCGTTCCGGTTGCGATGTATCTGACTGCTCAATCTACGTTGCAAATTATTAAGAAATATATTAGAAATTATCCTGAGTGCTACATTACAAAATTTAAGTAGGCTTTTTTTGCGGTTACATTATCGATAAGATTTCATTTGATTTGAAAATATCATCATCATCATCATCATCATATCAGCCGTCAACAGTTCACTGTTGAACATAGGCATCTCCCAATTGGGGGGTTTGCCTGTAGTTGTAACGCTTGGCAGGCGGGTAGGCAACCGCAGTTAGGCTTTGGTGATGTTTTAAAAGGGACTCTGCTGCTCATTTCTCGACTATTAGGTTCCCTTAGTTGTCTCTTACGACACTCACGGGAAAGGAAAAGGTGATCCATTCATTGCGGAGACTACACAGCAAGTGGCAGGACACTATTAAAACATATTTTATCACCATACTTTCAAACATCGACATATTGTTAACATATGGTAATGAAAATGAACGCAAGTTCACTAGTTTATCGAGGAGAATACATCCAGGATTCATCATAGTAGTTGTTGGAGTTTGATTGAGATGACGAGGTTGGTAGAGATATATATTTCTAATAACTTAGTTACAACTGACAATATTAACACATAAAAGTGATCTTATGTACTAAATACAAATACAGGAAATTAAGACAAAAATGGTGGGGCGATACATTAACTTAGTATGTGCAGTGATAAATTAACAATTATTAAATTTCTTAATATACAAACAATTTCCTTACTCCACTGCACATATAAACATAGATATAACTCTATAATGATCTACAGTGGATACAGATAGGAATGGAGATCACCCAGAGAGAGAGAGAGAGAGAGAGAGAGAGGGAGGTGATGGTCAGTTACCAGGTGCAGCATGGCCTTCCCCTGGAAGAGCGCGGCGGCGTAGTGTCCGGCGAGGCGCAGCGCCTGCACGGCGCCGGCGTAGTGGCGGCGCGCCGCCGGCCGCGCCGCCACTACGCCGCCCGCCAGCGCGTAGAACCACGCGTGCGCGCCGCTCGCGCAGCACACGTGCGCCGCGCCCACCGCGATCACGCTCGGCTCCGTCGGGAACGTGTACGTCGCCAGCGCCACCGGCTCCGCTGGGTATTGCGTTGTTACTTCATTACAGTTCCGGACAAATATTATAAAAATACTAGTATTCGATCGATCTGGATGATACGACTAGAATGACGTGGTATGTATTTTTAAGTACAAAAAGTAAAATTAAAGGAACGCTGTACTAAAAATATAATTCTTTAGAAATAGTTTATATAATAGTAGTAATCAATAGGAGTAAAAAAATAAAAAAATATATAATATTGTATACTGCGTTGCATGTATCAACTTCTTAGAGGTACTTTCGTATTTCGTACTTAATGACTTTGAAGGCAAACAGGACAAAAATTAAATATTTAATTTGTTAAAATATAAAATTTCCATAGCAATGTGGCATTGCAAAAACAAAATTCTTAAGAACTCCAAGTAAATGTACTTACTCGGAGAATTATATTATGCCAAAAAAATTCATAAAACACATATATAAAACATGCTTCCCAAAAGACTAATATAAAGAAAAGAAAGTAGCGTACATTTATTGAGCGGGTCTACGTGGTCGGCGCCGTCGGCGAGCGGTATGCACTGGTAGAGCGTGGCCTCCGCGAGGCTGGTGAGCGCGAGCGCGCGCGTGGCGCAGGCGGCGTGCAGCGGCGGCAGCGCGGTCACGTACACGGCCAGCGCGCCGCGGCCCGCCGCCGCCACCAGCCGCCCGCCCGCGCCCCACGCCGCGCGCTCCGCACCGCCCGCCGGCGCCACCGAGCCCCACACCGACCCGCTGTTCCACAGCGATATCAGCTTCAGCCTGCGCAGCCGCCGCCGCCCACCCCACTCTTAGTAACGGGGGACAAACGCCGCACTGCTGCCGGTATAGCGTCTATCGGGTCTAACGTTAACGATATGGTCACCTCCTAACAACACGCAATCCCACCTAGGAACCATCGTAGTTATTTTGTGGTGAAGCTGCCACGGCGGGCCAACTACTCTGATTTCATCCTCACCTATCATTCTACACTGGTGCTCCACCAATATACCACAACCGCAGACGGCGTTACTATTCAATTATCATCCATGAAACAAAATTCTTTAAACATCTGTTAGGAATTTATCAATCGCATTGTAATCATGTGGTCACTATAACACATATTCATAATTTTATTTTTATAAAATATCAACTAATTTTATTTACATACAAGATGTTAGATGAAATAATAAACAACTTGCTATGTTAATGTACACGAATAATGTAATAACTACCGATTCAACTTACGTGTAATTAGATCGAAGAAGCTTGACTAATTTCGAAATCAATTCGAGACCCTTAATCATAAGCGGCTGTGATGCGAACATGAGTCTGACTGATACTAGTCGAGCTTTCTCGATCTAATTATATGTAGATTAAACCGATAGTTATTCCATTAAAATATAATGTGTGCTTACGTAACTTTTAACAATAAAATAACTTACTGCCCATCACCGCATGAAGCAGCTAACGTATCGCATACAGCAATATCTGTTAAATTCTCCTTGTGGTTTTTCACTTGGAACAATTCCTCGCCAACCTCCTTTATATGGGTTGATATGGCTATGATGAAGCCAGCGCTAAACCCTATAAGGATGTATCCATCCCCATACCACTTATATGAGACAATCGACCCGTATCTCTGTTGGAATGCCAGCTCTATCGGGTTCTCGGGGTTCAGGAGATTGTATAAATACAGCGTCCGTTTGCCAACTACGAGGCTTATCTAAAAATATTTAACCATTCATTAATGTAAAAAAAATGTTTAAAATTTTAAATATATAATTCTGTTGCCCTAAATATAAAATTTAAATGTTAAAACATCCTAAACATATAGCAATTTAACTGACTGTTCCCAATTAACAGTTCCAAAGAAGGGGTATTTGAAAATGCGTACGTTATTGAAAATAAAAAGACTGACTCCACAGGTAATAAAATTTGCACCACATTTATGGTCCTTGCTGATTTCATGACTCACAAAGAAATATTTTCAGATTTCACCAATTTTTTAATTATATTTATTGTAAACAAAATATATATTTGTGCACCTGCACACACCTGGTACACCCATATTGTCATCATAATATCAGCCTTTAACTGTCTACTGCTGAACATAAGCCTCCTCTTTCGAGGGTTTTGCCAGAAGTTGCCACGCTTGGCAGACGAATTTGCAACCGCAGTTAGACTTTGGTAATGTTTTAAGAGGAACGCTGCTGCCCATCCCTAGTCCTCCTTTAGTCGGTTTTTACGATAACCATGGGAAAGGAAGGGGTGGCCTATTCTATACCGGGACCACATGGCTATGTATTGTCATTATTTAACATACAAATCTTCTACAAATTTAATTATCTGTTTTTAATAAAATCCATTAAGATTTTTAAATCAACATGCCAAAGATCAAGAGTATCAAGGCACATACATACTTACACCTAGTAAATATTAACATTTGTTTGGAAGTTAAGTAAAAATATGTCCTTATGTGTAAAATTGTGTAAAATGTTACTTACAGTATTTTCCCCAGCGACCCTCTCGTCTGTCTTCATTTCAGAAAACTGCAGATCGTTAGGTGTATCCCGGAGAGATATAATGCGAAGGGTGTCCCCATCGGAATTATTAATAGAGAGACTCTTATCTTCAGATGCTAGAACTAGGATACTGTCCTTGTTCCATGCAGAACAAGTGATCTTTTTAGTATGCTTTCCAATTATTGGTATCCTCCTGAAATGTTAATAGATCTGATCTTGAGGTCATGCCAAACCTAAATATTCTATCATGTTAATTGGATAAACATCTTATCTTCAGGATCAGTTTTCAATCTATCAAGATATCAGTCAGTTTTGGATCATTATGCCATCATCATCATATCAGCCTTTATATATATCCTAAGTCACCTGCATCCATTGACTTCTATCAATGCATTTGAGGACATCACTCTATCTAGTGAGGAAATGAAATTAAATGAATTTATTTTGCTAGAATGCAGGTAATTTTAGATGATAGAGGTTTATATTTCCCATGTACATTCTGCCTCTATGTCGATGGATGGTCCTACATTGTTGTTTTTGCTTGTATGGGGTTGCCACTCAAAAACCTTTCTTTCCCATCGAATGTCGGTTCTTCAAACTATGTGACCAGCCCATTGCCACTTCAGCTTGCATATTATTATTATTATTCAAAATTATAATCCTTAATTGAGCAGGTATGGTAGTTGTAGAAGATTAGTCAGTCTACAGAAAACCATTTACACAAGGAAATATACATTAATGGAACAAATAGGTGCTTTGTTTTAAATGTCAACTTATTTTATGTTAACTTACTTTGTAGTATGATGATTATATAATGCTAAATTGCCTTTTTGGGTCCCAATAGCCAAAAGTGGTTCACCGTATGCCCAAGCCAAACATGAAGGTGGCTCCCGAAGTCCCGTCTCAATAGTGACACGTTTGTTGGCATGGCACTCCCACAACAGTACAGAGTTGCTGTTTGGAGTTATCATAGCTAAATAGTCGCCATCATTATCCCATTCCATTCCACCACAGAGACTGGTGAAAAAGAAAAAATTAACATAATGTTTTTATTGTGGGTCCATAAACATTTTTAAAAATATTCAAATTCCCAATAAGGTTTTAAATGCTTTTAATTATCATTTAATACTATAAAGATATAAGAGACTTAGCATGTAAATTGTTTTTTTAAGAGCTGTGGATTTTTGTATTAAATAAATTAAACAAAAACTAAGATTGATCTGAATAATTCTATTTTTATTTATTTTATTTACTACTATTTAAAGTCAGTACTTTCTTTATTTTTTTTTTTACAATTACACAGTAGCTATTTCCATAAAAAAATAAATTTCTACAAAAAATAATTTATAAATACAATTGCTGCCGCTAGATAGTGTTGTATAATAATAAAACCAATATACTTGTGCAATATGGATGTATTAGTCCTAACCAAGTTACAATTGTTATTCATAGTATAAATAACAAAAGGTAAGATTCAACAAGGCAATAAATATCATCCAATATTAAAAATTTACCCCTGAAGCTTTATTCTTTCTAATAGCTGCCCAGAGCGGTCATGAATTGCAACTGTAGCATCAGTTCCGGTTGTTGCAAGAAGAGAATGAGATTCACCCTTCTGCCATTGAAAATACAGTTCGCCAAGTCCATGAGGCTGCTCCAGAGTATACAGCAACTATAATATGAAATTTTAATTTGAAAAAACCTAAATTTATTTGAAGAACAACATAAAACAGAATTTTTTAAAACAAGAGCCAGATAAATTTTATGTTGTTGTTAACACGCGGATAAAAAAAAACAATTCTGGATGTTGTTGTCTCACTCTAACTCGTGCACGTCGCAGCGATAACATATCTATCGACAGAATCGTTTGCCAATAGTGTAGGGACGCTAGGCTATAGTGCCATTTACATCTACCTCTTCCATATTTTAAAGCTGAATTAAGGTATCTCAAAATAGGTGTAACAAACATTATTAAATACACATTTTCTTACTTTGGGCGTCGTCATTGTAGAAGAGTATGTTGTGCCTGCTTATGAAAGCTTCGTATAATATCGAACATATAAAGATATGAACAAATATTATCGCTGCATTCACAATGTGTAATTTTTTTTGTTATCCATTATATTTTAAAAAAATAATGAATAAACAACATAATATTTTGATTATACGTTGCTAAGCAACCGCAACCGGCAGTATCCGGCTTCCGGTTCCGTCAAGCAACAATGTCACAATTGCACCTGTGTCATGCATCACGTATATCTGTCACTCCTAAGTCATAGTTAAATACAGAATAGTAACCTTACATTGACACTATCCTTTATCTAAGTTTTCTGTTTTACAATCGAATTAATGTTTAAAAATTGACATAAATATTTACCTTTGGTATTTACTACATTGACTATTTTTATTTATATTGTTATCATTTTAATTTATCATAATAGTAGTTGCAATAACAATTATTATATAATTAATAAATTGAAAATAATATTTAGTTATAAATACAAATTTCTGATTTATATGGCTATTTGTATAGAACTCATTTTATTATAAAGGTTTATTTTATCATAGCTTTGTAATGTCTGTTGCATGTCAGTAATTACAAAATGTGTGAAACAAACTTTTATACTATACTAGCTTTCGCCCGCGTGGATCTTGGTTATCGCAATATGCAATTTTTGGAAATAACTCGGTAGATTTATTTGGATAAGGATTAATACTGGAGTATGAAAATACCACCCAGAAGGCGACCAGCGTGGTTATTCGTAATTTTAGAAAAAAAAGTGATTATTGTGACCTAACCGTAATAGTTAGACATATGCTATCGCGGACTTATTTGTAGATCTCAATGAGTACTTTAAAAACGTAGAACATTGTTTTTCATTATAAGCAACTATTTAGTCAATGTACACAAGATAAGCGAATTTTATACAATTTTTCTTCCGACTTGCTCGACATACATGGTCAAAGGATGTAGCTATCTATTGGTGAAAGAATTTTTGAAAACGGTCCAGTAGTTTTTGAGCCCATTCATTACAACCAAACAAACAAAGTTTTCCTCTTTATAATATTAGTATAGATTACCTTATTGTACCACATTTTGACAACAAACATTTGTTTTCATTTCATTTATATATATTTTACTTAACATTAAGTCAAAATTGTTATTATTTTACATTATAACGGTCCATAAAACAGTAATATGGCGACATTATCAAATTGACATATTAGGCTAAAAGATAATTTTATAGATATGGTGGCTCAGAATCGGCCCCGTTTATTTACAGGTTGACCTAAAATTGTCTAAAATAAAAACATTAAAAAGTAGCATTGCCAGGTTGAATATTAATTTACTATTTTAAGTATAAATTTCTCCTTGCGAAATTTTAGAGATGAATTTTTGGAGAAAAATTTGTAGAAATTTGTTTAACTTTTTGGAAAGTTTTGGTACTTCTAAAACATACAAAGGTGGCGAAATAGGGAATACGATAACAGAGAGGGCAAGGTGAGCTTATTATACATTTGGAGAGAAAATATTTGGTTAAAACTCAAACTTCGCATCTGGCAATCTATTTTATAATTTTTTTTGGTTTGCAATTTTGAATGATACTTTTTTATTTCATATTAAATATTTCTTATGGAAGAAGTGGGATTATTTTAAACAAACATTCAATTTCTAAAAGATGTTTCGATTTCCAAATACCTAAATAAGATATGATTCATTCGACAAATCAACATTTTATTCAATAAATAGTACATTGAATTAACATATATAATAGTTGCGTTGTTTTTAAGCAGCTATTAGCTTTTAATTAAATACTGAATTATTTTTACCGTATACTTTAGGATCAAAATTTAAAATGACTTTAATAAACAAGGTAAGTACTTAATAATAAAATCAAATATTACATATGTAATATGGTTCTCTGGCAGTGGGCATTAATTTTTTTTTAACTTAAAGGTAACAAGCAGCCAACTTGTACCAACATTCTTAGAACACAGCTCCTCCTTAGATAAGAATACACTGTCTTAGATTTTTAAATCTTAAACATATTAATTTCTTTTCTTTCTCTTATATTTATAATTGACATTTTAGATTTAAGTGCCAAAAAATAGATTTAAATATTACCTATGGATTTAATAATAAGTTAGTATATATATTTTGTCTACTTATTGTGTTAATTGATAAGTAATAATAAGGGTATTAATTTTAATTTTTTCAGGTGTGTTCTATGACAGCGGACAGTGCAGTGTTAAAAAACATGAGGAATTTATATGTTTCTTATAGACATCATGAAAACAGTTTTGTACTTAATTTTTATAATAAAAAAATTCAGTATATGCAGGATCCACAGCAGAATAGCATACAAGAAAGGGATTCCGATGTATTACAGTTCAGTATAGATAGAGCAACAATGCTAAAGTATGTACTCACACACATATCATTTGAGAAACCTCATATAGAATCTGAAGAGAAACACATTGTTATTGATTTTAGCTCTCCAAATATTGCAAAGCCATTTCATGTTGGCCATTTGAGATCTACCATCATTGGTAACTTTATTGCGAATATTAATAAATTTTTTAACAATAAAGTCACCAAAATCAATTATTTAGGTGACTGGGGCACACAATTTGGGCTACTGCAATATGGATTACAAGCTAAAAATATTGATATTAGTAAACTTAAGAGTAACCCAATAAAATGTTTGTATGATACTTATGTTTATGCTAATAAATTATCAGCTACTGATGCCGAAGTACAGAATCAGGCAAGAAAGTATTTCTCTGACATAGAACAGGGCCAAATTAGTCTAGACAAATGGAAACAAATCAGAGAGCTTACTGTAACAGAACTTGAAAATGTATACCAAAGATTAGGCATACAGTTTGATGATTATCACTGGGAGTCAGATTATAATGGTAGAGCTATTAAACATATGATGGATTTGCTTGAACAGAAAAATATAATTGTAACAGATGACTCTGGAAAGAAAATAGCTAAAGTAAATAATAGAAATGTTACTGTGCTTAAAAGTGATAACTCTACCCTATACCTGTCTAGGGATATAGCAGCTCTCTTGGACAGGTACAGAAGATATAAATTTGATAAGATGCTCTATGTAGTAGATAATGCACAAACAGATCACTTTGCAGCTGTTTTTGAAATAGTAAGACAATTTGATAAGGAATGTACAGAGGGATGTCAGCATATAAAGTTTGGAAGAATAAAGGGTATGAGCACTAGAAGTGGTAATGTTGTCTTCCTTAATGATATACTAGATGAAGCTAAAAGGAAAATGTATGAAAAACAACAATTATCAAAAAGTAAGTTTCACAATTCACTGCAGGGGGTGAAATCTTAAACAAATTTTAATTAATTTTAATACACCCAGTAGAGTTTAATAGGTATCTAAATTAAAGTAAAAATGCTTTTTAACTCTCCTAATACTGGGATCCATTCTGACTCACACCCACTTATAAATCACCAAACAGAAAATATTTTAATTGCTGTGTTTTGATTTGAAGGGTGGGATATGGCGTGGGTATTTACAGGATACAGAGGAATAACACCTGAGTCCTCAGGAATGGCAACACATGGGAAGTATCATGGGCGAAATAGTATACTTTGTTATGTCCATGGTATGTTATGTTATGCTCATGTCTATAGGCGATGGTTACCACTTTCCATCAGGTGGGCCGTCAGCTTGTTTGCCATTCTAAGCTGTATAAGAAAAAAAAAAGAACACTCAGGGTGCCGTTTTGTCCATCCATCTATCTATTACAGTGCTATATTTCTACAACTACAAATGCTATTGATTTTAAATTTGGAATAGTTTTACATATTGTTGGCCCACATACATTGTAATAAAAATAATTGAAAAATATTTTCATTTTCTTTGCTAGGGGCAAAAAGGACCACCCAAAATTTCAAAATGGAACTAGTTCAAGTGGGGTATCATAGAAAAGGGCTTCATTTGTACATTTTAAAACTGATTTTTATATTATAAAGATATATGTAAATATTACAGGTAAAATAATGTTTACCTAGTACTGTTTTTTTTTTTCAGATATTATCCCAAAACATTTAAAAACAAAGTTATGTATTCCAGTTTTTAGGCCCCAAAATAATAAAATTCACAATTTTGGTATCAACAATAAGTATGTTAACTTAATATTTATTTCCATATTAAGTGTCATAATCCCGGTATAGAATGGGCTACCCATTCTTTTACCGTGGGTGTCATAAGAAACAACTAAGGAAATTTAATGTTCAATGGATACATAGCAGCATCACATTTAACATGTCTCCAAAGCCTATCTGTGGTTGCAAACCCACCTGCCAAAACCTGGTAATAACTGATAAACCCTCCCAAGGGGGAGGCATATGTTCAGCAGTGGACAGTTAAAGGCTGCTAAAACTAAATATACAAATCTTGTCTAAATGTACAAATCAAAAACTTTCTTGTATAAATACATCCAGTATAATTTGAATCAGAACTACTTTCAATTTAGTTAATAATGCTCTAGAATATATTTCATATATTTATACACCAGTAATTTCCTCTTATATATTGAACTAAAAATATAAGTAATACCCACCTAGTATATGAACATGAAACAACAATATATTTATAATTACACTTTAATATTTTACAGATACAAGAAGTTCTGCTATGAACGAAAAGACCTGTGACATACTTGGAACAACAGCAGTTATAGTCAATGATTTGAAGCAACGAAGACAAAAGGATTATGTGTTTGACTGGGATAGGGCTCTACAAAGTGAAGGGGACAGTGGCATCAAACTCCAATATTTACACTGTAGACTGTGGAGTCTGGAACTGAACTGTGGAGTATCACTGCCAGATGCATGTGACCCTAGCTGTCTACCTGAAGAAATTATTGGCGATGTAGTTGCAGAATTAGCAAAATTTGAAGACATTCTATATAGATCTCACACAGACTATGAAGCTTGTATCATTGTTAACTATTTATTTCGTCTAGCAAGATATGTAAATAAAATGTTTAATGAATTAAAAGTTAAGAATGTTGATCCACATGTTGCAGCCCAGAGGCTCCTGGTCTATCACTCAGCTCGTATTGTTGTTAAAACAGGACTAGAGATACTAGGTGTTAAACCACTGAAAGAAATGTGATACATGCTAATAAAGATATTTATTTAGAAAGTTTAAAATTGATTTTGGTTGCATTATAAATACTAATACTACTAGCTTTTACCCGCCACTTCATCCGCGTAGCTGGAATGTGTTTACTGACCAGGATAAAATGTAGCCTATATCCTACTCTTTCCCATATAGTATGTGTATAACAAATTTCATAATTTATAACCGACATCTGTAGATATCCAATCGGTTACGGGACTAAGGTAACAAACAAACTTGCATTTTTTACACAGAGATTTTTGTAGATATATCAAACCATATTACAGTAATTCTCTTCTGACTTTCTTAATTTCATTCTTTAGTCATATACCTGAAGTTACCCAAGATATTTACGACTTCAGTACTATAGTAGTATAAGGATATAAAATATCTATCTTAAGTACCAAATATACGTAAAAAAAAATATTGAAATAAGTATTTTCCACAAACTATTATTTTGTCGAGCATATTAGGATCTTAGAACATCTGTGATAGTTTGTTTGCGGTGTTGTCCATCATCAATTCTGTTAATAAGTTACATTAGGTACTATTAGTACCAGAGGGCCTACCATGAAATGTTTCCCGAAATTTCAGAGCCGAACGAAACATTTGATGTTAAAATTACATAATACTTACCGTTTAAAAATATTAAAATATTATTCCTTTGGACTTTTATGGTAGAATTTGTGACGAACGAAATGTTAAGCTTCATTTACTGGGCCGTATTAGGTATGAAAGAAAACACGAAATTGAGTCCAAAACTTCGGAATTTCATTTCATGTTAAGCCTCTAGATACTATTTTATATTGTAGTACCCATAAGAAATAAAAGATGAGAGTTAATTTAGATAAGTTAATTCATTGTGACCTACCGCAGGTATTGTTTTTTAATAGTTAATCATAGAATCTTAATCCTGCCCATGCTAACAATATATGCCGGCGGGGCACCTGCGACTCATGATAGGTGAGAATGAAAGCAGGTCAGTTAGCCCATCGTGATGAATAGACCTGAAATTCAGCACTGTTTCCAGGGAGGACTACATGGAGGTTGTCCTGGTTGGGTATATTGCTAGCAAAGAGACCCTTAGACATTGCTAACAATTCTTTCTACTCCCACCGATGATTGTAACGAAAGTCATTAGGAATTAACTATGATAGTTTCCAATGGAGCCGTATAAAAATCTATTGTAAAGATATATTATTACTACGTAATGCGGCCGTCAATCCTAACCGTAAAGGAGAGGTGCGCGAGACCAGGATGAACAGTAATAGCCTTATCCTTCTCCATCCCATAATTTTAAGGAAGTACCTATTTACTGACAATAATTAAGTACCTAATTACATATGTATGGAAAAATTAAATTTATAACTGAAAATAAAAAAGTTTATAAAAATAAAAAAATCCAGAACTGTAACTTATAGTTGCTTAATCAAGAACGTAAATTTTAATATTAATTCTAAATATTCAATATTAGGTTAAAAATAATTACACGTTATTTTTATTATCCAAAAATTTATATTAGAATGAATTGTTTAACAACAAAATATATAGATATTGATTATTTATTAATACACAAATATTTAAGGCTGTATAAAAAATAACTTTGTCTTTCATAAAAACCTAAAATGTGTCTATGGTGGAACATTTTAACTATAGACAAGCGGTAAAGACACGTATTGATAATGGCCACTCCCGATTTGGAGGGAATTTTCAAATACATTATTAGTGTTTATAATTTTTATACTATTAAATAACATATGCTTCTAATACTTAAAAGATAATTAAATTTAATAATGAAAAACTAACTTATTTATAAAATAGGGCCAAACAATAGCAATTATAAAACAAAAACTTGATTACATGAGGATTATGACTTCGGCTTTCTTCGTATGTATTCGGTTTTGAACGCCGTGACGTCAGAAATTTCAGACCGATCCTGCGTCAAATCGGCACTTCCGGCAGTCACGTGGTATGCACGGGCCAATCACAATGCTTGGTTTCTTTATAGGCCGACATTTTCTGACAAGCGTAGAAAAAGTTTTCATCAACAGCCGCCATTTTGCGCTGGACAGACTGAGAAGAATTTCGGAATTTGTCGTGTAAATTTTCTGTTTTTTCTTACATCATTTTATCATAAACTGTACCATTCCGTGTATTTTAAAGTGTTAAGTGAAATTGTGTTGTTCGATCAAATAAATAAGGCCCATAAAGTAGAGAAAATCTGGTGATATTGTTTTCATTTATTGTGTAGTTCGACGGAAGATGGTGAGAGGGTCTGTGTAGCTCTTCGATTCGGAGCTTTGTAATGGCGAATACTTGAGTGAGAAATTTTAATATGTGCCTTCAATGGTGCGAAGGACATCGGACGATTGTGATGTGGGTGAATTACGTTATAATGGATGACAAATCGCTCTAAAATGTTATTTCTTGAAGATATAAGACATAAAAGTGTTATTTGAATCGGCGGGCCGAAATATTCACGACGGCTTACGTTTAGTAAACAGAGCCATGGCCGATCATCATGTGGATGAACCGCCTAACAAGCGGGCAAAAATGATCAGGGACCCTTTTCAGGGTCCCTCGGACTCCGCGGGTGAGTACTTTAATATTTTATACAAGTTTAACAAGTGTTGAAACGATGTTCTGTCATTATTATCTTTCTTTAATTTTTGACATTTTGCCGTCGTTCTTGTTAGCGCCTCGCAAGATTTGCGTCGTATTATTGTTTCTTCACTGTCGTAATTTAATGCAATTTAAGCCAAAAATAATCTCTAGTAATATTTTACATTACTGTAGAAAATTATGTTAGTTGTATCTCATCAAACTGATAAAAACTTATGTTCGAGTAGTTATAACTTTTATTACAAGAACATCGAATTTTAATGGTGTTTCTTTCTAAAAATATATTCTTTACCAGAAAATCAAGGTTCAAAAGTTTGTTTATAAACATTTCTATAATATTAAAAAATCTATCAAATTAGGTCATGGTCTCTTTTTTGCACTATAATTTGTTAAATTTAATATGAAATAATTGTCTATATTCAATTTTTAAAATACACAAAAATTTTCTGGTTCTAATTACCTAATAAATTCTTGTTTTTAAATTAATTCTGTCTTAGGTTTGACCTACATAATTTTTTATTATGTAGAATAAAAAAAAAAATTACCAGTTATTTTACAGATAGTGTGAAAAGAATATTGCTATAACTTTCACCATATATACTTTTACCATATAAACTTTTAAAATGAGACTATATGTATATGAAAATATTGGTTATGGCTATAGGTATAACAATGTTCTATATATTTTTTACTCCAATAAATTGGTATATAATAGTATTACTACTAAAAATAAAATATAAATATATAATATTTTTATAAATTATTTTTGATGATTAAGATCACAATGTGACACATAACCTATTGGCAAATGATATGAAAGAAATTGTCACTTAAATTATTTTACCATAGTATTCTTTATAGTAAAATGTTGCTTTGTTTGTTCATGGTATAATTTTTCATTAAAAATTAAATAAATTTGATAATAAATAGTTTTATGTAAAACTTGATATTGTTTACACTATGAAATGCTTCATAAATATGGATTCATTATATATGTGTGGCATTAGATAAAAAATAATAATATGATCTCTTGACTGTAATTCCTTAGGGGGTAATAATCAATTAATAAAATTGATTTGATTATGAAATTCCACTCTCTATAACTGGAGCCAGTTTGTGTAGATAATCACCTTACAGGACATGTCAATAAGACAATGCTGTGTTGTCTATGATTAGTAATTCCTTTTATTATTTCAATTTGATATTATATTTTGCATAATAAATAATATATAAATATTATTATTCTGAATAAGAATAGTTTTTATTAAATTTAATATTATTATCAATATTTTTGAATAGTCATTTTGTATGTTTATAATCTAAACAAAATTTTAGTATAATTCCTTTTTAAAGAAAGCCAGAACTACTTTTTATTTAATTCTTAATGGGCCATACTGTAATAGTTTTGCTAAACATAACATTAAAATTATAGTTTTAGGTTTGCTATTAGGGAATGGTACCACAGTTTTTAACCCATTGTCTAATTATATTAAATCCTTACCACATAATTTTTAATGTCATATTAGTAACAGAAGTACAATAGTTATATGAAAATTGATTTATTTTATTATCTTCTGTTCTGTTCTGTTCAGGTCTGTAGGCCACGTTTCCTCAGGGAGACTGTTGGTTTGTTTGGCATTTTAAGTTGTAAGAAAAAATCACAGATTTTAATTTTTCTACACTTTTGCTCTGTAGTAATTATAATATTTCTAATGTTAGCAGTCAGAATGATTACTTTTGTTTCTTTCCTAAAAAAACCTTTTCTTTTTTTAAGAAAGAACTTTTCTTATCTTGAATAAATAGGAGGGAACATATAAATTCTGCTATTCTCTATCTCTAAATCTTTGTTCTAAGATTATAACAAATTTCAGTTTAGATCTGCTTTACATTTTTGTTCTTGGTGGGTTAAAACATACTAATACTTTCACTAAATTATCAATTTAAATTTTATAGATAAAAAGCTATCAAAATTTTTAAAAACCTATAAAAATGTTTAGTAATTTTCATTTTAGAACTTCATCAACCACAGATTTTATTAATTCATTGTTTAAGGATTACAAAATAATAGAATATTTACAGTAAATATAGGTTATGTTTTATAATTTTTAAATTGACAATAAAAAAATACATCTGGAATAAAAAAACAAAGACATTATTTATATTTATGTCATGGAAGAAAGTTCTTGACATGCTGCTACTGACTGTTGATCTACATTCATTGCCAAAGAACTCATATTTTGTGTTGTTCAGTAATATGAAATAGACTAGACCATTTGTTGATGAAATTTCATACATGTAGCATATCCTGCCAGACCACATTATCAAACAAGATTGTGAGTGTCTACCTTAAAGCTGTTAATCATATATAAATACTGAATATAATATTTGTGTATATCAAATATCAATTCAATAAAGTGAACAGAAACAATGATATTTAATTTTGTGTTTGGCTTATTATGGTTCAGGTGTCCTAAAGTCATTCTAACCTCTGAATTTATCAAATGTTGTTAAATGCAATCCAAATATGGATAAAGAAAAAAAAATTCTCTCTTCTCTCAACTTAACTTTAATCCAATTTTTACCTGCAAGCCATTAAGACCCAAAAGAACTTTCACTAGGCAATATAGCACAATTTTTTTAACCCAATAACAATTATAACAAACAACAACAAAAGCTAATAACAATTATAACAATGGAGTAAACATATTGCATCTAGACTTGTAACTGTGCTTTTTTTTATCTTTCCAATATTTTCCTGATAGCTGTGTCAGACAGATATCCAAATCTAGTCTATAATATGTAAGGTATCGAGATATTACTTTCTGATGTTGAAAATTCTCAAATAATATATCTAAATGTTTTTTAACTAGCTTGTTCAATATTATTTTCAGTCTAAACTACATTTTTTCACTTATATAGATTAAAAAAAATTCTATCTACCTATGTAACCACACTCTTGTCCATAATTTAGAAGGAAATGTTGTTATTTTGCTTTAACAGTTACTTAAAAGTTGATGATTTAATTCTTTGTCATTAATTTTGCTTCTGGAAAGCCATTCAACAATAAGACAAATACAACAAAATAAATCAATGTTTAAAAAATGAACAACACTGCTCAGTTATATTTTTAGATGTCAAATATGATTTTGATATATATTGGCATAATTAGATACAACCATTGTTTGGTTATAGAAATTGAGGGTTAAGACATGTGTTTCTAAATAAAAACACAAAACATTTAAATCATAACACATCAAATTTGCTAATGAAATGCTTGCAAAGATAAATTTTATTTTCTTTGATTTCATTTAGATCAATTTCATATTTAAAGAAAGCACATGAATGAACATGGCAAGGAAGAATTAAATTTTCTTTTTCAAAAAGTTGCTGTGCTTCTAAGCAATCTGCATTGTCCTCAACTGATAAACTGCAGTATGGTCCTATTCTGAAACCCATAAGAATTTAATGAAACCAAATGTAATGCCAATCAATATTCTGATTATAGAATGTTCAAAATACTTTCTAACTCCCCAGAGTTTTTGAGAAATTATATTAGAGTACTATAGAATTATGAAGACGACTATCCCTTTTATTTTTTATAAAAGAATCCTATTATAAAAATGTTGTCACATTTAAACAACATTAAAAGGTGTAAGAGGACTATTTATTAGACTAGGCAATTTTTTTTTAATTCATAATCAAAAAATGTAATCTTAAGTTTTGGAGTTAATCCTTATATAATATTTAAAAAAGTCAGCTTGCTTATTGATTATTTAAATTATTTATTATTAGGCAAAATATTCCTAAAGAAATAATTCAATTTACTAATTAAAAAAGGGATTGATAAGAAAAACACCATAGAATCTATTTTTAAAGAATTGGACTCACACTTTATTTATTCCTTCCACTTACAATACTGCCTGGAATTTTATTAAGGCCAGATTATAGTAAAATTATTTAAAAAATATATCTAATGTGATTAACAACTAACTTAACTGAATATTAAATTATATAATTCTTATTGCAGCAGATGGGTTTTCAAACCTTGACATGTTTGACCTGGAGAATCGCCTTCCTGATGAACTTATGGGCTCTTGGGTCGAACAGCCTGGAGTCACGGGTCCTAAGCCCCCAGCTCAGGGGCCAGGACCTGGGGGGCAATTGGCCCCACAACAACTTAACGGGGATGACCCGACAGCTGCTATGCAGAGACAAATGAACAATCACCTTATACAACAAGTGAGTACCTGGGGCTGATGGATTATTTTTAGTAATAGGAGAATATAATAAAATTATCTTTTTTTTTACTTGAATCAAGAAAACAATCTTAGATTTTTTTTTTATAAATAACAGTCCATAAGTAAGAAAAACAAATAATACATATATAGGCTCTTCATTGTGTTGAATGTTTAAAACTTATTCCACAGAGATTTCTTATAAAGGAGTACTTAAACATATGTTTATGTATTCCTTTTTTAGGAATCTGTTTTTTTTTAATTACAATTTAAATATTAAGATTATATATATATATATATATATATATATAAGTATAATAGTGTAATTTATATGGGGATGTACTAATGATGTATGCCGTTTTTTGGTCTTTTCACAGGGCAACAAAAGTGGCTTAGTAGGCCACACAAATTCTTTAGGATTGAGTAGTTTAGGAAGTAAGAGTCCAAATTTACAATCACCTCCAAACGTATCTGTATCAAAGGACCTGATGGGTGGAATGCACTCACAACTAATGCCAAATACAAGTCATCCAAATCAATTACATTCAACAATCCCGATGAGCTCCATTCCAGGTATGTATTACGATTGTTATGAGAAAAATAGAAATACCATAATATAAAAAAATTGTTAAATAAAACTTACTTTACAGGAATGAATGTTGCAAATGTTGGAGGAAATATGATAGTGACAAATAGCAATATGACTGGCGCCGGCATGCTCGGCAGCGGAATCATAAATAATGTCAATAAGCAATTGCCAACTCTTATGGCTGGAAATCATCACGCGACACCACCACATCATCCGCATGCACAGCAGATGCAAAATGGGCCTCTCGGGGGTCGAGTCGGTGGCGTAGGGGGAGTCGGGGGCGTGGGCATGCAGGCACCGAATATGCGCACTAGCCTACAACATCATCCGCGTATGCAGGCCCCGGGTGGGGGTGCGCTGCTAACGCCTTACCATCCCACGTACGGACAGTCGGCGACGGGGAGTAACGCAGGCGCACCGGTTCCGCGACCGCCAGGCGTTCGATTCGGGCCCCCCGGCGAAAGCGGCGGCGGTGCGGCACAGGCCGTGCCTCCGGCGCCGTCACCGCAGACGCCAGGCGCGCCGGCCGGCGGCCAATCGCAGCCGCAAGCCGCCACGCAAGCCGCTGCCCCGCCCTCAGCACCACCCGCGCCCTCTGGCTCCATCGCCGATCCAGAGAAGCGCAAGCTCATCCAACAACAGCTCGTTCTCCTGCTGCATGCGCATAAATGTCAGCGGCGCGAGTTGCAATCCAACGGAGAGACGTGGCAGTGCTCATTGCCGCACTGCAAGACTATGAAAGGAGTTCTGACACATATGATGTCGTGTCAAGTGAGTAGATAATGTGCCTTGCCCTTCATACTTCTTGACCCCGACTTTGGACTCTGTAAATTTTATGAGATAGATGCCTTACCTTTCCTCACGTCGCGTATTGCTAGATGCGAAGTCGTGGTCGAGCAGTTAACATTTAGAGAAAAGATATTTTAATATGTATACAATAATTAACAAATTTCTTCAATTTTAGGCCGGTAAAAATTGTGCAGTACCCCATTGTTCCTCATCGAGACAAATAATCAATCATTGGAAGCATTGTAACAAAAATGACTGCCCTGTTTGTTTACCACTAAAACAAGCTGACAGGACTAGAACCAATAACATGAACTGTAAGTTTTGTAAATTTACTATACTCAATCTTGTGGTACCTAAATTTTGAATAACTAAAATCTTTATCATATATGTACAGCGGCACCAGTGAGCCACACGACGACGGGCGTCGGCGGAGGGACCGTTTCTGGCGTGAATGTAGGGGGCGTCGCGGGCGTCGGCAACGTAGGAGTAGGCACCGTGGGCACGGTAGGCGGGGTGGGAGGCGTGGGCAACGCGGGCGGTGGCATGAGCGGCGTGGGCGTGAACTCGCTGCCGACGGTGGCGGCGGCGAGTGCGGCGCCGACCGCGAGCAGCACGCAGGGCGTGGACATGAAGCGAGCGTACGAGGCGCTGGGCATCGCGTGCCCCACATCCGTGTCCAACATGGTGGGCGGCGGTTTCCCGCGCGCCGCGCTCGCGCGCATGCCCGTGCCGCGTCCGCCCGGCCTTGCCGATGTCGTGCAGCAGCCACAGCAGATGTCGCAGTTGTTCGCCGCGCACCAGAACCAGCAGGACCTACAGCAACAGCAGCAGCAGCAGCAGTTGGTCAGTACATTCTACTGTTAGAATCGGTGCACGCCGATCGAGAGGCGGCCAAGAGTACTTTTGCTCTTGCAATATATGTAATAAAAGACAACTTTCAAATCATAATGCAATTGTCGTTTCGCTATGTCGGCATCCACTGATTATCAATATTTTTTTTATTTTATCATTTGTAAACAGTGGTTGAGCAAAAGCTAATTATAATTTAATTACAGATGAGCGCTGGCACACTACAATTACCCGGTGGACCTGTGACCGCTAACCCTGCCGCTGGTACGAAAGAGTGGCATCAGTCTATAACATCCGATCTCAGAAACCATCTTGTTCATAAACTGTAAGTACTCTTCACTGTTATGATGTCTATTTACAGTTCCATGTAGTTACAGGCATATTTAAAAATTGTTATTTTACAGGGTGCAAGCTATTTTTCCAACCCCAGATCCTCATGCGATGCTCGACAAGAGAATGCACAATTTAGTGGCTTACGCGAGAAAGGTCGAAGGCGACATGTACGAAATGGCAAGCACGAGATCAGAGTATTACCATCTACTTGCCGAGAAAATTTATAAAATACAAAAGGAGCTTGAAGAAAAGAGACAAAAAAGAAAGGAACAGCAACAACTGCAAGCTCAACAGCAACAACAACAACAGCAGCAACAACAGCAACAAAATCAGTTACAACAGCAGCAGCAACAGCAGCAGCAGCCAGTGAATGTTATGTCGGGTGGGGGGGTTATGAGCGGCGGACGGCCTCCAGCGCCCAACACCGTGGTGGGAATCTCGCGGCCAACGATGCCGACACAGCCAACGCTACCAGGCATGCGCATCCCGTCGCCCGGAATGACCCACGGCATGCCCACAAATCGTATGGCCTTTCAGAGCAACCTCGTCGGACCTCCCGGCCCAAGCCCCAATCAGGTGAGTCCCAGTAATTACTTAGTTGAATAATATTTGTTGTTACTATTATATATACTATTTAGTGTATATTTAGTGAATAAATAACATGAAAAAACAATATCTATGTAAATTTGTGGGTAGTAGGATATTTTGAAATTCTGAATAATTTTATATATAATAATCTCCCTCAGTGTATATGCAGATGCAGAATTACATTTATATTTAATGCAAAAGTTATGTTAAATTAGGAACTTATTGCATATTTTCATGATATGACAAAAGACTTGCTTGTTCTACTGATTTATATATGTTAACTGAATGTGTGTGAAAGCCGATAGGCGAGGATGAAGGTGGAGCAGTTGACTCGTTGTGACGTCACTGAGAGTTAACTACATCGGTTTTTAGAGGGGATCATGTGGAGGTTTAATTAGCAACAATACTCTCCTCCATATCGATAGTGACTAGAAATCTAATTTGAAAACCGTTGTCAGATGCCGCAAACGCCGAACGGCGGTACGGTGGGCGTGGGGAGCGTGGGGCCGGGCATGTCGCCATTCGGGCAGCCGATGACGTCGCCCGCGCCGCAGTACCCGCCGCTGGCCAGCAACGGGCCCGCGCCGCTGGCCTCGCCCGGCCACCCGGGCGACAAGCCGCGCCTGGCTTCAGGCCCCGCCGCGAGCCCCTTCGTCAACCACTCGGGGCCGTTCTCGCGCGAGGCGGCCGCGTCGCCGGGCACGGGCGCGGCGGCGGCGCCCGGCACGCCCGCCACGCCGCTGGCGCTGCCCAGCCCCGCGCCCGACCCGCGCCCGGCGGCGCGCGCGCCGCCCGCGCAGCCGCCCGCGCCGCCCGCGCCCGCCGCGCCCGCCGCGCCCGCCGCGCCCGCCGCGCCGCCCGCCGCGCCAGCCAACGCCGCGCCCGCCGCGCCCGCGCCGCCGCCTGCGCCGCCCATTGACGACTCGGATCTATCGCAGGAGGTCAGTGCTTCCAAGTGTTTAGATAGAGCTGCTCTTAATCTACTTTGTACTCCTAAGCAATTACTAGTCCGATTTAATGCAACTTTTTATTGTCCCTCGGACAACTAAAAGGTAAAAACCTTTTAGTCTGCCTGATCACCTCCTTAAAACCGGAATTATTTATAGTTGTTACCTGTTAGTCAGGTGATCTTAGAATGCAACTAACTGGATGAGGTGTCATTACATCAGATATTTATCAACCAATAACTATATTGTTATTGTATAGCTTTCTTCTAGAGGTCTCCTTTTTATCTTTTATCTTTATAATTATAACAAGACCAAAAGATTAGAGTGCATTCTAAGGAGCTCTACCTAATGGCTTGTTTTGTATTAGCAGGTTCGCATAAAACAGGAACCAGAGGAAACCCGAATCAAAGAGGAGCCAGAAGATGACTGCGGGGGTAAAGGTATGCGAGACGAGACCCCGAGTGAGCGCGATTCTTCAGAGCGCACCGATTTTGTAGTAAAGCAGGAAATAAAATCAGAAATCAAGCAGGAAGTAAAAGATGAATCGAACGAAGGCACGACTGAGGGGGCGAGCACGAGGCGCGTGTTCGTCTTCAAGCCAGAGGAGTTACGCCTTGCGCTGATGCCAACCCTGGAAAAGCTGTTCCGCCAGGAGCCCGAGTCGCTACCTTTCCGCCAGCCAGTAGATGCACAAGCTCTGGGTATCCCCGACTACTTCGACATAGTCAAAAATCCTATAGACTTATCTACAATTAAGATGAAACTTGATCGCGGCGAGTACAAAGATCCGTGGGAATATGTAGACGACGTGTGGCTTATGTTCGAAAATGCGTGGCTCTACAATCGCAAGAATTCCCGCGTGTATAGATACTGTAATAAAGTGAGTATATTATTTGTTAAGAAAGGATTCATATGATTATTTTTGTCAATATATATTAGCACAGCTAGAAATTTTTACTAATATGTAATTAACATTGGGTTAACAGTGGGTTGGTTAAAAATAGGGAATGTTTTCTAGATGGGTTTTTTTATAATGGAATGGTAATCCCTTCTGCACTAATGGTATTCGCTGACAGAATCAGTGAGGAACGATAGGTAAGAATGAAAAGGCAACAGCCAATCGTGTCGAATACTCCTAAAATTCAGCATCATGGTTTCGAGGGGAACACATGCAGGTTGACCTGATAGGGTATACTGCTAGAAATGGGGCTGGTAGTCTGCATTACTAATAATCCCTTTTTCCCTGGCATGCCAACCATGATCCATCTAGCATCATAACAACTAATATCCGTCTAGGAGTGGGAGGGAGTTCTAGAAAAGTTTCTCAACTGGTCTTTAGAGTTCTCTCACTCTTCATTCCCCTTGTTCCTTTCTACTGTGCCTAGTCAATGTAGTATGTATTTTGTAGCATATATGTGGCCAACTACTATACTTTTCTAAGCCCTAAAAAGAGACAACTTATATTTCAAGTTATATATTCAAATGAGTCATAATACATGTACACATTTTAGTTGTCGGAGGTGTTCGAGCAAGAAATAGATCCAGTGATGCAAAGTCTCGGATACTGCTGTGGAAGAAAATATACATTCAACCCCCAAGTACTGTGTTGCTATGGCAAGCAACTGTGCACGATACCTCGCGACGCCAAGTACTTCAGTTACCAGAACAGGTTAGTTGTCACAATTGTGCCTTAGGGGCGTATTACATTATCATAGACATATGATCATCTAGACAAGTCTATCAATTTTAAGCTATTGAAGCTACAGCTTGTGTGGTAAGCTTATCAGTTCGATTGAAACTGTTCGATTCTTTAACTATATGATCCTATTAATTTGATAGTGTAATAGGCCTCTTAAACTAGCTGTACGTTATGATGGCATTTTTTATGGTCATATGGTCAACTACTCATAAGGACCTTTAATGTAGTTGGAATTTTCAACCAACTTCCTATGGAGGAGTAACATACTGTTGTACTACTATACTATCAATTATCAGAGTACTAGTAAGATAGTAAAAATCCCATCAAACCATGCCGCTAGCTTATTATATGTTAAAATTAAATGAACAATATTTTCCACTCTTATGGAAGAGATTCGTTCATTTATCGTGTCTTAGTAATTGAAGAATAAAGCTTTTGTCATTTTATTATTTTTACTTTTGTCTTTTATTATTATTTTCGATTTTACAATAATGTATAAAATATGAATGAACTATATTTAGTTTTGGGTGTGTTTAATTTATCATTAGTTACTAATATTTTACATTTGTATTCTACTAGTTTGATTTTATAAGTGCATTATAGTTAAAAAAAAAAAAAAAAAACTTTAGTGAACAAACCTTTTTTGATCCCCTGAAAAAAATAGGATGGTTTATGAATTTTTGGCGATCATAATTGTTTTTGTGAGTAATAAGCTATATATGGATACTGACACAATTTCTAATCAAAATCCATCTCTATCTTTACGCCAGGTCCTTTATGGGGTAGGCAGAGAAAAGCGAGTGCAAACAGCCTCTGTACTTAAAATATATCTCTTACACTTTCATAATTCGTCTATGCATGAATATCCCTAGACTGATGTTTCTCATGGACAATACAAATTGAATAATATAAATTAGGTCTCATATGGTACAGGGTTCATCTTTCTGCCGTGTGTCCGCAATCTCTTTCATCATGCAAAATATGCTACATTCTCTTCATGTGCCAATCCTACCATTTTCTATTTATTTTTTACATCGACACTGTCTTCTAATCTGTTTTCACGCTACGACTGTTTAGTTTCTGAATATTTTATTACATTTATGGAGACATGCATTACTTATTATCCGTCTATAGATGATTGCAATGAGATGGATATATTAAGAACAGTCAGTAAATGAAAGATAAGATCTAGCGAAAACATCTATTTAAACGAAACGAGTATTTATTTATAGATATAAAGTATGAACACATTTATGTTCTGTCGTGTCGTTTGAAGTAGTCTGATTCTGGGTGTTTATGAGTTATTTGGACTTATGAGGGAATTATTTGGACTCTCAAAAAAGAATTGTAATTCCTTATGGAGTAGGATTAGATTTGGTACTTATTAAACAAGTAAACTAGGTATGACATGGATAAATTAAACACACCCTAATATCGATCTTGTTTTATAATGCGTCAGATATTCTTCCATTTGGCCATATAATAGCGAAAAAAATTTATACGAACAAATTTTTTTCTAACTTAAGATTACTAGCAAAAATACTTTTGTAAAACAAGTTCTTAGTTTTTATTATACTACATACATGCCCTCACAGATACTCAAACCACTTATTATAATTCACCACAGAGCTCTACTGTCCTGTGCTTCTGTGAAAGCTTCACTTGTGTTTGTTGCATTGATTTTGTGTGGGTACAGTCGAGTTTATAAGTATAGGTTGGTTTGTTTCACAAACATATTTGCAGAAAAAAATACTATACTTTTTTTTATCTCATATTCTTTTTAATAGTTCGATTTTTTTTTAATCTGACAGTGACGAAAAATATATGTATTTTTTAATTCAACTGTACCTAATTATTTGTGACGCAACTGGGTGTCCATTAAATCTTACATTTATCGTTATCATTACCTATAGGAAGTTAGTTTGTTATCCTATTTTAGAGAATAATTTTATATTAATAGAACATTTTAACGTTGCCCGGAAATAAATATATTATTTCTTCTTTTTTAATACTTTTTATTTAATATGTATCTTGTGAATTACTAAAACTCGTCGCCTACTATCAAACTTACAAGGTTTAGGTTTCTATTTTTATGTTAAGAACTTTGCGGGATAGGTAGAGAGAATGTGTTTAATCTGAAATAACTTATAAGAGCTCAAGTTTTGAGCGAATGTCTGAATTTGACCCTAGTCTCTGTACAGTATCTCAAAAAGTTGAAAAAATAGAATAAAGTTAATTTACTCAGTAGTTTATAAAGATATTTTCTTTTATAAATGCAAAAGAATAAAAAAGCCATGTAAGTCATATTGCATAATTTGGAAATAGGGATCTGGAATAACAAAATTACATTAAAACATTTATTTTCAATAAGTTGCATATTGCACGATTATTAATTTCTTAACAAGAATACTACAAATAGGAAATGTATGAATTTGACAGTTATTTAGAGACCTTCACACGTCATTTGTATAGTTAATGTCTATCAAAATGACATTGATGGTCCACCATGTTGTTTTGTGTTGCAAACTTAAGTTCGAAATTAATTTTGTATCCAGAGAACAAACTAAAATTGTACAAGAAGACGCTAATTAGAATATGTTTAGGTTCTGCTTTTTTATATATTGTGTACATTAATAGGCTAATAATACATTAATAAGCTCAGTACATTTATGAAACGTCTTCAGGAAAAAAAAAATATATATATATATATATATATATATATATATATATATATATATATATATATATATATATATATATATATATATATATATATATATAGCAACGTTTATAAATGTTGAACCAAATTATGAATATCTATGGTTTTGTCTAAAAATATTATAGAAGTTAAAAATTAATGTGTATGTCTATTCATAATAGATATTGCTTCGCATAGAAAAGTGATATTTTTGTACGTAGCAAGCCAGTGTCAAACCCAATCTATTGTGTCTAATTCTAAATCTATAAGAATTTTAAACATAATCCCTCTTGACGGACAAAGCCAATCAAATTGTTTGCAAAACATCTGTACGGAATCTTTTTAATTTATTACTTGTATTGTAACATATCTATTAACAGCACTGAATGCGTGAATCGATACACGATAAAAACGATTACGTTTTTGCAATAAACACCTCGCTGCAACGAAACTTGACCTCGTCGTATGCTAATAGTTGCTACCATCAGAAAACAATGCGTCCTATGCCATAGTATCGACTTTGCAACAGTAAGACAATGCTTTGTAGGGGAAGAAAAAAAAATCAATTTATATACAAAATATATCCTAAACTGCTGGATTTAGAAGCTTAACTTTTATAGAGGTTTTTTTAATGACATTGGCGTACATTAAATTAAGATCGAAACTTTAACGAGAACAGGAATAAACAGAATCTACGCAAGCAAAGGTGCGCTCAACAATATTTTATATATAAAGTGAACCGACCGACAAAGCAAATAAAAATATAAACAATAATGGACATCCATAGTTTTGTCGTTAGAAAAACGTACAGCTCTTAGTTTGTACTGTATGGATGACAACTCGCAGTATATTTATAAAAATGCTTTTTGTGTTTATTTTTTTGCTGATTTATATTATCTATCCATTCTGTCGTACACAGCTTTTCTTGGCTTTACTTATATTTTCGATTAAACAGATTTAATATTGATCATTGTTAAACATGGCTCTAAATATTTGACGCCCATAACTTTCTCTCTTTTCATGTCGGCAAAGTAGGTAAATAGATTGCAGTTGATTTGCGAAATTAGTTCGCGATAGGATAAAACTGTTAAAATCCACTAAAATTGAATTTTTGTTATTATTTTCATAATACGAATACAAATAAAATTTATATTTTTGAAATTGAAATTTTGAATAATTTCGAAAATAATTAGAATGGTCAATAACATTCTACAAAAATATGATTAACCTCAATTAGATACTGTTTCAATTTCAACTGACTTAAAAAAAGTTCTCTTCTGGTTCCTCTTTTATGTTTTGATAATTTTCTTTGTAATTGCAATTGAAATATGTTTTTTTAGCACCACCGACAAAATATAAAATTACAAAAATTTAATTTATGTGATCATTGTACCAACTAACGTAGTTGGCAAAATGATATATAAAGATATCAGCTACTTTGCGAATTTTATCAAATTTTACGCTTTTTCTATTAAAAGTTATGTAAAATGTATGTGTAGTGTGGCCAACAATAATAAATAATTGTTTGCAATGGTCATAGAAAGATCATAAAAAGGGTATGGTTATCTATCGGCAAATCGTCTGGGCTGTCATTAATTGCCAAGTGTGACCGTTTTAGTATATTTTTTTTTTTGTGTAATCGTCATATTTACACTATCAAATATAAAAGTTGGCTGGCACCTTCGCCCACGTGAGCTAGAATAAAAAATATACTATGTGTTGAGAGTATTCATGACTTTAGCTTACCTAAATGTGGTAACATCATCTCTATTATTTGTAAATTTTCAAAAATAATTTCACTAAATTATTTTTTTCTGACTGATCATTTAAAATGTTCCATATTAAGGAACTAAAACATTAATTATCATGCTTTAATATTTTTATTATACTGTCACTGAAAATTTGGATTTTGAAGGCAAAGATGTATTTGAAAAGTTCCGAAACAATACGATGTAGGTACAAAGTTTTTAGTGCTAAATTTATATTCAACATATTCTATGATTAATTTAACAAATTTTAAAATTTATTATTTAATTTATTTAATGAAAATTATTTTAGTTAAAGAAGAAAGAAAGAAACTTTATTTTGTACAAATATACGACAGTACCCATACAGGGGTTTACAAAATAACTAAAACTAAAGTAATAATAAAAAAAATAAATAAATAAAAAAAAAACTACAGCAGCAGTTATATACCAAGCTGTATTTATGACTAACATGTATTTAATCCTACTTATAATATGGGTTCAAAGCAATCGAAGCTGCGCCAAAATCTACTGTTACAAAGATTGGTCAACTGAAAATGAAAGAAACGGTCATTTAATGACAAGTCATGCAATTTAGGAAGGCAACCTTATTTTGCAAATTGAAAAAAAATTATTGTCGCCAAAACAATATCATGACCATTGCAAACAACAATTTTCTTCTGTACCTCAATTCTAGAGTACTGCAAGCATTTAGGCAAATGCTGTTTGTTTGTTGCAAATTTTAGGTTATTTAGCAATGATTTTTTTTTTATTTATTTTTCTGTTACAACATATTGAAGTAAAGATGAAACTTAACCAATCTTAATTCAAAATTTTGAATAGAAATAATTTCTATTTTATACTGGGGTAAAATCACTGGATATGTTGCTTGCTATCTTCTTCGTATATGATAGCAGTGCTTCGTTGATACTGCAATTTGTCATATATTACGTGAGATGAATAGAAATATTATTTTAAAAAGTAAACTTGAACATTGTTATAACGTAATTTTATGTATAAAAATAAATACTAATAAGTTTTTAATATGTGACAAATTTATGTATCAACAATTGATTTAGTACTACTTATTATAACTTACTACACATATAAGTATGGCCCCAGTTGGTTACACAACCAAAAAGCTTTAAACCAAAAGGAGATACGAAAAAAATTTTTGAATTTATTATCTTTATAAGTGACCTTTTCACTTATACCCTTCCACAGATTTAAAAAAATTTAAAAGATTAAAAGTGTATTTAAGGCAACAGTTGTCTATTTGGATCTTACAAGACGTCACCGCAAAGTGCAAGCGAGATAGATGAGTCGCCGTTGTATATCTCTATTGGCTACTTCAATTGTAGTGTAAGCGAGACAGTAGTGTAACAAGTACATAATTATCGTCTCCATTTGTTTTCGAGCTTTTTGATTACAATAAAACAGTAGTCTGTCTATGATTCGACCCAAGACACCAGTATGTCCAGCCATGGCCAGACGAGTTCACTGTGACATGTATACTCGTAGTCTGTGTCAATAGAATTTAATGAAAATCTAACCAAACGAATAATTGGCCCGACCATTAAATATTCTGCTGAGGTCCAATAATAGTGCAAATAAAAAATCGATTAATTGATTGATTGTTTCGATCTGTTACCAATTACATTTAGACAGTGTGTCTGTTATAATTTCAACAAAATGTGTTTACCTTTTTGTGAAGTTTTATTGAGACAGACTTTTAATATCTTAAACTATGCGGCCCGCTCACTGTCTTCAACTATTAACCCTTTTTATGTTCTCATTGCTTACTAATTTTTTTTCGCCCCCCACGCACGTCCTTGCCTGCACACAAACGTTCCTGTCACGCTTCACATCACACGCTACACGGACGATTATGAATAAAGTCTAAAAGCGTATGGGGTTGTCTCCGATAGATACACCTTCTGCCAGAAATGCTTCAATGACATCCAGGGCGACACCGTAACGCTGGGCGACGATCCGCAGCAGCCGCAGACGTGAGTATAATTGAATTTTTATTTATAAATGTAGAAATTAAATTTATGTCGAATTTGTAATTAACTTTTTAAAGTTTTCAAAGTTTAATGAAAATGGGAAAGAATAATAAATTGTAAATTTCCAACGTGTTACCTAATGAAATCTCGGTTGGTTAAGGAACTAATTGTGATTTGGCAATATAATGTGGGTTCAAACCCGTGTTCTTAATATTTTTAATCATAAAAATACATAATTAAATATTTAAATTCAATTCTATATTTTTATCTGTAAGGAATTTTATTGCAGAAATTGTTGATATTAACCGTTCAGCTGATTGATAGAGTACTATGGTCAGTAATGCTACATTATTATTATTTTTTAATACCACTTCATGTTTCAGTGCAATCAAGAAGGATCAATTCAAAGAGATGAAGAATGATCACCTTGAACAAGAACCGTTTGTTGTATGTATGGATTGTGGTAGGAAACAGCACCAGATATGCGTGCTGCATCATGACCAAATATGGCCCCAGGGCTTCTGCTGTGATAATTGTTTAAAGATGAAGGGAGCTAAACGGAAAGAGAACAAGTTTTGCGCTAAGAAGCTGCCTACCTCGAAACTTGGCATTTATATTGAAACGAGAGTTAATAATTATCTTAAGAAAAAAGAGGCTGGTGCTGGCGAAGTGCATATCAGAGTTGTGGCATCTTCAGATAAGGTAATAATAATGTCATATTTATTTATATATGATACTAAGTACAAACAGGAATACATCGAACCCCCAAACTAGGCGAATCTGTATCGCGCTAGTTCACAAAAGGATTATCAAGACATTTAAATAACTTTATTGATTAAATAAAAATATGGTACATAAGGCGGACTTAATGCTAGTAGCTTTTTCTACCAATCAACTTTTCTTATTAACGCTATATGTATTAGTTTTGACATATATTTGGGATACAGGTGTTAACCTAGTGTTCTTTAGGTCAACCATTTTAGGTTAACAGCTATCCCACGATAACGCGTGTTAACCTAATGTGGATGAACTAAAGAATCTAAATTCACATTTTTCTGTTTAATGTTCAAGTTTTCTTGTTAATGTCCAAGATTTATTGATTAATCTGAAATTAGAACTATAGAGAAAAAAAAAAATAGATTTTGATTGACATGTTATCAATGAAAATTAAAATGCTCATTAATTTTCAGATGGTGGAAGTTAAACCTGGGATGCGAACGAGATTTGTAGAATCGGGAGAGTTGTGCGCCGAATTCCCGTATCGGGCTAAAGCGTTATTTGCATTTGAAGAAGTTGACGGAACTGATGTATGTTTCTTCGGTATGCATGTACAGGTAAGGTCGAATGCGGTTAAAACGTAAACACGAAACTGAAAATTTTATATTTATTGTACTAAGATAATCCCAGTGGCAATGTTATATACTTCTAATTTTTTTTTTTAGGAATATGGAAGCGAAAGTCCGTCGCCGAATAAGAGGCGCGTGTATATAGCATATCTTGATTCTGTTCATTTCTTCCAACCCAAACAGTATAGGACTGGTGTTTATCACGAAATTTTATTAGGTTATTTGGACTACGCTAAGCAATTGGGTTATACAATGGCCCACATATGGGCTTGCCCGCCCTCAGAGGGTGATGACTACATTTTCCACTGCCATCCGCCTGAACAAAAGATACCCAAACCAAAACGGTTGCAGGAGTGGTACAAGAAAATGTTAGATAAAGGTATAATAGAAAGGATAATATTAGATTACAAAGACATACTTAAACAAGCAATGGAGGACAATATCTCTTCTGCGGCGGAATTACCTTATTTCGAGGGTGACTTCTGGCCCAACGTGTTAGAGGAATCTATCAAGGAGTTGGACCAGGAGGAGGAGGAGAAGAGAAAGCAAGCTGAAGCCGCCGAAGCAGTGGTCAGTATACACAGCTCCATTGCATCACTTTCACTACGACACATGTAGACATTCAAATCATTCATTCTATCATTGTTCATTAGATTATAGTCATTGAATGTCGTAGTGTTAGATTTGTATGATTCAAAGTGTTGTAAGCAAGTGTGTCTAACATATTTTTTAGATATTCCAGTCGTCAGAAGAAAATGAACAAGGTCCGGATGGTAAAAAGAAGGGACAAAAGAAGGCAAAAAAGTCGAACAAATCAAAGGCCGCTCAGAGGAAGAACAGCAAGAAACAGAGCGACCAGCAACAGGGTAGTGATCTCAGTGCAAAGATATTTGCAACCATGGAAAAACACAAGGAAGTGTTCTTCGTTATAAGGCTACATTCCGCACAGTCCGCAGCCAGTTTAGCGGTAAGTTAGTCTTTAACTAAAGATTCCTTTCGAATATTGTAATTTTATTTTATTAATTAATAACTTTTTTTTTGTATTGTAATTTAACAATCTAATTGATAGTGAAATTAAGTCTGTTACGTTTTGCTCAGATCTCATATTTTTATAAGAACAATAACTGCCATAAGACCAAATTTTAATATCAGGTTTTCATTGTTATGTATACAATATAAATATGGTTGTACTGTCTTCTATTATGCCTTATTATAACTGCTGTAAAAGTTTTTACAATATTGTCTACATTATAAGATACGAACTATAGATATGTTTCATAATGACAACAAACTTGTCCTCATAAGAGAATTTTTGTTTGCCCTACAGCCTATCCAAGACCCCGACCCACTAGTGAACTGCGATCTGATGGACGGTCGCGACGCGTTCCTAACGATGGCGCGCGACAGGCACTACGAGTTCTCGTCGACGCGGCGCGCTAGGTTCTCGACGCTGTGCATGCTGTACGAGCTGCACAACCAGGGCCAGGACAAATTCGTTTACACGTGCAACAGCTGCAAGTCACACGTGGAAACCAGATACCACTGCACGGTGTGCGACGACTTTGATCTGTGCGTGCTGTGCTACGAGAAGGAGGGCCATCCGCACAAGATGGACCGGCTGGGGTTCGATATCGACGTGGGCTCGTCACCAGGCGACATGAAGCAGGCCAACCCTCAGGAGGCCAGGAAGTTGTCGATCCAGCGTTGCATCCAGTCGCTGGTGCACGCTTGCCAGTGCCGAGACGCCAACTGCCGTCTACCGTCGTGCCAGAAGATGAAGCGCGTCGTGCAACACACGAAGATATGCAAACGGAAGACCAAGGGCGACTGTCCGATATGCAAGCAACTCATCGCTCTCTGCTGTTACCATGCGAAACATTGCCAGGTATGTAGCTCGCTAGCGTAGTGCAGGAGATGATATTTTATGTTATTTGATGTTTAATTAATCATAACGCTAAGAAACAGCTGTATTACATACCAAACTATTTTTATATCAATCCCTTTTTTTTTTATTGAAGTAATTAGTCTCCATTTTAATATTGCCTGAAATGCAACAATGAATATTGATAATTCTATTATATTAGTTGATATAATTCCATAATTGTTTATACAACAGTTGCCTAATTACCGATAATAATATAACAGACATTTTTAAGTATGTAAGATTAGGATCATAAATTTATAATTAAAAATAAGCTTAAGAAAGCTATTATTAACATAGCGAGTTCTACAAGTAAGTTATTCTGAATAACTTCAACATAATCTTGCTCGTGGTATGAAACACGAAAATGTGAATGGAGACCATTAATAGGTAATATTGTCGGTTGCAGGAAACAAAGTGCTCAGTGCCCTTCTGCAGCAGTATAAAGCAAAAGCTGAAGCAGCAGCAGGTGCAGCAGCGCGTGCAGCAGGCTAAGCTGCTGCGGCGGCGCATGGCGGCCATGAACACGCGTGCAAGCGGCGCGGGCGGCTCGAGCCCGCCGCCGCCGGCGCTGGCGTCGCCGCCGCCGTCCAAGCCTGCCGCGCACGCCGCGCACGCCGCGCACGCGCATCCCGCGCACGCCGCGCACGCCGCGCACGCCGCGCATGCCGCGCACGCGGCGCACGCGCTCCCGCACAACGTGCAGAAGGCGCTGCAGCAGGTAACTGAATGTATCCATTTCTACATATTTCTGTTATTTTATTACATTTGATTTTGTAAATTGTTTGTTTTAAAAGTTACTATAGTATTGATAAATGAAATATCAGTTTTAAATTTTTTAAATACAATTTAAATTTGTTTAATATTATCGAATTTTACATTCATTACAATGTTAATAGTCGGATTAAGGATTAGGTTTATGAGCATTATATTAATATATTGTTAAGAAATAATATATTAATAAACTTAAATATTTTTTTTTTTTAATTCTTTCTATAAATAGCTACATTATTAGCGAGTAAAGAAAATAAGCTATATATTATTTATATTTATAAATGTTGGCTGTTTACTCGTGCGAAACTAATTTATGAATGATTTTGAAAGTACATTTTAAATGACTGGCACTAATATGTGTCAACAATATGTTGTACTTGAATCCCTTTCATTTTGCTATATTTATTTGTTCTGAACTTATACAATGTGAATATATAAATTGGTACAATATATCAAATTGAAAGTATTGGTTTTTTATAGCAAGATACCTACCATATAGTATTGTGAACAGGTCTGTGGTACATATGCAGAATCATGTGGAATATTTACTGCGTCTTTTAATAGTAGTAGTCAATAATGTTGGATGTATTCGTGTGCAGGTACAAGAAGAAGCGGCCCGGCAACAGGCGCCGTCGTTCGGCAAGCACTGCAGCTTGATGGGACCGCCCGGCGGACCCGGCGGGCCGGGCGGGCCGGGCCCGGGCGGCGTGGGCGTGGGCCCGGGCGGCGTCGGTCCCGGCGGCGTGGGGCCGGGCGGCGGCGTGGCGGCCGGCGTGGGCATGGGCGGCGTGGGCGCGCGCGGCGGCGACTGGCCGGCCCGCTACCGCGCGCCGCCGCCGCTGCACCACCCCGCGCACGCGCGCCTGCCGCCGCACCACCCGGCGCACGCGCAGCACCCCGCGCAGCCGCACGCGCCCGCGCAGCTCCAGGTACACACGCACGTCGCATACACACGCGCACACGCGCACACAGACACGCACGCACACACACGCACGCACACACACGCACGCACACACACGCACGCACTCACACGCACGCACACACACGCACGCACTCACACGCACGCACGCACACACACACCGCATACATCACAAATTAATATTTGAAAAAAGAATTCATAGCCTATTTGAATTACAGACAAAGAACAACTCGAGATAATTAGAATTTATTTGTTCTGAATAAAGTATATTTTTATATAGTTTTATAGGTGATAAACATAATATTTTTCAAATATCTGAAGAAATATAACAGTCCGTATAAAGGTAGAAAATAGATAATTTTGTTTGGAGTAAACAGTAACAGTACAAATAATAATAATCTGTGACGTAGTTCATGTCCAAAGGTGATTATTACTACTTTCGTTCAAATGGGTCATCAACTAGTTTAAAATTTTATTTTTAATTAAGTGTTCCAACTTATTGCTATATTGCGCTTTGTATGTCTATTTTTCTCTGACATTCTGAAAATAAGAAGAAATAGTGATATGTTGTATTTTCATTCCGTCGCTATTCATATGTGAATAGAAATCATCAATAACTATTAATGTAATGTTCATTATTTTACCCAGCAACGACCGCCTGCACCCCAGCAGCAACAGAACCAACCTCAAATGCATCAACAAGCGCTACAGAAACTAATGGCGACGTTACGGTCGCCGACCAGCCACAACCAGCAACAAGAGATACTACAGATCCTCAAGTCGAATCCGCCTTTAATGGCAGCCTTCATCAAACAGAGACAGGTCAGTCCTCATTCATCACCATTACACACGATGTTAGGTATGAATCACCAATACCTCTTCTCTAATCTAATTAACCAGAAGGAGACTTTGTACAAAAGTCGATTGCTTGGATACCTCTGTCCCATTCGTGTTCGTCTGAAACTTAAAACCTTTTAACCAAATAAACTTTAATTGAAGTTTTTAGTATTTTTAATTGTTTCACTTTGAGATTCAATATGTTAAGAATCGATATTAATATCATCGACAATACTTTTGGTTTCATCGTATTTTTTAGTAAATTCAGTATTAGGTTGTTTTCATATTTTTAGGTTTTTTTTTTATATAACTTAAAATGGCAAACAAGCTGACGGCCCACCAGATTGATAGTGGTAACCGTCCCCTATAGACATGAGCAGTACCATGGACATAACAGAGTATACTGTTTCGCCCATGATACCCCCCATGCGTTGCCATTCCTGAGGACTCAGGTGTTATTCCTCTGTACCCTGTAAATTCACGCCATAACCCACCCTTCAAACCGAAACACAGCGATGCAAACACAACTGTTTCACGGTAGAAACACGAATGAGACAGAGGTACCCAAACAACCGACTTTTGTACAAAGTCTCCCTCTGGTAGAGGAGAGCTCAATCCACATTATACAATATGTCGAAGCGAGCGCTTTTCCCGCGCTATCCATTACTACACACGCACACATTGTTACGTGTACAGACGTTGCTTGTTTCTGTAGTTGTGGCGTTTTTGTATGAAATATCGGTGGTATGGTATAATACAACGGCCAAATTGCGAGGCATAATGCGGAAATACTCATATGTCGTCGACATTGAATCCAATTCTTTATGTAATTTTGACTTAATACAAGTAAATCTTTTATATAAAATTTTCGTATTTTGACCGTGTTTTTTTAATACTATGAAATAACTATGAAAGTGTCTTAATTTTACAATTTATATTGAAAGAGAAAAAGTCTGCATTACATTATCATCTGTCCCCAATCTAGGTCAGATCTATATCTTGGGGACCAAGAGTGCGGTTACCTAAAGTTTAGTACATTTCATTTAATACGCGAATTAAAAACTAATGTTTGAACTAACCCATGAAATAGTGATACATATTTTAACTACAAGAATAAAATATTAACTTGTCTATACACATATATAACGGGAAATTAACGAACTGTCTGTGTTTTGATAGACATCGGATAAAAAATGAACATAAGTTTTAAAAATAATAATATTAATTTTTATACTTTCGCGTTGCGTGGTTTATCGTTTATAAGAGACGGGAATTAAATTGCAGTAGTTTTTTTTTTTTCATTCAACTTTAGACCATATCCATGTTGTCAAGCAACTTTTCGAACAAAGTAAAGAATACAATATCACCTTTTACTGCTGCTTTGTAGACTATAGTAAGGCTTTCGACACCCTCGAACATGAGGCAATTTGGTATGCACTTAAAAATCAGGGTATTGATATTAAATACATCAGAATATTGAAGAACATATATGGAAACAGTAAAGCAAAAGTAAAGCTAGAAAAAGAAGGAAAGGAATTCAAAATAGAAAGGGGAGTAAGGCAGAGTGACCCCATATCACCTAAACTTTTCACTGCAGTATTAGAAGAGATCTTTCGTCAACTAAATTGGGATGAGTATGGACTATTAATGAACGGGGAATACCTGTCACATCTGAGATTCGCCGACGATTTAATTTTATTTTCCCCAACAAGAGACAATCTACAAGTAATGCTTAATGAATTAGATAAAGAAAGCCGAAAAGTAGGTTTGGTTATGAACAAAGAAAAAACAAAAATTATGACAAATGGGAAAAAAGGGGAAACTATCTGCATCAACAACAAAAAAATTGAATATGTAGATGAGTATGTATATTTGGGTCAAATAATTTCACCAACAGACTTAACTACAAAGGAGATTGAAAAACGTATAGGAAATGCCTGGAAACGATTTTGGAGTCTAAAGGAAATACTTAAAAGCAAAATGACAAACACAGCCTTAAAAGGTAAACTATTTGAAACCTGTATTTTACCAGTTCTTACATATGGTTGCCAAACCTGGGCTCTTACCAAATCCCACTTTAAAAAACCACAAAATTGCCAGAATGCCATGGAGAGAAGTATGATGGGGATAAGATTATCAGACAGAATTAAAACTAGCACAATTAAAAAACACATAAAAACTAAAGATGTTACAGTCACAGTTAAAAAACTTAAATGGAAATGGGCAGGGCATACAATTAGAGGGAGAGATAAATGGAGTAAAAAGATAATGTTTTGGTACACGAAAGACAAAAAAAGGAGAAGAGGAAGACCACATAGAAGATGGGTAGATGACATTAGGGCTGAAGCAGGGGGTATTTGGACAAGAATTGCTAGCAATAGAGACCATTAGAGACAGTTGGAGGAGGCCTTTGCTAATAAGCAAACAGACAACAGCAATTAAATAATAAGTTGTTAATACGTTGTTTTTAAAAAAAAAATGTCTGAATAAAGGCTTATATATTATTATTATTATTATTAGTTTTTTTTTGGTCGATAAAAAAATTAGTTAGTCGTAGCCAAGCGAGTGATTTAATTTTTATCTAAATTTTATGAGAATTTCAATATTCTTGTTCCTTATCGTGTCCATAAATAGATTTATTGTGTTTTGCATCATCACGTAAACATGTTGAGCGCAAACAAGTACCGCTCGCTCGAATAAACCATGCGCATGAAGTGACGAAACAATTTTTATCTCTTAAGGTTAAATTATATTTGTTCGCAATTAATAGCCGTTCGGGGGCACGTGCGATGATAGTTTGTTATCTTTAAAAAGAACCTCATGGCTTTATAGATAAATTGTTTTAAGTAATGACTGTAATCACTCTTTTAAATGTGTGTAGTGATAAACTAAAATTAATTCCTTGCGAAGGCCAAAGATTAGCATTGTCTAGCAGTCTTTGTGTCGATTTGCTCTCATTGACTCATATTCTTGATGTATACTCATACTCCTTATGTCCATTCTTCAACTTTAAGTTGCCTTTTTGACAGATTTCTTCTAAATAATACCCATAGAGCAGCTTTGAAAACATAACTGAGGTATCAAAATGATTTATAGTAAATATTTCTACCAAAGGTAAATTCTAAAAGCATAAATTATCCAATACTAATAATAGTAATTAATAATAATGTGATGTTTCTAGACAACCCTCGCTAATCAGTCTTTGTATATTTATAAAATGAACTTGTTTTTGTCGAAATTGTATCCGAATATAGTTGAGTAAAAATGTTCTAAGCTATCTTACAACAATATGGATTTCTAAATGAAAGACAGTCAGTATTTAGCAATTCTTACTACAGTCTGACCGTATTTTTAGTTACTATTAAACTCGCCTCGAATTTGGAAGTCAGTTTTGGTTTCGTTAAAAAATTGCCAGAATTTGCGTCGGGAATCCAAAGTACATTTATAAAAGTATTTTCTATGCCACTTCGACCCGTCGATATTTTTTATGGCTCTATAAAACCAACTAATATTGTATATGTACATATAATATAGAAGGTATTTACAGTAGAAAATATATAATACAAATAATATAAATTATGAAATAAGGAGTGTGACAGCCGATCTGTCGAGTTACAGGGAATGACAGGGAAAATATATGTAAGAAGAAACGTCGCTGTCATGCGGCCATGTCTTTGCGGCCAGTCCGAAAGAAAGAGCTAAAATCAATGTACAATTTAATTAGCCTACTTGATGAAAAAAGAAGGGATCATGTTTACAAGTGACTTTGTGATGAATATGTACAGTATCTTGTAGTTTTTGTCTATTAGCAATATGGTATCCGGCGATTTTAATATCTGTTATTAGCTTCAAAGTCGCGTTTCATGAGACTCATACGCCTACTTGGTTACAAGTTGTACATCTATTTACTTTCTAACGATTATTGTAATGTTTCAAAATGACTACTAACCGTACGGGTAAATTGATTGTTACTACAAACTTCCTTGTTTTATATATTATCTGATAATAATTCTGTGATATCGGTAGATAATGAAATATACTCATTGTCAAATTGATAATTTTTTAATTGAAATATGCGGCTTCTCTCGCCCATAGACAGTATTTAAAAAATGGGAGTAAAAAATTTTGGTTATGGAACTTTGTTTTGTTTGTGCACTAATCATCACACGTCATTCTACAATCAACGTTAATTGAAATAACATTGATGTTTAACAATATTAGGCTTATTGCAAATGTTGAATTCATAGATGCATTTTAGAGCAAATTTTCTCTTGCTGTCTCCTACTGGCGCAAAAAAGTTTATGCCGACTAATATGACATATTTATCTATAATTTCCCTGAACATCTACGACTTGCCTTAGACCTACGTAACAATTACTATATTAAAGTTACAGAGTTGAGACTTTGTCTTGTGTATAGCAATAATCAAGTTTGTAGGCGATTTTAATCAGACTGCATACCATTATATTGTTATTAGAATTCCACAATGTTTTTTTTATACGACAAAAGCGAGATAACAACTTTGAAATGGATAGATATTGCTTCCCATATAGAGACCGGAAAAAAACTGCTGAGCTTTTTAAATATAGTTCTGTATATTCGACATAGTATTAAAAATATGATGCAATGCTGCATACTTGTGCAGCTTGTTTTGTCAAAGTTGTATTAAATAAAATTATATGCTTGTTCCAGAACGCCCAGAACCAACAAACGTCTACGGGTGGCGTGGGCGGTGTGGGCGGCGTAGGAGGAGTGGGTGGCGTAGGTGTAGGCGGCGCGTGCGGCGTCGGGCTCGGCGGCGGCGTGCCGCAGCAGCAACAGCAGCTGCACAACATGATGCAACCGCAGCAGCAGCAGCGGCTGCAGCAGATGCACCAGATGCTGCCCCAGCAGACACAGGTGTGTGCTCTCCCTCCTTTACAATACGAAATTGCATAGAGCAGAACTAGAACCACACATCTTAGTATTCTAATAAATGGAGAATGAAGTCTTCTACCAGTTAACAACTCAAAAAGAAATGCCCTGTGTTGAAGAATTTACAAACTTTTAAGATTACATTATCAACCAATGAAAATATAGGCTTTTATTTACTTGTAAAATAGTTTTCAACCAACAACATTCACTAGGTTATATTTTTTATCGATAAGCAACACAAATTCAAAATCAATAACTGTTGTTCTATCAATTCTGATATGGTCATTGAAAAATCTTCAAAACAATATGTGCGTCACAAATGATTCAATTGTTATATTGGATATTAGTTGTGTAATCTTTATTTTTCTTTTTATTCTCTCTGAATAATTTAAAATGTATAGCACTACTTGATTTGTCCCCAGGTGGGAAACGTGTCCAATGTGGGCATGGGCGGCGTGGGATCAGTGGGAGGCGTGGGCGGTGCTGGTGGCGTCGGGGGCGTGGGTAGCATGCCACAAGCGGGCGCCGGCGGATGGTTCAACAAGCAGGCGGGCGGCGGCGCGGGCGCTGTGGGCGGCATGATGGGCATGCGGGCGCCGTACGCGGGCGGCAGCGCGGCGGCGGCGCGGCTGGGCGCCCGCTACGGGTTCCCGGGCGGCGGCGTGGGCGCGGTGGGCGGCGTGGGCGGCGTGGGCGGCGTGCTGCAGCGGTCACCGCCCGCCACGCCGTCCTCGCGGCCGCCCACGCCCTCGGAGCTGCTGCTTCTGCGGCAGTCGCCCGCGCCGCCCGCCCCTCACCCGCCGCCCGACGACCAGCTACCGCCGATGACGCCGCAGGACCAGCTCACCAAGTTCGTCGAGCAGTTGTAGTGTACATAGCCGAGGCGCGGCGCGTCGCCTTGTAATATATAAGCTACCGGTGACGTCGCGCGAGTTCCCCATCCCGCCCCTCACCCTCCTCTCCCTTCGCATCCCTCGCTCGTGCCCCTCCCAGCCCTATTTATTGTCGATAAAGTTATCGTTAGTGACGCGAGGGACGTAAGTTAAGTATTACGATGACCGAATCGAGCGCTCAATGTACAAAATGTAAATATGAGAGAAGTACGTCCTGTCAGCTTCTGCGTAATATAAGTTGTTCGTACTGTAGGTACATTATGATACTTATTCTGTTTATTGTAATTAAATCATTTTATAATATAATTATGTGATTATAAACTGTTGTTTTTTTTTTTTTTTTTTTGTTAATCCCATAGAATTATTGTTTATCATAAATTATTCGATTCGATGCTCTATAATTTTGTCTGGATCTCGGTAAATGATACAATAATTTTACAACTGCGAATGACTTGGAAATATATGTGAAATTAAATGATAAACCACAAGAATTGAAACTAAAAGCAAAATCTTTTTTCTTATTTTATTATTAACTAACTTTTGCTCGCCACTTCGGGCGTGAGGATTTCAAACATAGAAAAAATAATGAGATAAACTACTTCTAGATACGCTGTCTAAAAATGGTCAAAATAAATTAGTTTTCAAGTTTATTCTTTATTGTATACAAAAGGATTACCTTCATAATCACAACTGAAAGCCACATTCAATTTGATGCAATCGTTTTTGCTTGTTGTTGGTACAAACATACAGACAATAAAATTCCATAAATTTTCATTTTTACTTTTTTTCTATAATATAGGAGGCAAATTAGCGTTCGGCTCACCTAATTGTTGACCACCGCCGCCCATGCAACACCAGCGGCATTGCAGGTGTGCTGCTGGCCGTTATGATATCGATTGCTCTTATTAAGACCCGTGATATTAATTATTCTAACATATTTCCCATGAACAGATATTGTCTATTTATTTTGTATTTGATATAATATATATAGTTATTATAATAAAATTATTATATTCGATAAACAACCATTAAATACGGAATTACTATATTTATCATGAGTTGTATTTTTCTTGGCAAACTATGAAGCGAGGATTAGGTGTCATAGGTCGACTAAGACATTATCTAATTAACGCAATCAAAGCAGCAGAACACGGTCGTAAGATTAAATACAGTATATATAGTAAGATTAAATATAGATCGCTTCATCATCATTGTATATAATATACTATATATAATATAATGAGGAGTCTAATAGGATAAAAAAAAAATAAAGTGATAAGTATATAAAACGCTTTATTTAAATTCATGTGAATGTTAAAATAAATATTTTAGGTAATTAGTTAGGTAAATTATTAACACTTTGCTGTGCTGTACATTAATTCACAATTTCTACAACAATGTTTGCTCTCATAACCCACTTGTTAGTTTTTTTTTATAATTCTTCATATTATTTGGCAAACTCGAGCAACAAGTATTTGGGTACTATAAAGTCAATAATTACATTTGTTAAGTACATATTATACAGTTAGTAGATATAATGTTAATATACAGATAAGATCCATAAATAGACGTCTAATTTTAGATATTTACATAAACAATGTAATCGTAATCAACATCGAGGTGGTCAACATAAAATATATCTTTAAGTATCGAATTAAATACATAATAGGCAATCCATTCGATATAACTATTTGACTATGAACTATCATCGTTACACATAGAATCAATCGGAAATAAACTAAAAAAAAAGATGTCATCTATTTTGGCCGAGTATAATTGGGAAGTGTGTAATCTGCTTTTACTAAAATTAAAATTAAAGATTGTCCTTATGTCCGATAGGAGTGGCTAGTGTTTTTTTTTTTAATTTATTAGGTATATATACTAATGGGTTAATATTAAATTATATAAATTTCGAAATAATATCACGTCCGATCAGAAAATTTTGTTGACACAATCAATTATTCAAACCATCGTACGAGCTCTTTATTTCAAATACAACAACTTAAACAATAATATTATTATTTCAGACATGACAAAAAGTACACATACTTATTTAAAATTCACCAATATAATAAAGTTCATTGATAAGTTATAATTATAGCATAACAAACATCTTTTTATATTTGGTACATTATTCGTCTATGAAATAACAAGTCGCCTGAGTTTGCCAATTAGAATGCGTTTAACATGACGCTGTCAAGTAAGTCCGTTTGAAAAAAACCCCATAACATATGCCGAAATAAATTCAGTTTGTATGTTCATGTCAGCTCTCATATATTAGGTATTTGTTGACTGAAGAAAGTGCCCGATCGGGCAAATGACTGACCGGCAGTTAAAAATATCTTTGCCCAGGCTGCAAATTTAAATGATAAAAATAAATTTTAGACTAGGTTTATACTAAAATAAAGAGGTATAGAGGTGATGTGCTTACAATTGTAATTTGAATTACAACACAATAAGCAGTTTCAATTAACTGCTCTAAACCACACATGGTGTCAGATACAATGATTATGGAGGTCAAGCTACTCAAAAATTTGGTTCTAAATTGGTCTATATCTAAATAATAATTAAAATTAGCAGATATTTATCACGGCCAATGAATTTAAGAAAAAAAAAAAGTTAAGATTACAATGTTTCTATTCCATATTGGTGATGAGACATTTGAAATATATGTGCAGTGCCATTGAGTGCAATAGAGAAGAGAGGGCACGGATAATTTACACAACATTTCAATAATATTGTGTAACAGTTACTTTTAATTGCTTAAAACTTTTCAAAAGAACATAAGAGATAATAATTATAATAACTCATATTATTATTCCTTGGAGTAATAATATGTGATAAGGTTTGATAACTATCACACTGATTCCATCAGGTTAATGTGAATTTAATACTTAACAATAATAAAAAAATATCAATACTCTACTGGAAAGGAATATAAAAAGTTTAAACAAGTTTCCTTTAAATAAATCATCAGGTATTACATCTAGAAGTATTAAACCTAAAACAGCCATAGGGATATTAAAAAAAGTATACGAACCAATTTAATGGGTCAATAATTTATTAATAAAAAAAATAGAGCTAGCGTTTAAATCGACTAGTGACGTGCTAGGGAATAACATAAAGATGAACGTGGAATCAACAGTTTATCTATAGTAGCAATATACAGGAAATGTTACATTCACAAATACATCAATAATTTATAAATTATATTTATAAAGATATTTTATTTAAATATATTTTAAATAAAATATCGTTCATAAAGTATATATAAAATACTCGTTAATAAGGTTATATTTTTTGGAAACATAAACTGATATATGAGACACTCAGAGACACTGATCATGAAAAATACAACTGAATCTACGGCATGGACATTTTATAGCATAATAAAAAAATGTGGACCCTCGTACAAAATCATCCACCGAGTACCTTAAAACACTAACATAATTTAATAATAATAATAAAAAAAAACGATTACAACGAACTAACAATTTTATCGTACGAAATAGATATTTTAGGCATAATACAATGATGTTCACGATTTGTACTTTAGTAAATTAGTAATAAAGTCGAAATTGTGATAGAAATAGTCGCGAAGTGCGTTATATAGAAATTGCCTGAAATATCATATCACTTACGATACATAAGCATAATACACAACAAAATATATCTAAAACTCACACCGGAACACAATGACACGTTAAGATTCATACTTAACTACATATAAACGTATATGCACATTTCCTTACATATTTTTTGTGTTTTTTCAATGCTTGCAACACATAATTCATTTAAGTGTTAAGTACCGTTAGTCATGTGGGTATTCGCTTAGGTCAATAATAAAATCTCTTATGGCGATATAATTTGTTAGGTGATTGAATTCACTGCAATGAAACTAGATTAATTGAATGGCAACATTGGTAATGGGAATTATTCAACAGATTATAAAGCTAACGACAGACATAAAATTTATCGTAATGTAACATTTGTAACGAATTTGTGGGTAAGTGTTATAAACTGTTTTCTTACTTGCCATATTTATTAAACAACTTTAGACTGCCTTTTTATTGAAATCTATAAAATTGACAAATAAGCATAGAAGATAATTACGTTTACTCCTTATGTATTTGTTACTACAGATTTAAATACAGAAATATTTTTATAAATAAAAAAAATATCAAATTATATACGAATATTCATTATAACATGTTATTTTATGTATAATACAGGCCAGTCACCATCTTAAATGGTATTTAAATTGCAAAACAACCATTAGACCAGTACAACGTTAAATAAATAGCAGGTTCGTTGTTGTATACGCACAAATATACACACAGAAGTGTGTGTATGTGTGTACTTTAACAAAACTTCATTCAGTCATTTATCGAAATTTCTCACTATAAATTGTATCCTTAGATTATATAGATAATGTCTTCATACAAATGCTTCGAAAAAAAAGCGGGTCAACTTTTTCATACGATTGTGTACGTGATAGTGTTACCAAATTAAAAATTATTACTTTAAATTAAGGTAAATAAGTGAATATGACATTTAGCTTTAACATTTTTGTCAGCTAATTTGACAATTAGCTGACAAAAATGTGACCCGTTTTAAAGATTCGATATCTGTATAATCTAAGATTGTATCATTAAAAACTGACACAGAAAAAAAAACATTTTGGCGCTAAATATAGGAATGTGCAATTATTTCCGTTTTAATTACAATATTTTAATCAACTTAATATGCTTGCACTCAGTCTTTCAATTTATGAAACTGTAAATATAAATATATATCCAAAATTCTGCAATAAGCAACAGTTATAAGTGAAATTGATACAATAGATTTCATATATACAATAAATCTTACCGACAACTCACTCTAAAAGGCTTATTTTGGCGCGAAAGCATCATGCTACGATTATGTGAAGAATAATAAGAGTTAATTAAAATTGACTCTCAAAACTAGTTTGGGAAACAGGACTTAATTTATAATGTAAAATGGTTTTGTAAATAAATATTATAAATACTCTCAATCAAGACATCAAATAATACTAAAACATCACATTTCTGAATGCTTCAACTATTTGAATTTATTAAGTAGCATTGCCTTTCATGTGGAACCACAGTTGTTTCAAATGTCCATGTAAATATTTTATAACTTTCATTCATCATTCCCCTGGTACATAAATCTACATAACAGACATCGTGTAATATTACGTATATAGTGCGGACAAACCTGCAAGCGCCTTTGTTTGCGTAAACATTACAAGCAGTACATGTAACGTATAATTTGTGTTATATTACACGATATGTTACATATCACACAGGTCTGAATACAGCTTAACAAAACTGACTAACATTTCTGACAATTCAAAATACAGATATATTATATTAATAGCTATCGAAAATATTGTTGATGTGTGAGTATGGAACAACATTAAAATGAACAAAGCCGTGGCAATTCGTACTTTATCATAATTGAAAAATATCTTCACTCAATAGCATGAAACTTGAACAGCCATCTGCTTCACAATCATTCGAATTGTTCGTTCGTAGCTGCTTTTTAATAACACCACACAACAATGTGTTGTCCGGTATAAATTATTTAGGCCCTGCGCAGACGAGCGACTATCCTCGGGGTTACGTTTTGAGCAAACTATTTTTACTATAGGTCGCGATATTTTCAGTCTCTCGTGTGAGTCATACTATGCAATTCTTTTGTATTTTAATGTACAAAAATGCCCCGCTAGGTGATTTCTATAACAGCAAACAGTTGCGACATTCGAAAATTGCATAATATTTGCTCCCGATCTTCATTTTTTACATGTTTCGTATTACGTAAAAGCGATTAGTGATCAAACGTTAGTGCTGCCTCTGTAGAGCAATTCAGGAACAAAATTTACAATTATGTAGTAGATCTTTTGGCATTTGATCGCCAAATAGTGACGTTTGTCACAGAAGTGCATTTAACTCATTAAGCAATTAAGAAGCAATCGTGTTACTTAATAGCATTTCTTTATACTTAGCAATCGTTCGCGAATTGTCCACGTCTCCGCAAGCCACATATGTAATGTTATTGACACGCTAAATAAAGCCTATCAGTTGTTTTACATTGTAAAGCCCGTGCTTTACCTGCAACCCTCCATTTATGCAGCAAATTATGATACAAAATCTAACTAGCATCGTCTAAGGACAAACAATTGAACGTGTTGTGCGGCAGGCAGAAAGCATTGGACTCTATTCATTCTTCTTGTCAGGACTGCTGGCAGAATTATCCGTCTCCTCTAGTTCCTCGTCTGAGTAGTTCGTTGGCTCCTCCCCGGGCTTGAGAAGTCGTCCCACTAGTTCATATTTCTCTGTAATGTTAAGATAAGATCAAATATTAGTTCTATTTATCTATCTCTCTATCTTCACACCAATTTCTTGGCGGCGTAGGCAGAAAGAAATAAGTGTTAAAACGCCTATCCTTACATACATCTCTTGTTTCCTGCATCTTCATAACTTGTCTCATACATGCACGCCGGGTCCGGAGACCCTTAACATGTCCATCACAAACACGATCTATCTAATCATCTATCGATCGATCTATAAGATCCTAGATTCAAGACTCCCGCGTTACCTACATCCATTCATTATTAGATTTTTTTTTATTGTTAGGGAGACGAACGATTTTTACTTTAAATATTTTCGGAGGTGATTAAAAATACATACAATAATAGATACCTAATAAAGATTAAAAAATTTGAAATAATTGTTTACTATTTCTCAATTTTATATTATTGTAATAATATTTGAAAGGGTCGCAGTGTCACAGGTTTTTCTGCCTGAAAAAATCCCGTCTTTCAATAATAATAATAATAATCTACACAATTTTCCTTCAAGTGAGTCGTAAAGTTGTTTACCATTTCAAGTCGTATATAAAAAATCAATGATCCTGATTAGTTAGCCACCATAATCGATACAAAACAGATTAGACTGAGCGGTAATGTTTACTTATCGAATTGAACAATCTCGCACGGGTATCAGTTGTAATCGATCTGTTATTACGAATTTTGGTAATAATAATGATAACAAATCAAAGCTTCGATATATTTTGGCAGATACAGTCAGGTCGCTATGGACATAAATCGAATTATGTTAATTCCTTAGATTTTATAGATAGAGCATCGCGCCTCAAAAACGTGTCAACTTTTTGTTGGCTAATTGTCCAATTATTTTTTATTAGTGTTCTATACGTATACTTACGCACACAATGTATTTTAAAGTGTCTATGTTTAATTATTTAATAAATAAAATGAGTTTCTGCGCATTAAAAAAGTGCAGAAATTATAAGACAAAATAAATATAGAAGTTGTAAAGGAATCACTCATAAATATTTATCACACAAAATTGTATGAAAAAATTTACTCGTTTTTCTCAAAGCATTTGTATGGAGACGGCTCAATCTATATAATCTAAGGTTCGTTCATCCAATTTATGATATAAAATTTGTGAAAGTTTCAAAAAATGAAATTGCGAGGTTGAATTTCTAGGGGTCTACCATGAAATGAAATTCCAAATTTTCAATCTCAGTTACGTGTTTTTGTTCACACCGATCTAGTAAAAGGAACTTAATATTTCGTTTGTCATAATTCTTAATATAATAGTCCAAAGGAACAGTATTTTAACATTTTTCAACGGTATTATGTAATATTAATATCAAATTTGTATTTTGGGAAAAAAAAACCGTTTTCAAACTTGGAACCAAAATGGCTGTTATTTAATAGGAGTTTCCTTTAACAAAACGCTCAGTTTGTAGAATGCATTTCTTGCCAAGATATAGTACATACTGCAAGTGTGGTATTATTCAAAACATGGTAATCGTAGGCGTGGATTTAAACTTCGATCGCTTCGAAATTCAAGTTCGTTTGAAAGTCCATGCTGACCTTATGAACTCATTAACAACAGTAGTAGCTAGTCATAATTATATACATATATATATAATACACTTTATGTATACATTACTTATTTTAAATACACTAATACTACCTACTACTTTTTGCAGGTACAACATTTTCATCGCATTAAGTCCTGTTATTGTATTTAAAATACATTATTTATTGTATATACATGTACACTATTAAGTGTTATTTTCTTTACCTGTCCCAATAATGCATTGCCGCGTTCGTGACTCACTGTTCATTCCAATGGTTGATTGGTAAAGAATGCTACTAGCATTAAGTCCGCCTTTTGTATTATATTTTCTTGGGGCGAATAAAGTTATTTCAATAAATATTAATAATTAATATTTTTTTAATCACAATAATTATTGGAATACATCTTTTCCTATTTTAATATCATTTTATTCTCGTGTTGCTACCGTATTTTATATCAAAAACAAATATTATATTTGTTTATTTTTTCTATGATACAAAATTAAATACACATAAAATATACAATCGAATCGATAACATACCTACTACTTTTTTTTATAATCACATAATTTTTTTTTATAATACATAGAATATAAATAAGTAAATAATACCTCTAAACTGTGCCTCCCACTCCTTGACTGATTCCATTTCCATTGAATTGAGATCGCTGAGGTCATCATATCCCTTGTCTGAGGAGGTCACTGAGAATGTGGCGAGTCCTCTTGAGGCATCCTTTCCACCGAAGGCAGCGTATGGACCTCCTTTAAAAAATATACAATTTAATTGTTAATTACGATAATATAAAATCGGCTACAACAAATCAGCTATAGTGTGAAAAAAATTAAAATTTGTATAGAACAACGAATATTAATCAATTAATCACTTGGAAGTGGATGAAGTGATTTTTTAATTTTTTTAAACTAATATTTCATTATCTTTCAATGTAAGAAAAATGTGAAAAAAATATAAGAAAAGGATGGCTAGTGTTGGCAACCGAGACACCACATGCCGATGGCGGAGCGGGAAACAATGGCGATGCTATTGTCGGGTCCCTAACTTGGGCTCCGAAAGCGGCGTAATGTTTGATCTACAGAAACAATGATTCGTGGTGTCCCTTCTGCGTATTTGTGACTATTTATTTGTTTATAACAATAAAGACTTGTGGAAAACGAGTGTTCCACTGTTGCCCTTGGTTTAAGGGTTCGTCGAGTGAATACTTGTGAAGTATAAAATTCAAATTGGTTTACGGACTTAAACATCTAATTTAATGTTCTTTTAAGCAGATGTCTTATGTTGCTAATAAATTAGTATTTGAAGTTACTTGTCCCTTTGTATTTGACACTAGATTATTAAAAACACATAAAAAAATATAAGCGCTTTTTTTTTTTTATACAACTTAATTTAAATAAGTTATTATAATGGGCAGTAAATAGCTGTTAGTTTGTTTGCTATTCTTTTTTTTTTATACAACTTAGAATGGCAAACAAGCTGACGACCCACCTGATGTAAAGTGGTAACCGTCGCCTATAGACATGAGCAGTACTATGGACATAACAGAGTATACTGTTTCGCCCATGATACCCCCCATGCGTTGCCATTCCTGAGGACTCAGGTGTGTATTTCTCTCTGTACCCTGTAAATTCACGCCATATCCCACACCCTTCAAACGGAAACACAGCCATGCAAACACAACAGCTTCACGGTTGAAACAATTAATTAGTTCATTAAAAAAAAAACCAGCTAATGACTTTTACACAAAAAATTTACAAATCGAGATTTTCAAAGATACACTGTACCTATTGACTCCGGACGGTAGTGTATTTGTACTTGCTTAATAATTTAAAAGTACCTATATTTTGAATCATTGCGAGATCGTGTTTGTCGGAGGGTGGAAACCTGTATACATAAATACAGGTTCACTTAAGGCCATTCTTAATTATGCTTACATCTGATAAGTGCTAGATTATTGACTATTAGGTCGGACCGTGACATTAGTAGATTAGATTGCCCTGATAAACGTATAATGTAAATATTAGATATTTGCTTTTGAAACTTCCGTTCTGGTTAGTAATTCTTCTTCTATTATAAGAGGTAAGAGGTTACTGTAGCCTATGGACGCCTGCAACACTAGAGATGTCACGTGTGCGTCGACGACCTTGAAGAAAACTTAATAAAACACTTTTTGAAACACCCATACTGTAGTTTCTAGGGAAAAACTCGGCAGGGAGCTGGCACAGCCTGAGCGTTACGAGAGGAAATTCCTTTGAAACCGCACTGTACGTGACCATTTAGGTTCAAGCGTGTGAAGATGAATGCCCTGTCGATGGCGAGCGGTGCAATGATAAAAGGAGGCTGTGGGCATAATTTCAAACAATTCCTCAGAACAGAATTATTTATTATCTTTACTAATATAATAAAATTATAACTAGAAGATGTCTGTATACAGGAGATATTTAAAAAAAAATGATATGGGAGCTCTAAATAAGAGTAATAGAAGTCAAAACAATAAATTTAAAAAAAGTTGTCTGTCTGTATGTTTGTTATGACATTACACAAAAACTGCTGCACCAAATTAGATGAAGCAGTTGTGTTCCGAAAAGTCTTAACTTAAAATCTACCATTATTCCACTATATTGGTTTTTCTACTTCTGAAATTAATACATAGAAAAGATATTTACATATATAAAAGTCCTGTTGGAATTTTTAAATTACTTGTGATCTTTTTGAGAGAAGTATCTTTTGTATGCATAATGCCGGTTTATAACCTACCTGGCGTCCATAGACAATTTATTGTAATGGCGCCCTGACAGCAAAAAACACACCCGGCCACAAGATCTGTTCAATATTCTTACTCTCTTATAGATAAAAACCAAAAACTTCTGAAAAACTATTTTAAACATTACATTGCTTTGTCCTTTTTTTTTTTTAATTGGTAATTTAGCACAAAGAAATGAGACAAAACAGCTCAATACTAAAATAGGTTTATGACGGGGTTGACGTTATTATAAGGGTGTTATTCTTTATTGTTTATTATACACAAAAGCCATTATATTCGAATAATAATTATAAATAATAGTGCACAAGGACGAGCTTATCTCTAAAAGAGATTTCTTCCAGGAAACCCAATATGAGATAAACTGTCAGTTTATTTGTAGTTAAAGGCAAACATGTGTACCAGCCGACTTAAATGTTTTTGTTAATTATAGTTAGTAAATAGTAGTTAATAAATTAAATGTCTGCACAGTATTTGGTGTGATTTACATGCGTGGCCCTTGAACACTTTTATTTATACATGGACTACTTTTAACTTATGTCACGCGGATGAAGACGCGTGTAAAGACTAGTTATCAAATATATTTATCTGAGTTGTTGGCTAACATTTTATATAGTTGGTATCCTGTATAGATTTGAATGTTTGATCCATAAAAGTATTAGATAAAATAGAAATTTATTGGCTGAAAGAAACACACGGTAGAGATGTAATTTTATTGTTCGTATCGTAAGCATAAATTATATGTTAATATAAAACCTAGCGGTTTAACTTATGTGTGTGTGTGTTACATAAGTTAAACCGGTAGTTATTATATTTAAATAGAGATGTAATTGTTAAGATAGATGTGATAAGGGATAAAGTGGCAAAAAAAGACAGAACAAAAAATGAACATATGAATAATAAATAAATTATTGTCTGAAAGTTGCACTAGAAATAAAGAAGTTGCGAAGTAACTGATTATACTAAATTAATTTTAGAATTCAGCTAACCATACTTACTAACCACTGATTTAAAAAAATAGATAATCAATGCTCTTTGCTATTCAAATAATCTGATATGAGCCAATAAATCATACTGTCCACTGTTACTTTTATAAATATGGAAAAATATTTGGATTAAAAAAAATAATAAGCATATGATTCAATATCACGAGAACGAGGACGTACCTTCACCTAAACGACCTATTCCTCATGGCGAAAATTTACCCAATCCGGCTTTACAATTGCTACCAGACTAGCGTAACATCTATACTAGCTTTTAATGTATGGATTTGGTCAGGAATCATCATGCCAAAACATTTAATTAAATGATGAAATCAGAATAGGGCCAACTTAACTAACAAAAATACTGTCAAATGTGTAAACTATTTGTGGAACAGTTTCAGTGTGATATTTCATATTTCTGATTATTTTGACATGGGAATTACGACCATATATAATTAATATTGACTCTATTATGAGGACTACTCTAGGAATTGATCAGATATTACGGGAAGTATTGAAAATTTGTGTTTACTATCAATAATATTACGAAATTGAGATGCCAAGTTAAAATTTATATAAAATAATAAATAAATTTAGAAATATTATATTTTGTTTTATTTTTAATAAAAAAAGTTCATTAAAACATGCAATTTGACATTAAATTTATATATTTCTTTTATCACATGCATGCACAGCATTTGATAGTATCAGACTATAATATAATTATAACCTATTTGTTTGAATTTTGAACATCAGGCTGGCCAAAATAAGAAGGATTTTTTGTGTATATTGGTAAGATATTCCTGACCAAGTTGCTTTATGCAGCTTGTATGAAATGTGCATTCTTACACGGTACAGAGGAATAACACCTGAGTCTTTAGGAATGGCAACGCATGGGGGGTATCATGTGCAAAACAGTATACTCTATTATGTCCATGGTACTGCTCATGTCTATAGGCGACGGTTACCACTTTCCGTCAGGTGGGCCGTCAGCTTGTTTCCCATTCTAAGTTGTATAAAAAAATCCTTTGGTTATATACTCTTTGCTCTTTGATTGCTAAAGAATTTAGTGAACTTGGAATGTGTTGTTAGAAGATACTATATGAGGGCAGACTGATAAATCTGGTAAAAATTAATGAAGCAGTAATACTAGTACACAAATTATAATATGTTTGGAAAGGTCATTGTTTTGAGAATACATAAACAAAATTTCATATTGATATTTGAATTAGTATTGTTTTGTCATTAGTTTAAACAGAACAAGTTGTTCTTAAGCTATTAAAATGGAAAAAAGTTAATTTCAAGTGTTAATAAGATGAAAAAAAAACTTTTAATAAGTATTATGATGAATTGTTTTTGTCACTTGAGATGATTCCCAAGTGGTTACTGAGTTTTGTTGAGGTAGAACAAGCACGGAAAATGCTCCTCACTCAGGATATCCAATTGAAGTAACCAATCCAAAGAAATGATCACAAAAATGGATAATATAATATTGGGAGATAGATGAGTGCAATTGAGAGAGATAGCCCATGCGTAGACATCTCATATATATTTATTCCTTTTTTCATACATGAAAATATGGCTAAGGGAACAAAGATTTGAAGGTTAACTCTAAAACTGAAGCATATTTAAAGGGGTTTAGAAAAGATTGCTATAAATACAAAAAAAAAATCTTTTATTTGTATAGTAATGTAACAATGGAAATTTACAATATTAAATAGGTTTTTTGCAAATGTCTATGTGTTTTACTTATTTAAATTAAAAATTATGTAAATTTCAAATTAAATTATGACTAAACCACTAACTCTTATTTTATGTTTATAAGAATATTTATTATTTACTTTCACAAATAGAGATAGGATAGACAGAATAAAGTGGTACAAGACTTTACCTTATTCTTCATCCACTTTATCTATCACCTGTAATGCTTAATTATGAATTTTCTTAATTTAAAAAAAATAATGTAAATTGCGATATAAAATTAAATGCTTAGTTATACAGGCTGTGTTGGCGGTCAGTCGCAACCTGCATATTATATCAAAACACATGACTCACCAGCGCGCATGCTATTTATAAACATAGAATGTACTAATACAAACTCACCGGGCCCGTAGAAGCGTCGCCCTCGAGTCACGTCGAAAATCCACCCGTTAACTGCCACTAATACTCTGCCATCAGATTGAGTGCCATCATATTGCCGAAGTTCAGCTACTGTCATATCCTTACGAAGTCTGGGAAGTTCCACTGCAGGGGACTCCGCATGCCCCTTCGTAAATTTGCGGTATATTTTGTAGATCAAAACAAATATAATAGCAGTCAATAGCAAATTTACAGGACTGTATATCGAAATGATCTCATCAAAGAAACTGTATGAAGCACTCGGGTTGTCTTCCGCTTTGGTTTCGGACGCAGAAGACATTTTTATAAAGACAATTTTATCCGAATGTACTGTAAATAACCACGAAAGTTTAGGAATTTCACTAACTGTAGTCTAATCTGTAAATTTAATAATCACTAATGACGTCACCATTCAACATTTTTTTTTATGATATTTGTCATTAGTGAGTGACATCTAGGAATCACAACTAAGCAACCTAAGATAAAGGAATAACAAAATATATTTATTTCGAAATCTGCAAGAAACCAAATAACTTTTACAGATTACAAATACTGTGATATTTGCAACAGCACTTATTCTATGTAATAAAGAAAATGTCAAATATATTCTATTTAAAAAAAAATCTTAAAATCATACTTTATTAAGCAGCGCACTTTTATTGTTGATTGTAAACAGAAACGGAATTACAGTTTTTTTTTTGTATTTGTCTCCAATAAATGTAAATTATTAAGCAAATTGTTAGTTTACGAAGTAATATACATTATTGTACAAATGTCTTCTATTCAATCTATGGCATCACTTACAGAGTATTACAGAGTAGGTATCACTATTGTAAATATTATCCTTAATCTATCATAACGATAAATTAAGTGTTGGTATCATCTTTGTATTACTGAAAAGTTAAAAATAAGAATATTCTATGTAACCTTCTAGAAATATGAACACAATAAATTACATAAATATTCATCATGTTGTACAATATATTTATAATATGCCTTTGTCTAAAATATCGACATCAATGAGTAACGTAGATAATTTACTTATTTTATGGTGCAAAATGTATTAATTTAATATAATAGCATAGATATTATTCTTATTAATTCAATTTACTGGTTGCATGGAACCATATAATCGTTTTTTGTTCGAAGTGAAGAGACCTCGTAAGTATTTATTATTATTGGTCAAGTACAATAATCGAAATTTATCTAAGTTTTTGCTAAATTAATGGATAATTTATATTTAATTATTCCCAGTAATTCCCACTCCTGACAACGACTTATTTAAATTAATAGCCATGAAGGAGGCTCAGACGGATTTATGTACACGCTACATTAGAATTTTTATTGTAGTTTCATGTTATTGGTAAGTAATTATATATTTCACCAACCGCTCTGATTAATTAGTATTTTGTTTACAGTTTAATATTTACATTAGAAACTTTTTCTGTATCCGTTTATTTTTTAATTATAGAATATTAGGGAATAAGCACATAGCTTTTTTAAACCACTCAACTAAGGTACTTACTTAGCTAACTTTTCAACTAAAAATCCAATTCTTCCATATCATCATTGATAAATAAAAGTTTACAATAATGATTTAAAAACCATTAACAATTCCAATGCATTTACTTACATTAATTGTTCATAAGTCTATTTACACTAAAAATATCTTTTAGAACCTTCTTATCAAACTTGGTTGCTCAGTTTAGTTTTTACCTCATAACTCTGTCAGTTCTTAACTAATATGGAAAATTCTAATTTATTTGAAAGGATCTACTTACAGATTGGTTTCATAGAAATTTTATTAAAATTGGTTCAGTAGTTTTTAAATGAAAATAACTGATTTAATCATAATTGGTTTTTTTTTGTGGAATACAATGTTAAATTATTATTGATTAAAATAATATCACTGACATAAAATATGTGTATTTATTTTAATTAATAATACATAATTTTCTTTTCCTTTGTAATGACAGAGAATTTTTTTTAATTGCAATTTGCCCTAATAAAAATTTAAATTGTCTCACAATATAAGATATTCTGATCCTTAAGTATCTTAAGTAAGGCAATTATCATTATCATCATATCAGCCTTTAACTGTCCATTACTGAACATAAGTCTCCCCCTTGGGTGGTTTTGTCAGTAGTTGCTATGCTCGAAAGGTGGGTGAGCAATCACAGTAAGATTTTGGTGATGTTTTAAGAGTGATGCTGCTGCCCATCCCTCAACCATTAAGTTCTATTAGGGCGACAAAGGTCCTATGAGTCCTATGAGTGTCATAAGACATAAGAGATGTCTCATGACACACCCACAGGTGACCTATTCTGTGCTGGCTAAAAGGCAATAAATACCATTTATTGTTTTTATGTTAATCACATTACCAATAAAGCCTTTTTTGTGACATATCCACATGAATATATTCACCCTACTGTACTATACCATATCCTATATCTTCCTTTAACCCTTAAATACCTGAAGTTTCAAATTTGATACCAGGGTTATAAATCACATTGGGCACCTACAAATGATTTTATTTTAATATTTGGCTGTTACATGTAAACAATTTTTTTTTTTTTTTCAAAATAAATGTATAAAAATATTGTTTTGTTTTTTTTTTTTTTACTTTTTTCTCCATTAGTAAACACAGTAAAGGGTACACTTATATATTTTTTTATTTGGTTTAAAAAATCCCGCTTTTAAGGGTTAATTAAAGGAGAACCTCTCTTCTAGATAAATTTAGGTTAGGTCAAGATTTTTTTGTCCTTTACCCAAAGTTTGGCCAGAAGAGATAGGTCCTATCAATAAAATAAATAATAAATAGTTTTTATATTTAACATTGTGTTTTTTTTTTTTTTAGGGTTGTATCAATAGCAACAGTGTTTGTTAATAAAACATTATTGAGTGGACAAAGTGTAGCTTTGGAGGCACCACTATTTATCACTTGGTTCCAGTGTGTTGTATCATTCACAATATGTTTTTCATTGAGCAACACAGGTGGCATCCCTGGTGTGTTCAACTTTCCCACTGGCACACCATGGAGATTAGAAGTAGTAAGGAAGGTATATGATTTTTTGAATATCAATATAATTACACTAATACTTGTAGGGTATTATTAGGGCGAGCAATCTGGGATGCCTATTTTATGATTGTAGAGACAATTGTTATAGTATAAATAAGACTGTGTTTATTATAGAATCTATCATCAGTGCCATCTAACAAATGAAGAGTTTGTATCTACTATGAGTATAAGAAAAAAAAAAACATTTCTTGCTATGTGCTCCCAGCATATATTGGGCCACCCCTTCCTGTCCTATACATGTGTCTTTAGCATCTTAAATGACTTAATTTTCAAGGGATGGACAGTAGCATCTCTTAAAACATTGCCAAAGCCTAACTGTGGTTACCAACCCACTTGCATGGCAACTACTGTCACCCCATTGAGAGGGAGATTTCTATAAAAATCGATTGCATGGATACCTCTGTCCCATTGGTGTTTCTACAGTGAAGCAGTTGTATTTACATGGCTGTGTTTCAGTTTGAAGGGTGGACTATGGCGTGGATTTACTGGGTACAGAGGAATAACACCTGAGTCCTCAGGAATGGCAACACATGGGGGGTATCATGGGTGAAACAGTATACTCTGTTACATTCACGGTACTGCTCATGTCTATAGGCGATGGTTACCACTTTCCATCAGGTGGGCTGTCAGCTTGTTTGCCATTCTAAGTTGTATCAAAAAAAGGCTTATGTTCAACAGTGAACAGAAAATGGCTGATATAAAATAATAAGGAAAAGTTTTTATTGGGAGTTAACATTTGTGGATTCAATGGTTGTACCAATGAAAAGCCAAGCTTATCAAATAGTTAATGCATGAATAACACATGGTTGTGTATACATATTTCAAAAATTCCATTATAAATTTACTGATCAAAAGTAACTCCCATCTAACATATAATTCATGTTTTTAATATAGAATGGATGAAATTATTATCAGACTTGATAATCGGCAGTAATCAGAGAATCTATAATAGTTATTATTTTTTAATATTATCTAATGGCAATATAATTTAATATTATGTTTTCCAATATATCAGTCATATCTTTTTAGGTATGATAACATTATTTAATTATGTCCATGGTACTGTTCATGTCTATAGGTGCTGGTTATGACTTTCCATCAAATGGACTGTCAGTTTTGACCATTTTTGATCTTATTGCAATGTACATACATTGCATTTTTTTTTAGTACTCCATTTTCATAATCATTGTAAGAACACTTGTAATAATACAAGTTAAAAAATATTGGGAAATAAAATTTAAAATAAATAAAAATACCACCAAACTATAAACAATTAATAATGTTTTTTTTTTATAGGAACAACATTTAACACTTGATACCATTGTTTCCATTATTTTCAGGTGATACCACTTTCGTTAATGTTCACATTGATGATAGCAACTAACAACTTGTGCCTGAAATATGTGGGTGTCTCATTCTACTACATAGGCCGATCGCTCACCACTGTATTCAATGTGCTATTCAGTTGGATATTGCTTGGACAAACCACATCTCTAAGGTGTATTCTTTGCTGTGCATTCGTTATATTTGGATTTTACCTGGGCGTGGACCAAGAAAGTTTATTAGGTATGTATTGAGCAGCGGCAGTGGGATGTTATAAGTAATTTTAGGAGGGAAAAGGATTGTTAGTAATGGAGACTAAAAATCCCATTGCTAGTAATATACCCAACCAGGTCGACCTCCTCGCGTTTCCCCCTGGAAACTATCATGGTTAATTCCTGATGAATTCATCATGATGGGCTAGCTGGCCTGTTTTCATTCTCATCTATCACCCTTCACTGGTGCTACGCCAGCGTATCCCGTTAGCGCAGGTGGGGTTACCACCATTTTCACCCATCAAAAAAAAAATAGTAATTTTATTTAATAGATGATAATGCAATGTTTTTTTTTAATGGATGATAATGAAATGGTAGCCCCGCCTGCGCTATCAGCTATCAGTATATACTGGTGGGACACCAGTAAGGGGTAATAGGTGAGGGTGGAGTCAGGTTAGTTGGCCCATCGCAACAAATTTGATGATAATTAATCCCGATAGTTTCCAGAGGGATCCGCGTGGACGTCGACTTGACAGGGTATATTGCTAGCAATGAGGATTGACCTCCCCATTACTAACAATCATTGGTCCGATAATGCAATGGTAACCCTGCCTGTGCTATCGGTATACGCTGGCGAGGCACCAGTGATAAATGATAGGTGAATATGAAGGCAGGTAAGTTGGCCCATCATGAAGAATTGCACAAGAATTAACCACGAAAGTTTTAGGAGGAACCGCGTGGAAGTCGACCTGATAGAGTATATTGCTAGCAATGGGGCTGTTATTACCCATTACTAACATCCCCCCCCCCTGTTAATGGTAATCATGTCACATGAGATATTTAATTATTCAGTTTTGTTTCAGATTCGTTTTCTCTCATAGGCACAATATACGGAGTTGTAGGATCACTCATGTTATCCCTCTACTCCATTTATACAAAGAAAGTACTACCAAGTGTAAACCAAGAAGTGTGGTTGTTGTCATACTACAACAATGCCTACTCTATTATCCTTTTCTTACCGCTAATTATTATGAATGGAGAAGTGCACGTGTTGTGGAACTACAACAACTTTGATAGCCTATGTTTCTGGGTGCAAATGGTGATTGGCGGGGTGTGCGGGTTTGCAATAGGCTATGTCACATCTTTGCAAATAAAGGTAATAATTTTCATACATTATCTTTACTATCATATTATATTTAAATAACTTTTAATATTGTGTGTATTGTTTTACTTATATATTTTGTTTCATGCATGCATGCCCTACATTTGTACATAAACACTTCTTATGGAATAGTAAAGATTAAATAAATACTAAATAAATATGTTCATAACTATAATTCCTGTTTTGACAAACATATTACTCGAATTATTTAAATTGTTAGTAGTTGTAAATTTAAATAATTTAAATTTTTAATTGGATTAAAGTGCCCAATACAGCTCCTTTGTAAATGCTAGTGTTTTATAGGAGGTAGGGGACGTATAAGAGCCTAGAAAAAAATAAGTTATGTTAAATTTTATTTATAAAGTTGTATGTTCTCTTTAGAACTCTCATTTAAAATATAAGTTTTAACTCTGAAACAAGATAATTAAAGTAAACAAAATGGTTGAAAATTTTAGGGAGTGTTAGAAGAAATTAAGTTTTCAGAAACTTTAAGAATATTTTTTATTCAATGTTTACCTATGACTTAAACTTATAAGTTATAAATTTGTGTCAGTACAGACTAGCAAACAGCATAAGAGTTATTTATATTATTAGACGAATAAAGTCCATTACTGTAAATTTTATAATTTACTTTAAATTAATCAAACAATCTTTTATGATTTACAGGTGACGTCACCATTGACCCATAATATATCTGGCACCGCGAAAGCCTGTGCTCAGACAATAATGGCCACACAGTGGTATAGTGAAACAAAAAGCAGTCTATGGTGGACTTCAAACGCGATAGTGCTGGCCAGCAGTGCAATGTACGCAAGGTTTAAGCAAATTGAAATGGAGGTTAATTCTAGGAGACCAGTGCCAGAAGAGAAAAAGAGTTTAGTATGATCATAGACAAAGTAGACTAGGAACGTAAATGCATTTGTAAATATTTTCAACTTTTGACATGACTGCCAATAAATGACTGCTAATGTGTGTATGAATGATGATGTATGAATGTTCAGATTTTCATGTAATATGTTTTTATTAATAAGGATCTCGTTGAATTTGTTTGTATTAATGCAAGATATACTACTACAGTATAAAATTAATGTGACGATCATAAATTTATTAAAAAATGTTTATACTTTCTTATATTTAACTAATCTAATGTAGACTTAGTTGGAAAGGCCATCCCAAACAAAGTTCATGGGATTGAACAATTTTCCCCAAGGAATATATTCGAAATATGGAAGCATACAAAAAAGCGATAACACAAATGATATAGCTTGAAAATAAAAAAAAAAAACTATACTTTTATATTTTGATGATATTCCTTAGAAAAAGGTTTTTTAATTTCATGAACTGCTTTTCTAATTGGTATACCCTTTCTAATTAATCTTGTTATATTATGTTATTGTTTATAAAAAAAAAGGGCCAGTGCAAATGAGATACAAAATTATGAGTTTAAGAAAAAAGTTGCTGTAAGCAACTGTTAATTTTAAGCTAACTAATTATTACAATTACCTACATTTATAAATTTATTGTATGATACCATAATACTTTCTTGTGTATGAAAGGGCATATAATTTTATGTAATGTGAAGGATAGGACAGCCTGCTCATCATTGACATATCAGTTTTTATTTTCTTATTATTATTGTATTAACCTTTAATTATCCACTGTTGAATAAGCCTTCCTCTAATTGGGATTTTGCCAATAGTTGCCACGGTTGTCAAGTTTAAAGAGAGACGCTGCTGCCTATCCCTTGACCATTAAGCTTAGTCACCTCTTACGACACCCACAGAAAAGGAAGGGGTCCTTGGCACTTTACACTTGGCATATATAGTAAACATAACGGTACTTTTCTTTTTTGTCGATAACTGTACACGAAATAAATAGGTAAAAAGGAATAAAATGGTATGATTTCTTTAAAAAAATAAAATAAAAAATTAATTTTGGAAAGAACACCAAGATTTGGTTACTAAATAATGCCCAATATAAAAATAATAACACGTAATATATATACATATTAGTTTATATTATAAAATTAATGTCACGAAGTCAATTTCACTACATATATTTTATCCGCAGTTTTAATTCTTAATGCGTCAATTAATGTCACAAAGCCAAAGTCGCCACCTTAGTTGTTAAATATTTTCGACACACCAAAGCAATACATTGAGTATGTTTACCCAGCTGGTATTTATTCCGACGTCACGTACTTTTCTAGAATATGTAATAATATGTTTAGAACTTTATAATACTTCTATAACACATTTTTATTTTCGATGGTTCTCTTAACTTATTTAATAATATTTGTTATGTCATTTCAAAATAAAAAGCAGTAAAATTAAGTTACTATTATTATTAAAAAATTACAATTAATAGTATTATAATTTATATAAATTAAGATCGATATTTTTGTATTTACTTACCTAATTGTCGCAAATATTTACTCGTGATCTTAGTATTGTTGATAAATATTTCACTATTCTCTTATATTTTGGTTGCAAATAGACATTCTTTGTTTCCTCTGGATCAAAGCTGTGATCATATAGTTCTAGGGCATAAACTTTGTTCCAATCCCTTGTAAATAATGTATTATTAAAAGATATCCATTCAGTGTACCTGAACCGTTTTGTTTTAATACTGTAACCCATGATTTTTATGTCTTTCAACCGTGGTTTGTCAGAATTGGATTTAGGGTGTACACTAGGCCGTGGATATTGGCTAAGAGCGAATGATTTTGACTTTACACTTATATTAAACCTATTCATACCCATTAAAGACACTAAACTGTTCCCTTCAAAACACAACAGTCTCTTATCATCACAAGTACATTTTGGTATATTGCTAGACAAGCCACTGAGCTCGGCCAATGTTGGAAATATGTCGATTAGTTCAACTGGAGTTTCTATTGATTTGTGCGGCATTCCTGGCACGTTGAATATTAAAGGCACTTTCAATGCGACATTGAAATTACTGTACTTCGCCCATAAACCGTTTTCTCCCAACGACCAACCTGTGAAGAATATTTTTAAAGTTTTAATTTAATAGAAAAATAAAATAATAGGAGGATGGGGAATAAATGCTAGAAGATCTACCCACAAGAGCAAAGAATAACAAATTGTCATTTCCTGCAGCAGTAGCAAAGACTATTTTTTGTTTATTAAGGATATAATAATTTAACCCTTAACTGTCCACTGCTGAGGAGGGCAAGGGATTGTTAGTAATGGGATCTAACGGAGCCATTGCTAGCAATACGCTCTAACAGGTCGTCCTCCACGCGATTCCCCCTGGAAACCATCGTGATTAATTCTAATGGAATTTGTCACAATAGTAACCCCGTCTGCGCTATCGGTATACGCTGGCGGGGCACCAGTCAAGGATGATAAGTAACATTGAAAGCAGGTCAGCGCGGACGGGGTTACTATTCCATTATCATCTATTAAAAAAACTCGCAATTAGGACTTGATGATGATTTAAGAGGGACGCTGTTACCCATCTCTCGACTATTAGGTCCCCTTAATCGCTTCTTACTGGAAGGGTTGGCCTATTCTATGCCGGGACCACATGGCAGGAATTATAGCAATTAAGGATATTGGTAGCTTTGATACATCCCATAGTGTTTATGTCAACAAAATCTCACCATGATCACTTGTTAAAAGCACGATGGTGTTGTTTTTATTCACGGCGGCCATTAATTTTCCAACCAAATCATCAATATAAGTGGCAGCGGCATAGTAACTCTGTCTTATTCTCAAAGTCCAATCAGTAGGCATTGTGCCATAAGGGAACGATATGTTTAGGCGCTTTATGTCATCCCTGTGACGTACGTCAGTCCAAGGGTGCCAGGAGACCGTCGGTAACCCTTCGGGCTTGTTCGGCTGTTGCGGAGGATGTACTGTTTGTATTGGAACTCTCTCTGGAACAGATAATATGTACGAAGCAATTTTATCAATCGTCAGCTCCTCAAGCTAAGATATCCTGTGTTATGAGGAACCAGGCACAACACAAATGATCCAGGCCAAAGTCAATTAAAAAATTCATTTTCTAAATTAGCTCGATCGAAAATCGACCCGGGACCTCTTTTACGTAAAGCTATATGTGCCAGATGTCGTCAAGAGGTATGTCCTCACCATATGGAGTGAGCCTCACCACAAGATAAAAATTCAAGAGTGACTAGCGTGGAAATACATAATTATCTTTGTTTAATGGCGAGAAACCTCACTCACTCAGATATAGCTCACGAAGATCAAAAAAGATATGAAAGGTTTCCATGGGTCCACGCATCAGATGGGTCGTATGCTTATTAAAGATGACACATTTGCATAGCATGTAACAAAATTATAATGAAAAGTGATTCCTGAAGTGAGTGAAATTTTTAAATGCAATGACTTAAGCTGAATTAACATTACGAAACTATTCAATCTGTGACCAAATTAATTAATATCGTTGAAGTTAATCACCTTTAAATTAAAGTATGTACTATATACTTAGTTGCATGAATGACATTATTTGAATGTAGCATGAAATTTTTTTTTTAATAGTTGAGAATGAAATGTTAATCGTGTTCTGCATTATTGATATACACTAGCGAGGCACCAGTTAGAAATTATAGGTTGAAAGAAAGCAGTACAGTTAACCCATCGTGACGATTTCCTCAAGAATTAACCACGATGTTACTAGGGTGAACCACGTGGAGGTCCAATATTGCTAGCAATGAGGCAGTTGGACCCCGTTACTAACAATCCCTTTCTTCCTAAATTTTTTATTTACTAAATTAGAGATTCATATGCGAAATTATTGAAGTAATTAATACTATAATATAAAAAAAAATGAAAGTAAATTTAACTGTAAGTTTAGATAATTTAGTGCCTACTTATACTGTTTTGATAGGAAATACTTGCTTAACTTATTTTGAAAAACTTACCAAGATATTTTTTGGGAAACTTTAAAGGAATATGCGGTTTATGGAAACCAATTGCCAACATAAATGGCTTGCTGGAATTTCGCTCGTTGATTATCCTAATTGCATGTTCCAGTGATTCTAGGTCAGGTAATGATTTCCCTGGTTGAATTTCCACTTTAACTGGGCATATTAAATTTTTTTGATATCTCAATGTTTCTTTATCTTTGCAGACAGCTGCATCTTTATACTGTTCAGTTGGAGGATGGTATGGTACATGAGACCAACTTAAAGGGTAATCATCGGTAAAGTTTGAACTCGCCCCTGGATGAAAAACCTTACCCACAGAATACGTTTCAAACCCATTTTCTTTGTAAAATTGTGGTATGGTTGTGAAATTACCGACTTTTACTCGCCAGTAATTATAAAAATCATATAGACGCAGCGAATCTGGTCGGCGTCCAGTTAGTAATGAATTTCGGCTTGGTGCACATAAGGCTTGCTATAATGACGATAAAAATTATGTTTGTGGAAGTAAATAAATAAAAGATCATTATTAAAATAAATTAAATATTATTATAATAGGTCTTTCATATACCTGGGCATAGGCATTTTCAAAATTTATTCCATTTGCCGCTATTTTATCGATGTTTGGCAAAAAAATATCTTTGTCCGATAGATGGCGGAGATCATCGATTAAAATAATCAATACATTATGTTTTTGGATACTAGCTCCATATGGATGAAGCAAAAATAAAATTGTAAAACATAAATTAACACATATTTCTAACATTTTCACATCTAATTCAGATAATACAAACAGTAGATTTATAAGTATAGCGCACAGATTAGAGAGACTATGTCTAAAGAGAGAGAGAGTGGTATAGAGTTAATATGTATGCATAACTTTGTAGTTTGGTATCTAATTACCATTTAAAAAAAAAATAACTCATATAGCTGCTTCTTAGAGTAATTTTAATTTAATTAGCAGAAAGGGGACGAGAGATATGCTATCAGATCTCAATTCATTCATGAATATTAAATAAACGACCATTGGCACGCTTATATCGAGCAATTTAGGAACTAAAAATTTCTATAATGAATTAGTTCTATCTTTTGTCGTGAGATTGTAAATGGCGCTGTTTGTCGTAGAAAAGTGTATTTAAGCGAATAGGAATGTAAATAGAATGTTTACGCTACATAATACTGTTTTATTTTGTTTTTTTTTTTATATTAAGCAATCCTTTGTAAAATATTTACGCAGTGTTTGTACGGTATGTTCTGTTAGAAAGAAAATGTATCAAATAATCTTTAGACATAGTCTCTCTAATCTGTGTGAATAATCCACCTAGCTATTCGTGTTATAGTTTCTGTTTGGCAATTTCTCATCATCTTATGCTTTTTTCTGTATGATCTGTAACTGTTTACGGTTACAGATCCTTAATATATTTAAACTCAATTTCAATTCTTTTTCAGTTTCAACAGCTTATAGATTTCCATTTTTTAGATTACTTATAATGTCATTCAAATATGAATTATGTTATATTACGTGGAATGGAACGCTGCATCAAAGAGTATGAAAGTGAGTTAGGTAAATAGGTACTCAAACAAATTAGGTGTCTATATTATACGTAAATAAAATAACAGGGAGAAATGGATTGTTAGTAATGGGGTCAAATAGCCTCATTACTAGCAATATACTCTGTCAGGTCGACCTCCACGTGGTTGCCCCTGGAAACCATCGTGCCTAATTCTAGTTAAATTCGTCAGTATGGGCTAACTGACCTGCTTTCATCATCATCAGTTATTTATCACTGGTGCCCCGCCAGTGTATACCGATAGCGCAAATGTTAGCATACCATCATCACCTATAAAAAAATACAATGCTCAATAAATGATCAAGTGGTGTAACAAAACAAGTAGCTTATAAGATAAGGCTTCAAAGATAAGTTTGAGGTTATTCAATCACGTATATTTGGTTTAAGTAAACTATATATTCAAAGGAGGACCGTATGGATGATATATGTTCACAAAACATTAATTTTTCATTTACGGAATATCAGCGATTATCTTATCATTACAACATACTCATACTTAAACGACTGTAGAGATTTGAATGTTTAATACACAAGTAGATCACAGCCTACATTAATACATAGCTATAGCTAATTTTACTAATATTAGAAAATTGTAACAAGGTGAGGTCAGTACATGGGAGATATTTAAGAATATACATAAAATACATATAAATAATGTTAAGGGTTTTGTCTGGGGACCGTATCTCAACCATATAACAGATGTTAATTTGCCATAATCTTTCAATCTTGGGATAAAATAACATTAACATTCGATATATATTAGGCACTTAATAGGAATATCCATTATGTTTCTAAAATCTGTACTCCCTTATTAATATTATAAACTATAGGCACCTTAAGCCTAAGTTCAAACAGATTTTAATATCGAAACGATCTCACTCCAACTTAAATATCATTACATGTATCAAATACTACTAAGTTAATCTCTAAGTTTGGTACTAGAACAATTTTAACATTTATATATGGAATATTTTTCTATATATGGAAATTTTATAATATGGAAATTCAATTCGTAATACAATCTAGAGTATAAAATTGGAATTTATTATTGGTATGTGATTCTTTGTTTTTTGTAAATTTTGTATAGAAACAAGATTAAACGCACTATCATAGAAATAACTTGCATATTGGAAATATTACGGAGCCATTCAAATGATCTTCGCAAAAAGTGTCTGGCATGTGTATGTAATAAGGTCGGTTATTTTGTTCCTACATAAGCCCTTTAATGTCACGCGTTATTAGATATCTATTTATATATCTATGGGCGTTATTAAGAGTAGATGTTTGTCTGTCTGTCTCTATGATTGTTCCGGTATCGTGTAAAAATTTTTATATCAACTTGGATGCGATTTTCACAGTTGTATTTTCGAAGATTTCACTTAAATTTTGGTATTTAAGTTGATACATCATCTACAAGTGGTGCGTTTAAATAATTTTCCTATAATCCACGCGTACGAAGTAGCGGGCAAAAAGCTAGTCCTACTATAAAATTACTTTAAGTTTGGATAATTGTGCCTTAATCACGCTTAAATGACTGAATAGATTTGAATGAAATTGATCATAGATTCCAGATAAACACAATTGATTACCTAGTGACTTTGTAAATTATATAATTAATTGACGTGACCAGAGCCGGTATAAGATATATCTAGAAATATATGCATTGGTAAGATAATTCTTAAAAAAATATGTTATGGAAAATTTATTAAAAGTAATTGTAATAAAAAATATATAATTACCAAGCCAAGCATCTCTGCGACAAAATTTTATAACCTGCTTTGCGTAGGTACTTACTAAAATATATTCATTTATAATCTTTTAAATTGTGTTTTTCCACACCTATATGAAATTGTCAATGTGTGCGTTGTATCAAGTTGTTTGTATTCTGTGATTGGCAGGTACGGATGATTATGATTACACGCACACAGAAAACGAAGAAGTGAGCGTCCAGTATTGTCATTCAAATCATCTGTTTCGTGAATTCTTGTGTGTTTTGTATATAAATTTAATTTATTTCCAATTTATTTAATAAAATGATCATAAATTATTGATACTATTTATTCAGTGTATGAAAAAATTATGTTTGTTTAGGGTTTGTTTTTTTAATTTGTGTGACGTCATTGTTTTCGCTGCCAGTAATAACGACGCAGTTGCATTTTTTACTTGAAAATGGATTTAAAATGAGGATTATTTTCGTAAATAAGGTAAGTGTAAAGGGTAACGTGTACATTTTAGTATTTATTTGGCATAAGGTAATCGTTGGCAGGTTTCCTTGAGTATTTAGCGATGGTAGAAGTCGAATCGATTTCCTTTGTCCTCGGTCCCCTTGTATTGCTTCCAAACGTACCTACCTACTTGTGTATCATTGCCAGCTGTTTCATAATAACAATATATATCTGTTGAAAGTTCATGTGTTCAAACATTTGAATATTAATTAGGTACGTAAATAACATTGTTTTGTTTTTGTGACTTATGTAATCTTTAACATTGTTTGTGGAAAGGGAGTTTTGTATGGAGGTTTGAAAAATAATACGCGCGAATGTGTGTGTTTACTCATGGGCTATTTTAACTTTCTATATTTCTTGGTCAGGGTTACAATTTAAATTTGCATATGATTTCTTAATTTATTAGTAGTGATTCACTATTATTTATAGCAGTATTGTTTAAACTATTGTTCAAAATATTTATCATTATTTAAGACAGAACCTTATCATTATAAAATCATACCATTTATTGTGTTACAAACAGAAATTGTCATTGTGTAACAACTTAGTCACTCATTAACATACAGTTGTAACCTTAACATTAATTTCATAAATGTAATTAAAATTCTGCTGGTTCATACTAAAGGTCTATTCCTTCACTGATCAAAGTTTTTATCATTAATGTTATTTGTAATATTAATATAATCTTTTCACTTTTTGCAATTTTATTTTGTAAAAACTACACATTCGGGCTAAAAACGAATAAGTAGAGAATACATTTTTAAAATAACAATTTAAATTATATCATATGGGTCATGTACTTGATGCTGTCTAAGTCTACAAGCAATGGTTACTATTTTTTGTCAGCTAGGCCTATCAGCTTGTTTGCCCTTCTAAGTATCATAAAAATATATAATTTTTAGATATTTCTAATGTATTTGTGACCTCTAATGGCTTTGTGTGGGTGCAAGAGCTTGACAATACTGTCACTTATTAGGGTAAAATCCTATCTCTCAATTTAAAACAAAATTATTTTAAGGACTAAATTTATGACAGGTTTCAGTCAGAATTATTATAAACTAGATGTGTTATTTAGCTCTGTCTGCATGAATCAGTATATAAAATATCCTATGTGCTAACTTGGCATATAATTTACCCAAATATTATTCAAATCTGTTCAATAGTTTTTGCATGAAAGAGTAACAAACATCCATTTATTCCTCACTTTTATTAATAGGATTTAGTTAATGTTAATCTATAACACTTATATATATGAATTTACAGGGTACAGAGGAATAACACCTGAGTCCTCAGGAATGGCAATGCATGGGGGGTATCCTGGGTGAAACAATATACTCTGTTATGACCATTGTACTGCTCATGTCTATAGGCGATGGTTACCACTTTCCATCAGGTGGACCGTCAGATTGTTTGCCATTCTAAGTTTTATAAAAAAAAGAACACAATGTAATAAATGATATTTTACTTTTATTTATTGTTAGGAGGAAAACAAACAAATGCTAAAGGATATTTATATTTTGATAGGTACTATTAAAGCAATTTAAATATTATGCATTGTTTTAATAATTTTATATCTTGACAATATCAAAAATAACCAATTCTCTGTAACTGTAAAAAAAAATATAACATCATCAAGTCTAGAACAAAACTAGATGCTGGTGATACATAATTGCTGCTATTTTTCATAGGCAACTATAATATTGCTATGTATAAAAATAAATAAATTTCTGTTTAGCGTAAATCTTGCAATTTTTTTGCTGTTATTTTATTAATTTCAATGGTCCCATGTAGTAGATTTCTCCATGTAGTAGTTTTACATCCACAACGTAATTTTTTATTTATTTATTCATTCTTTATTGACCACAAAAAAAATGTCTGGTACAAAAGGCGGACTTATGTTGGTATTATATTGTACTTTTTTGACAACCCTAGATGTCTAGTTGAGAAGTTCATATGATAAGTACTTTGTAAAAAATATCTGAATAAAGGTAATTTCTATATTACTGATCGGTGTGAACAATTCGCAGGCGACAGTAGGCCATCATGTCAGCGGAGTCGCCGCGGCACGTGCGCTCCGGCGGGCCGCTTACGGTGCCGTCGCAGCCGCCCAGCGACCGCAGCATCATTGATACCGTCTCCGGGTTCATCAATGACGTCACACTCTCGTCCTCCTCCACTGTCGACCCTAAGGATGTGATTCAGTGGGCGAGGTATGTTCATTATTGCGATATCCTTACTAATATTACGAGTATGAATGTGAAAGTGAGTTTGTTTGTATGTTACATTATAGCTTCTTAATAGCTTAACCAATTAGCGTGTAATTTAATATACACGTATTACTTGGGCTGGAGAAGGGTATAAGTTATTTTTTATCTCGGTCAGTAAACATATTCCGGTCACGCGAACGTAGTCGCGGCAAAAAACTAGTATCTATGTAATTTGCACTTTCAGCAGTAAGCAGTCTGCGCTAGTCACTAACTAGATCGATCCCTCTGTTCAATATGATTCGTCAGAACGTGAAAATTATATATATTCAATTGTAGAATCAGATAGAAAATAATTAACTTAATCGTCATAGTCGTAGAATACTGACGGATCTGACAAAGATTACATATAAAGATCCGTCAGTATTCTACGACTATGACGTAATGTATATACCACTAGTTGTATCTTACAGATTCGCTCGTGGTCGTATTTTGAAGATCAAAATACGACCACGAGCGAATCTGTATATGATATGTATGAATGACCTATAACCTTCAAGAAATGGGTTATAAATAGCAAAAAGAATTTTTCAAATCTAACTGGTAATTTCACAGATTTGTGGGTTCCAACAAACAGACTATTAATTTCTATTCATAGACCTTCCTAATATAATAAAATTTCAAAAAAACGTTCACGCTCACTTTTTTACTTTATACGAGCAGTAAGTGCTTTATATTATTCTTAATTTCGTGTATAATATAGTATATGTCATATATGTGTAAGTATATTTGTTATTCATATATATTTATGCGTTTATACATGTAATTTTAGTATGTATGTATATCAATAATTAGTAGTACCGCATTCGAGTATTCTGACACTTCTCTATGGTTGACTGGGAGAGAATGCTTTTAGCATTAAGTCCGCCATGTACACATATTTGTATTAATGAATAAATAAATAAATAATGTTCCTTAAATAGACTAGATTAAGAGTTTTCTTACGTACGTACTTAACGTACATGGGAGATATTTAAAAAAAATTGGTATGAGGGGTCTTAATAAGAGCAATGGTAGCTGCAATAGTAATTTTTAATTTTGTGTTTATATGTTTGTCCTGGCTTTAGGCAAAAACTCTAATTTAAAAACTTGTGTACGTTTTATCCTTGGTACGCCATCTAGAAAAGGTCTAGCGGGCAAAATACTAGTGTACTATAGATGTTAAATATTAATTCATTAGGCAAGATCAGATTTTTTTTATACAACTTAGAATGGCAAACAAGCTGACGGCTCACCTGATGGAAAGTGGTAACTGTCGCCTATAGACATTAGCAGTACCATGGACATAACAGAGTATACTGTTTCGTCCATGATACCCCCCATGCGTTGCCATTCCTGAGGACTCAGGTGTTATTCTTCTGTACCCAGTAAATTCACGCTATATCCCACCCTTCAAACCGAAACACAGCCATGCAAACACAACTGCTTCACGGTTGAAACACGAATGGTACAGAGGTACCGAAGCAATCGACTTTTGTACGAAGTCTCCCTCTGGTAGACTCAGTAATGGTATTTATGTAATAAATTAGTAAATAAATAATTCTTATAAACTTGGAGCATATTATAAGCAATACATTGTTATATTGTACTGAACAGTTGTGAAGATAACATGAAGTAATTATTATAAATTAATATTATCTAGTACTTTGAGAACTTGTATTCTTGTAGATTCGAGACAGCTGATATAAACGAACCGACGCCAGAAGGAGACGGCGACAATGACATATCTCCATTGCTGCTTATACTGGGCTATGGGTCCGGCGTGCAAGTGTGGCTGATCCCACCCAGCGGCGAGGCCCAGGAGGTGTTGTCATGGAGACAAGGCACAGTTAGGGTGCTCCGTATACTGCCTACACCGCAGCACGGCGACTGCTTCGCATCGAAGAGGCCCCTTATCGCTTTGTGTGACTCCGCCAGTCCTGGACCGACTTTTTGCTCTCTCAGCTTCATATCAATCAGGGGCGGAGAACAGGTAATTTATTATAAAATCCTTTATATTTAAAAATTTTATTAATTAACTAGGATAAACAGTAGTTGGGTTTCTATCCCCAATACTACGTGTATGGGCTAAGAGTTGAGGGCTTATTTTTAAGAATCTACTATAATGTTAATCGTAGTTAGTATTAATAACTTTTTTTATATTTTGAACAATATGTTTTTTTTATATATGTGTTGTTTCACTAAAATTTTTTTTGTGGCCAGTCTTTAGATTCTAATATTTAGTTACTTAATTATAGGAAGATGTTATAAATTATAAGTAGTAGTATATTTCCATATTCACATAAAATGACATGCTAATTTTATTAAGGATTTTTTATGTAATACGATTTATTATTTAAGAATTTAATTATGATTGATTTATGAAGTTTGGGATGATTACTTGAGACATTTGGGTTTCATTATTTTAAATATAAAAGTTAAAAAATTGTACGCTTAAGGAATTAGTACATTTTGTATGTTCATAAATATTTTTTTTACTTTTTTCTTATTATTAAATTCAATCATACACTCCGATTGCTCCAATAAATAAATATATAAATATAAATATCTAATTATTAATCCAATTATATATATATATATATATATATATATATATATATATATATATATATATATATATATATATATATATATATATATATATATATATATATATATATATATATATATATATATATATATGTACATATATATGTACGTCATAAAGAAATATTATGTACTTACATACATATAATGTATTGATATAGATAAAGTCATTAGGAGATATAAATAATTTTGTTGTATTATATTATAGAAACAAAAGCTAACAAAGCTATTGTTGTTAGATCAGATCAGACAATGTTTTGAAATAATTATACATTCTTTTCTTTATAAAAAAATAATATATAATTATTTCAAAATTTACTAGAAATTTGATAAAAGACATTTGTAATGCCTTAAATTGTTTTAATACTCGTATCATTCAAGTAAATGTTTCAAGTTAGAGTTGATTTGATATATCATTGTTTTTTTTTTTTTTGTGGTAGGTAATAAAAGCCCTTTATTGGTTTATTAGAACCAGAGTATAATTGCGTCTGTATGTTAAATGTTTTTGTGTTTTAAATAAACATTTCCGCGTAATAAATTTTGTTACATTAACATAACTGGTGACTTTATAATCAACATTTAAATTTTGGACGAATTTTCATCTCTTCACACAGTTTCATATACGTAAATTAATGTTATGGGATGTATGATTATATGATGGCTGCATATATGCTGATATGCATGGCTGTGTTTCGGTTTGAACGGTGGGATATGGCGTGAATTTACTGGGTACAGAGGAGTAACACCTGAGTCCTCAGGAATGGCAACGCATTGGGGGTATCATGGGCGAAACAGTATACTCTGTTATGTCCATGGTACTGCTTATGTCTATAGGCGACGATTACCACTTCCATCAGGTGGGCCGTCAGCTTGTTTGCCATTCTAAGTTGTATAAAAAAAAAAAGATTTTCAAATTACATTATTGGAGAATCATATTCTAATCTATTCTACAGGTGAAAAGTATAAAATTCAAGAATCCCATACTCGACGTACTAGCGAATAAGCGCTCCGTGGTGGTATCTTTCTCCGAGCGCTTCGCTGTCTTCGACGCGGCGACGCTGGAAGACAGAATGACAGTCACCACGTGCTACCCGTGCCCGTGCCCACTCGGCGGGAGCGCGCCCATCAACCCGCTGGCGCTCGGCGACCGCTGGCTGGCGTACGCTGACAAAAAGTTGAACCAGTCCAAGAGGAGCAGCGGCGGTTGTGAAGGTAGGGATTCATACACTAAACATTGATACAGACAATACAGATGTTGTGGTGATAGTAGGCACTGACATAGTAATACACTGATAGAAAAGCTCTCATTTAATATATTCTTAAAAAATCTAGATACCAATGGTTCTAAATGCAGTTTAACTGCATTATAATTGTCTAAGTAAATAAAAAATAATTACAAAGCGTTTTTGTTTTATATATAGGCAATTTAAAAATTAGACTTATTTAATTTGTATATATGTATTTAGTATAATGTATATAATAAATGTAGATGGCTAGGCATAGAATAGGCCACTCCTTTATTTTCGTAGAAATCGTATGAGGCGACTAAGTGAGTTTATGGTTCAGGGATGGGCAGCAGCGTTTCTTTTTAAATATCATCAAAATTCAAATTACAATTGCCAACCCTGTTGCCAAGCGTGGCGACTGGCAAAACTCCTCTTATGGGGGAGAATATGTTTAACAGTAGACAATTAACGGCTAATACAATATACATAATACACTATTTTGATATAATTATTTTATAATAAGATTCTTTTAGATAATCTATCTGTGAATCTCATAACTTCAGCGTATAAACTCTAATAGATAACGGAACGTCCACCAAAATACCTTTTATTTTACGGAACCCCATATCAACTGATCACAAATCAAAAACACTGTAATTTAAATAAGAACAAAACTTTTTATTAGATATATTTTAAAATTATGACACTTTATAGTTTCCTTTAAATTTTTATCCTATAAATAATTTCGCGGAACCTTGGTGACTTTTTTACGGAACCTAGGTTCCGCGAAACCCAATTTAGGAATCGCTGCTCTAATGAACGTTACAATAAACTGAACAGTAGCTATTATGATATGAAATGACGCAATTTTTAACTGTAGATAAAAGCGACATTATTTCATTTTAAATAAACAAATAACATGAGGTTATGCGTACTATGAGTTGTAAACTATTGTAGATAGATAGGTTATGTTCCTCGGGCAAATAAACCTTACCATTTGTCATTATTATTGCTCGGGTACTGACTCAGCTATTTACAAAGTGCGTAGGTACTATTGTTTTATTGCACAATAGCTTTTATCTATTGCTTTGTGCACTTGTAGTTTACATACAGTTCATTTATAGTAATATATTTTTAATTATCATAATTCCCTTACCCTTATTCTAATTATAATACGCTCGGCGTAATATGATAATAAAATTGATTTTATAATTGGCCGCTTGCTGACGTCGATTCTCTTTAGGAATGTATTAGGTGGTGGTGTCCGCCATCTTTAAAAACTTGTTAAATTTTTAAGAAATATAGTTTTCATTATTTAGTAAAAAAAATATTGAAATTAATCGTAAGTAAAGGTTTTTTTTTTTATACAACTTTGTATACAAGTTGATGCTCCATCTAATGAAGGTGATAACACCTACTTAGTTATTACATAGTCTAAATTTAATTATAACTCTACTGTGTGCCCAGCTACATAGTTATTCTAGAGCTATTATATTGTTATTTATTCCATTTGTTTTGCGAAACAAAATCTTCAAAATCGCTTTATATATTTCAGTCAAGAACGATTCAAACTAAAAATTTTGTATCTACCATTTATTTGATGCAAAAATGAAATTGTGTGAACAAACATTGCTTTATTTATTTTTCTAATGAATCCACCATGCATATAAACAGGTTGCGCCTTCAATACAGTGTTGCAGTTCGTTCAATAGAATTATACTCGTAATAGTTTATTACAATTAGTTCATTAACTGTTGTTGCATATATTGCTTATTATCTATAATTTAAATACAAATGCGTGGTTTATCGTATTTAGTTTTTATGTAGTTGTGTAGTAAGATCAAATTAGAGTGTTCAATGTAATTAAAATAAAGCATTAGCAAGCAAGCGTTAGCAATAACAAATGTAAAGTTTTTTTTTTTAATTCATAATTTATGTAACTTTTTGTTGTTGTCAATAATTGTTTTCTTTCTTTCTTCTTTCTTTCTTTCTATTAGCCACGTTTCTTAACGAATTATGAAAAACTTTTTTTGTTATTCTTTCTTATTTGTTTGTCAGGATATTGTCAGTAGTAACTATTAGTCACGCTTAGGCGGATTGGCAACCCCAGTCAGGCTTTAGATATGTTTTAAGAGGGACACTGTTGTCCATCTCTCGCCCTCCCTTAGTCGACAGTTACCGAATTATTATTATTTGTTAATTATTTATCTTAATTCGTTATCCTATACTTTGCACAAATTAATAATTTAAAAATAATTAAAACTTAGTTAAAAGAATAAATATTTAAAATTAAGCATTGAATTTCCAAAAACCTTTGAAATTTATCTATTTATTTATTTTACGCGCTGTTATTTTATAAAATGACGCTTTGTTTTTTTTTTTATAAATTTTTTATGCTTTTAATTTCTCATGATGATGATTATATGTTATATTACATATTACTAAATATGTAACAATATTCCTGTATCAATTAGAAATCTCCATCAGAACAATCATCATATTCGTGTAGTTGACTCACCAGAGGGCGTCTTTGTAACGTCTCCCCCTGGTAAGCTAATGATTATCGTAGCAACAAATACATTGAGCGGTATGACGGTGGTCAGGCGAAGGCGTGACGAGCTACACGGCGACGGTGCTGCACGCGGCCAAGTCGCTGAGCAAGGGCCTGCGCGGTCTCGGCGAGAGCGTGGCGCACAGCCTGGCCGGCGGCCGCACCGCCTCGCAGTCGCCGTCGCCGCCGCACGCCGACACGCAGCAGCCCGGCCTCGTCACCGTGCTCGACATAGAGGTCGGTCTCATCTATGTACTTGTACATTGTGGGAATGGAATTGTTAGTAATGAGGTCTAATAGCCCCATTACTAGCAGTATACCCTCTAAGGTCGACCTCCACGCGTTTCCCATTGGAAACTATCATGATTATTTTTTGTCGAATTCATCATGGTGGGCCAACTGACCTGCATTCATTCTCACTTATCATCTTCCACTGGTGCCTCGTCGGTGTATACTTAAAGCGCGGGCGGGCTTACCATTCCATTATCACTCATTAAAATAAAATGGCCTTATCTATACTAATTTCATCAAAATATAAATGTGAAATGAGAGCCAAGTTCAATGATGTTTGATGATTGATGGATGAACGTGCAAATGTGGGCCGAGGCCTAATCGAGGCACACATACATGAGTCCATCAATGCCTAGTTGTGGCCAAGGCTTGTATAGTACTTTTCTCAAACAATGCGCGGAAATTAAAAACATAATTTTACTTTTTAAGTTCAATGACGAATAACGAACAATAATAATTTTCACGCGCTATAATGTTCGTTTGTGTTTTTTTTTAATAAACAGCTTTCTATTTGCAAGCCAGTTCAAAATTTAAATAAAATCTTTTATTAGTTACCTCCTTTGTAGCCATGATTCGAAGTAAAAGGTCATTCCATTTTTAAATTACAGGACAGATATAAGTTTACATAGTAATTTATCTGACCGTAAAACACGACAGATATGGATTTTCATATAACTTTTGCCGGCCGCTGCCCGCATGTATCTGGCCAGTACGGCAAGTTTGATTTATCTCGAAGATTGTCAAAATAATGTTCACATTTCCAAGCATGTTTGAGAAAATTTTATTTTGTGTACAGAGTAATGATGACGACGACGGGCAAGATATAGAGGAGCCGTACGATCCGATCGTGGCGCACTTCGTTGCCCACTCGGAGGCGATCATCGCCCTGAAGTTCGACGCGAGCGGCATGCTGCTAGTGACGGCGGACCGGCGCGGGCACGACTTCCACGTGTTCCGGATCAACCCGCACCCGTGCGGGCCGAACCTCGCCTCTGTACATCACCTCTATATCCTGCACAGGGGCGACACCACCGCCAAAGTACAGGTGAGATATTTTTACCAGAGGGAGACTTTGTACAAAAGTCGATTGCTTGGGTATCTCTGTCCCATTCGTGTTTCTACCGTGAAGCAGTTGTGTTTGCATGGCTGTGTTTCCGTTTGAAAGGTGGGATATGGCGTGAATTTATAGGGTACAGAGGAATAACATCTGAGTCCTCAGGAATGGCAACGTATAGGGGGGGGGGGGGTGTATCATGGGCGAAACAATATACTCTGTTATGTCCATGGTACTGCTCATGTTTATAGGCGACGGTTACCACTTTCCATCAGGTGGGCCGTCAGCTTGTTTGCCATTGTAAATTGTATAAAAAAAAAGATAGTTGTTTTTTTTACTTGAATGTTGTATGACATTTATCTAGGGATCAAAATCAACTAGGAATTGTTGATATTGATTGAGGGGAAAAAAAAAAAGATTTGCACACACCTTATAGAAATGTAATAAAAGGCTTACGGCAGTAAATTGGTTTTATTGTTGGTTTTAATCTTTAAAAAAATGACTGAAAATATGTTTTTTTTTTCAAGAAACTACTTGATAAATGAATTTTATATTTTCCTGATAATCCTTACGTTTTTTATGGCACTGTACAATGAAACAATTGGCCAATGTCAAATCGTGAATGGTAACAACATTAATCTGCATAACACATGAGCAGTACCTACCATTGGCATTACAGTGTATTATGTAATGCCCATGTTTTTGGGCGACGATTACCCAAATTGGGTGCACATTTAGTTTGGCATACTAAGTCCCATAATGTATGATTAGGTCGTATGAATTATGCTCTTTGCCTGTCCGATTTCGACGAATCTAAGAATCGTAAGTGTTATAAAGAAAATATGTTCCTTGTGTAGGACATCGCGATCTCGTGGGACGCGCGATGGGCGGCGGTGTCGACGCTGCGCGGCACGACGCACGTGTTCGCGCTGAGCCCGTACGGCGGCGCGGCCGGCGTGCGCACGCACACGCAGCCGCGCCTCGTCAACCGCCTGTCGCGCTTCCACCGCTCCGCCGGCCTGCCCATACACGCCGCCGCCGCCGCCGCCGCTGCCGCCTCCACCAGCCCGGTATGTCTAATACACGCTTCGTATATCACTGTCAGCCGCTGTCACCAATCAGCCCGGTGTGACGCTACTTTTACTGTATTCGATACATGGCCCCGTAACGCTGCAGTCCGGTGGAACGCTCTTATTGTATACAATGTGAATTTTTACATGTGTGAAGTTTAAAACAGCGGAAAGTTTAAATTAAATTTGTGTTTCGTTAAAAATCCTTATCTAATTGATCCTTCTTATTTATTTATTTATTAAGCTCTTTTTGCATCAAAGACATAAAAATAAACAAAGACATATAAGCAATTCAACTGAAATACATGAAGCACAGATTAAAATATACATATAAAGGTACAAAAGACGGTCTTATCATCGCTAGGGCAATCTCTTACAGACAACTTTTGGTTAAAGGAGAACATATAGAACTTCTTATTTACAAAACTTATATGGATCATTATAAAGTCAATGAATTAGCTTCCCAGTTGGGTTTTAAATTATATTTTGGACAATAACAGTTTTAAAAATTTTAAATTTGCTTTTTGGAGTATTTTTCGCTTTTGTATTATATGTAGATAATCTAATTTGAAACTATAAAAGTCTCCAATTAGGCTACCCTGTGTATGTGTAGCAGCCTATATTAGAACTTAGAAAATTCGACTTACATACATACATATCTGTCACGCCTGTCTCCCATTAGGGTAGGCAGAAACAATGTAACGACAAATGCTTCGATTCAAACAAACTTCTTACCTCAAAATTCGACTTGTGTATATTGTTATATAATACTTGTTTAAATATTGGAAGTATAATTGAATGTTTTGTGTCGCAGGTGACGTCCGGGTCGCAGGGCGCATGGTTCCCCAACCCGCGGCTGCCACCGTATCCGCTGCCCACGTGGGCGGCTCCGCTCGCGCAGCTGCGCCCCACCAACTTGCCCACGCACACCATCACGCGCACCAGCTCAGGTCCGTACACGCATTCACACGCACTGGCACACATGACCACGCACGCATGCACGCACGCACGCACGCTCATACGTGCACATCACGTGTGGCGTGTGTAGTTCAAACCGAAGGCGTACAACACGCATACAGGTTGATACATACAACAAAGTTAATGAATTTCCAAATTTAAGCAACTAATTACGCACACCACAGCAGTTTGATACACTCACACACAAGGATGTTAAGTCGGCCCGCTGGGTGTTTAGCTTTGTAATACATGATAGATAGATAATTTATTTGCATTACTTACACTACACAAATAACAACAGACAAAGATAGACATGCACAGTGAAAAAAGATAAAAGAATACAGATAGGAAAAATAAAAAAAAATACATAAAAGAAGTAGTACGAGTACTATGCAGCTACATACACCTTTAATATGTATGTATTTCCTTGACTCACAAACTTTCATCATTATTAGTGAAAAGACTGTATGAAATATTTTTACTAATTCTCAAAAAGGTAAAAAGAGCGCAGTTTTCTAATTAATATACAAGAAGCAGATAAGAATGAGATAGTTAACCAGACTTCAGACATATTTTTATGTTCTTTTTTTAATAAATAAACGTTTGATTTGGTCAGGTCGCCAACGATTGTCGTCTCTTTCGGAGGATAGTAACAGCGCGCCGCTATTAGCGCGCGCCCGCTTCGGTATGTGCATAAGCGGCAGCGGGAGCGTCAGCGGAAGCGGACGGGCGCCTGCGCCTGTCGCTGCGCTCTACCTCATGACCGCTAATGGAGCTTTGCTACATCTACTGTTGCACCCTCGCCCTGCATCAAGTACGTATCATTACTGTGATTTTACTTATTAGCTGATCGCGGAATTTTATATATTTCAACTATCGTGTATAATATAGTATATATCATATATGTGTAAGTATATTTGTTATTCATATATATTTATTCGTTTATATATGTAATTTTAGTATGTATGTATATCAATAATTAGTAGTACCGCATTCGAGTATTCTGACACTTCCCTATGGTTGACTGGGAGAGAATGCTTTTAGCATTAAGTCCGCCATGTACACATATTTGTACTAATGAATAAATAAATAAATAAATGTTATAAAGAGGAACAGTTTCATTTTTTGTTTTGCCATCATCACCATCATTATATCAGCCTTTAAATGTTCACTGCTAAATATAAGCCTCCCCCTTAGTGGGTCTTGCGACGACGCTTGGCAAGCAGATTGGCAACCGCAGTTAGTCTTTAGAGATGTTTTAAGAGGGAGGCTGCTGCCAAATCCTTGTACTTCCTTGGCACTCTTACGACACCCACAGGAAAGAAGAGGTGCCTTATTTTCGGCCAGGACCACACGGACAATTTTTTGTTTGTAATGGATAAACTCAATCATTGTTTAGCTGATTTAAAACATCCTTCCTTCCTTCACCCTTCAAAGCTACATTACCAGGAAGTAACATGGGCTGTATTTTATTTAAAAAAAATAATCATTTATGTCCAATATGTTGAACGAAATTTTGATGCAGGTTTTACATATTTCAATATGCCGAACGTTTGGCGCAGGTATACCGAAAGAGAAGATATGTGACGACTCGCCAATCGAGCTGGAGGTGGAGCCGATAGCTCAGTGGCCTCTGCAGCGGCCGCCCGCCGCTGCCGACCTGCTGGCACCGCTGCCGCCTTCCAACCCGCTGCTGCAACCGCACACCTACCGGGTGAGTACCCCATCAGCTCCGCCGAAATTCGTGTACAATAGACAAATGGGTCTACAATTTTGGAAACTGCAATTGGCATTGTTGTAGTAGTCTTTTTCATAAGTATTTATGGGCTGCGGTGGTTTCGTTTGCTACCTTAACAATTTGTATAGTAATATAATTACAAGGTGAGCTTTATTTGGCAGCGGTGTGCGGACATGTGCATGAGCGAGGAGGAGCGCTGGCTGTCGCAGGTGGAGATCGTGACGCACGCCGGGCCCCACCGCCGTCTGTGGATGGGGCCGCAGTTCGTCTTCAAGACCTACAGCTGCACTGGGTCAGTGCTCGTACATTATTATTTCAACCGTTAATTGTCCACTGCTGGCCATAAGACTTCCCCATAAATGGGGTTCTGCCTGTAGTTGCCACGCTTGGCGGGCGGGTTGGCAACCGTAGTTAGACTTTTAGAGATGTTTTAAGAGGGACGCTGCAGCCCGTCCCTCGCTTTCCCTTAGTCGCCTCTTAGGTCTATCACGGGAAAGGTAGGGGCGGCCCATTCTATGCCGTAATTGTAAAGATGTTTTCATGGCTGATACACATGAGCGTTTGAATGGCTCGATCGAATCTGATAATCCATACGCTACCTTAACTCGCGCAGTACAGTTATTAAATAATATAAATTTTATTGATTTCATTGAAATTTTTTCAGAGGGAGACTTTGTACAAAAGTCGATTGCTTGGGTACCTCTGTCCCATTCGTGTTTCAACCGTAAAGCAGTTGTGTTTGCATGACTGTGTTTCGTTTTGAAGGGTGGGATATGGCGTGAATTTACTGGGTACGGTGGAATAACACCTGAGTCCTCAGGAATGGCAAAGCGTGGGGGGTATCATGGGCGAAACAGTATACTCTATTATGTCCATGGTACTGCTCATGTCTATAGACGACGGTTACCACTTTCCATCAGGTGGGCCGTATGCTTGTTTGCCACCACAGTGGTATAATAAAAAGAAAAGCTTGTTTGCCATTCTAAGTTGTATAAAAAAAAGAAGGGTTAAAAAAGATAGTGGATACAATAGTAACGTACGGTACCCGTGGGCGCGGCAGGTCGAGCTCGTCGCTGTCGGAGGCGGAGACGGTGGAGGTGGAGGCGGGCGGCGCGGGCGTGGCGCGCTCCACGCCCGTCAACATGCCCGCCGCGCGCCCGCTCGTGCCCGTGCTCGTCGACTCGGGCTCCGCCAGTACGTACCCACTACCCACTACCCACTACCCACTACCCACTACCCACTACCCACTACCCAGTACCGCACGCTCATGAAGCGAGCATCATCATTTCACACACTATCCGTCCACTGCTACACATAAACCTCTCCCATAGGGGGGACGGGATTGTTTTTTTTTTTTTTTTTGACGGGTGATAATAGAATGGTAACACCGCCTGCGCTAACGGGATACGCTGGCGGAGCACCAGTGAAGGGTGATAGGTGAGAATGAAAACAGGCCAGTTAGCCCATCATGATGAATTCATCAGGAATTAACCATGATAGTTTCCAGGGGGAACCGCGAGGAGGTCGACCTGGTTGGGTATATTGCTAGCAATGGGATTCTCAGTCTCCATTACTAACAATCCCTTTCCCCCCGGAAGGGAATGGTTAGTAATGGCGACAAAAACCCCATTGCTAGCAATATACCCAACCAGGTCGATTCCTCGTGGTTCCCCCTGGAAACTATCATGGTCGATTCCTGATGAATTCATCATGATGGGCTAACTGGCCTGTTTTCATTCTCATCTATCACCCTTCACTGGTGCTCCGCCAGCGTATCCTGTTAGCGTAGGCGGGGTTACCATTCCATTTTCACCCGTCAAAAAAAACCTCCCATAAACTGCTATAAAGAATACTCCTGAGCCACCTGCATCCACTGGCTCCCAACGCATTTTAGGTCGTCACTCTATCTATTGGCGAGTCGTCCTACACTGCGCCACTCAAGAATCTTTTTTCCCCATCGGTTGTCGGTTCTTCGAGCTATGTGACTAGTCCATTGTCACTTCAGCTTGCTTATCCTTCGGACTATGTCGTTGCTTACTTAGTTATACAATATTATCATGCCTATTTCTAAATCAATTAGTCCATTAGCCTAAGGTTGTCTAGAAAACATTGCATTCACAAATAACACCGCATTTCTGTACCTATACAACTATATCGTTGTATTAATTGTCTTGCTTATTCATTTATGTATCACTAAACCGTGAACCAACTATGGTCTAAAGATAGATCTACAAAATATCTATTCGTATTGTTTATTTAGCATTTATTTATGTTTGAGGTTATGTCACTCTTGCGATAAGGCGAACAATTATTTTTATATTTTTTCGCATTTAAAATATTATTCATAGATTTTTGACATAAATAGTAAGTTCTAATTAATTTGTATAGTAATTTCGTAAAAAAAAAACATATTTTATATTCCGTTTCACGATACAATAACAATACGTAATAATTGGAAACAGTACAATGTAAGAACTCTTTAAATACTAAAGTTTATAAATATGTACACTGATATTTCCATGTACAGGTTCATTAGAGCAGTCTCCACTAGAGGGCGCTCGTCGCAAGTCGTTGGTGACCGAGTACCGTGGTAGTGGCAGCGGGGGCGCGAGCGGAGGCGGAGGAGGCGTGTGTGACGTGCAGCTGCGCGAGGACCTGGCTGAAGCCATGAAGGAAGATCACGGTAAGTTGCATGTGTACACGGAATGTTCGATATATTAAAACATAAAAAGAAAATTCATATTGGATCTAGTATTTGGACAGTTTATAAAAAAATAAGAAAAAGTTCAGGAATAGCATAGTTTTGAGGTAATTTTTCTTTTTAGTACGTAACGTTTTTAACTTTTAAGTTGTTAATTCGAAATGTTTTTAAGGCAAAACGAATACTAGTTGAATATTTCATCAAATAATAATATAATTTTGAAGAATACTGTCTTGTATCTAAGAAAGAAATATCGATTTTTCTTTGTTTTTTAAAACGCATGAAGTATGCTCGTAAAATTAGGGAAGGACTTGTATGAATTCGTGTATTTTATTGTCAATAAATTATTGACAAGAAACTTCGGATGTTTTTACTGCATTCATTATGTGGATCTAAAAATATTCGTATCTCATATCATTGCAACAAGAACTTCATTTACGCATATATCATTATCGGGTCGTAAATGGAAAGTGTGAACATCACCATGTGAATGGATCGCGAAAGAAAACGCAAGTGCGAAGCTCGTCAATGCGGAGGAGTTGCGAAGAAAGCATTATCATATATACGAGCGTCGAAACCGCCGCCGGACCTATACCGAAGCCAAAGGCATCCATCGCATTACCAAAACACCCCTGTTGGCTTTCGACTACCGTAGCGTCATGCTTTTTTCTAAATCTCCTCCGGTACTTAACGAGAGAGTAACGGTTGCCTTCGGTTTCGTATAGGGTGGCCGCGCGAGCGGGAAGCGGAAGCGGAAGCGGGAGCGGGGAGCGGGCGCGCGGCGCTCGTGGAGCGCGCCGTGGACCCGCTCGGGTGCGTGGTGGCCTCGCCGCCCGTGGCGCCGCCGCCGCCGCTCGACGCCGACCTGTACACGCGCGACAACCGCGACGAGGCCACCTTCCGGCCCGTCGTGCGCGCGCCGGCCGCGCTGCCGCCGCACCCGCCCGTGCTGGCGCGCCCGCTGCCGCGCACCACCACCATCCCCGTGCAGTCGCTGCCCGCCGCGCCGCCGCGGCCGCCGCAGCCGCCGCAGCCGTCGCAGCCGCTGCCCACCGACGTGGTGATCCCGGCCGCGCTGTCGCGCGCCTGGCCGCCGCCCACCGCGTGGGCGCGCGTCGCCGACCCCGCCCACGGCGACCGGGAGCCCGACCTCTCACAATCACTGCCAAAATCGAGCCGCTCGCCTGATATTCAGCCGGCGGCTCCACTTAGTGTTAGTAAATCTCCCACCCGTGAAACGTGTAGAGACGACGAACTTAGTTATAAGCGATCGGGGCCTATAGAAGCTGAAGAGTTTGAGCCCGATACAGTTAGTCAGAGTAGTGTGCCTAGGGATGTTCGAGAGCGAAGTGAAAATAAAGAAATCAGGGAACCAGTAGAATCTAAGCAGACGAAGGAAACCGGAAAAGTTAGGAAAGTTAGTGGATCTAGGGACACTAGAGAGTCTAGCATACCGAGAGTTAAGGAATCGAAAGAAATTAGAAAAAGCAGAAAATCGAGTGACTCTGTGGAGGTTAAGGATGATTTAAAAAATAAAGAATTCGGAGAGTCTAAAGAACTAAAAAGTAAACACAAGAGAACTAATGATCCTTGGGAAATTCAGGTACCTAGTACGTCACATGAGTATTCCACCTCCATAAATATTAAAGGACCTAATGTGTCGAGAGAAATAAAAGAGTCTAGTATCCCAAGAGAAACTAAGGAGTTTAGTATGTTTAGAGAAGAAGGTGAGCCAAAAACACCCCGAAAAAATAGAGAGTCCAAGAGAGAAGTTAAAGAAATTAGTGTTCCAATAGAAATCGAGAAAACTAGCATACCGAGAGAAGTTAAGGAGTCAAGTATACCTAGAGAAATGAAAGAATCCAAGACCTCAAGAGACAAGGAGTCTAGTGTACAAAGAGAAATTAAAGAGCCAGTTAAAAATAGAGATATGAAAGGTATGTCGGAAAATAAAGAAACTAAGATTAAAGAATATAAAACAAAATCTGTTGCGAGTATGTTCCAACAGGATGAAGAATACATTAAAGATGATTTAAAAATATCAGATAATAAGGAATTACTTGTTTCGAAGGAAGATCAATCCATTTCTACAACAGTAAAGTCTTGGAAAAAGGGTATTTCTCATATAAAATCCAAGGAATGGCAAGCCCATGATATTAAAACCGAGGATCAGGCATGGGACATGTTACTTAGTGAAGCCCAGAAACCTGCAATGGTAAATATTAGTCAGCAGGCTGTAGATAGCGACAAGAGTTCTGAAGAATCCAAGCCTAAGTCTAAGAGAAATCGTAAAGTTAAGAAAGCTCAAGATGATCGCCAAATTAAAGTTGAAGAGGACAGTTTTGTAGAAATACATGCTATAGAAGACAAGCAGCAGTCTTCTAGTGGGGAACTAGTTTCAATTTCAACTCCTTATGAGGATGCTGAGTCGTCTAGTTTTTACCTTCCTAAAACTAGAAAATCACGTGGATCTAAAAGTGTGACTCCGGAAAAAATCGATGCAACTGAGAAAACTGTACCTGAAATAGTTAATGAAGAGTCTCTAACAACAATTGATAAATATAATAGAAGTGAAGTTAAAGACAAAGATGCCTTGTCTGAATTCGGAACATTATCTGATTACAGCGCTGTTTTGAAATGTAAAGAAAAATCGAAAGACAAGCTAAAACCAGATGCGAAAGACGAATTTGTGCCCGAATGTGTCTCTCTCTCTTTGAAAGAAACGCTAAGATCAAAGAAAAGCAAATCTTTGTCACCATATACCGAAGCACGTAAATCAGCAGAACGATGTCTAGATACTGAAACAAAAGATGTGTACGTCATAGACACTACTAAGGAAGAATTTCCTGAAATTCAAATTACAAGAGGCAAACCACGTAAGAAGTCTCCGCAACCTATAGAAAAGAAAAATACGGAATGTGAAATGCCTGTTAAATCATGGAGTTCAATAGCCGCATCTAAAGGTAATAAGAAAGTCGAAGAAACCGAGAAAAAAGTAGAAGTGGTGAAAAAAGTTGAGGCGGTCAGTTTGAGAGATGAACTAAGAGACGCAGCCTGTTTTTTAGATGACAATATAGAGTCTTCCAAAGATATATCCTTGCAAGAGAAACTGTATGAAATATGCAAGCGAACAGATATAATGGTAGCAGAGTGTGACGCGCCCTCTGAGCTTAACTTTGTTGAAGAACATCATGCGGTTTTGCACGATTTACCTCCTCTAGAGCCCTTGGGTTTCGGCTTAGATGATTTTAAGCTAGAAGTGATGCGTGATAGCCTTTTAGATATTCACGATACTAAAATCACGAGTCCCATTTGTAAAATCAATATAGATGATATACTATCGTCAATAAAGGAAACCACTTCAAAAGTAATCGAATCGAGTACTTTTAACTTGATCGATTTAGAAAAGGTTCCCGCCAAGAGAGAGAAGGGTTTCAGCGTGATTGAGAGTCATAAGATAACATCACAAGAGGTAGGGATAGACGACGAGCCAAAATCGGACGACAAAGATGCTGAAATAATGGAGAAGTCATCAGACGACGACGGCACATCGCCTGTGGTGTCGACCGACAGTGACAAGGATGACAAGAAGGGCGCTGGCACATCTAAAACTATTCTGCCTTCTGCAAAGCAATTTAAATCTAAGAAGTCGCGTAGGAAGAAGAAGTAATATATCAGGTGATGTGTTCAAATAATTACTTGCTTAATAATTTTCATTGCAATGTACCCGTTAAATAATTCGTGGATTAGGTATCAAAATATTTGCTGCTATTGTAGTTGTGTTAGTTTTAAGTGAGGCAATTTAAAATTGATATGCACAGGTAAAAGACAAGAAAATATATTAAATTTAAAATTAAATAGTGCTCGAGCCTAATACGTAATACACATGATCTTATTACTATTATATTTCTGTCATATCGAAAAAAAAAATAACATAAAAATGTAAAAAAATTAGTAAAATAATAAAAATAAAACTGTCATTAGAATTTTTATGAAGATAAGTGACAAAGGAAAATAATACTTTATTATTAGTTACATGGACCACACGGTATTTGTAATTGGTAGTTTTTGATATTATTTTATTATTTTTTAAATATACTCGTAAGGAAATAATATCAAAGTGTTAGTATTTGATTGTATTATAGTAGTTTCAATTTATGTTCTCATTTAACAAACATAATATATTCCTAAACATCTAAGTTAGTGTACTAAACAAAGAAAAATATTATTATAGTTTAAGTTAGTCAATCTTATGATAGCCAGAGATATGTACACTATTATATTCATAAAAATTCTAACCATTTGCTACATATATCACTGATCCCTTAGTACTTATCTTGGATAGTTATGACCTCTAATATAGATGTATAAATGCCTTCTTAGTGAAATAAATATCGCCGTCTGATAATCTAATAATTAAAGGGATGCCAATCGCAGGATATAAAAAACACTCAATTTGTTATCGTCTGGTACTTTTGTCATATATAATCTGAAAGAGATAGACTTATTATTCTAGTTAGACTATTTTGTTCTATGTCGGACGCTAGTTACCGGATAGTTGTTGGTAGTGAATATTTTATTTTCATACTATCTTTTGCCCGTGACTTCGCTTGCGTGTGGTATTTGATTTCTTGCAAATTTTGATTTGAACCATATACCTAAATTTAAAATTTCACTTCTAAACATACGAAATTGTAAACAAACTTTCAACTCGTGTTTCACCCCCTTAGGGGTTGAATTTTTAAATTTCCTTATTGTTCACCTACATTATATAAAGAATCTATCTGCAAAATTTCGAGATTCTAAATTCAGCGGTTTCGACAGTTATTGTAAGAAGAAATAATTTTATGTTCGTATACTAATCTCTCTTTCATTTAAGAGTTTCCTCTTGTCGGTGCAACTAATTCATGTACCTTCTTCCAGCCAGCTCTATCCCAGGCCATATCCTTGACCTCCCTATACGACATGACACCTAGTGTTTCTTTTATCTGTCCCATGTAGTTATGCCTCGGTCTTTCTCTTCCTCTTTTGCCCTTTATTTTTCCCTCTACTATGCTCTTAAAAAAATCGTCATATCGTATAAGGTGGCCCAGCATTTTGCCTCTTCTATTCTCTATTATTTTATGTTTGTATACTCATACATACATACATACATATCTGTCACGCCTGTCTCCCATTAGTTTCTTGAGAATTCTTGTCAACAAATAACAATATTTAAAACCAGCAGTAGAAACCTTTTGTATCCATAACACAGGGTCTGTTTAGTTTAATACTAGATGGCGTTGTGTGTTATGTTGAAAAATAAAAAAAAGCAGTTTATTTTTATAATATAAAATTGACCACTCTATGAGCCGAAATTTTAAACATCAGTCGTTTCTTATCCATTATATACATATGAACATATGAAAATAAAAACACACGTCTAGATATTATTAATAAGTAAAAGTACTCGCTGATGACTCGATTCCATGCAAAGCCAATGTACATTTTTTTATTTTTTTTTATACAACTTAGAATGGCAAACAAGCTGACGGCCCACCTGATGGAAAGTGGTAACCGTCGCCTGTAGACATGAGCAGTACCATGGACATAACAGAGTGTACTGTTTCGCCTATGATACCCCCCATGCGTTGCCATTCCTGAGGACTCAGATGTTATACATTTCTCTGCTATCTGGACTATCACTACTAATTTGTCGGTGTCTAGTGTCCGACACAAGACAAAAGAGTACCTACATTAGTGCAGCGCCTTATTTGACGCGGAGCAATCGAACAATTTCCCGTGTGGTCCCTGCATAGAATAGGCCACTCCTTCCTTTCCCATAAGTGTCGTAAGAGTCGACTAAGTGAGGGCGAGGGATGGGCAGCAGCGTCGCTTTTAAAACATCATCAAAAATATAACTGCGGTTGCCGATCCGCCTGCCAAGTCTGGCAACTACTGGCAAAACCTCTAGGAAGAAGCTTATATTTAGCAGTGGACAGCTATAAGCTGATATGATGATGAGTTAAACAATTTATTTCTAGTTCTAATATTTATCTCTGAATAGACTTTTTTTTTTTAGGATAGAACGGTTTTCCTTTTATTATCTATGATGTCTTTCAGTCGTTAACTGTCCAGTCTGAACATGGGCCTTTCGCATAAGGAGGGTTTTGCCAGTAGTTGCCACGCTTGGCAGGCATATTGGTAACCGCAGTTACCAATATGCCTACTTTTGATCATGTATTTAGAGCGACGCTGCTGTCTATTTTTCGACTATTAAATTCCCTTAGTCGCCTCTTACGACGCCCATGGGAAAGGAAGAGGTAGCTCATTCTATGCTGAAACCATACGCCTTTTTCTTTTATATTTAAGAATAAATTATTGTTTTACAATAAAATTGTAAAACTCCTACTTAATATCCCCTTAATTTTATGATTATGAAACTGCATGGTGAAATAATAACTTATGGCCAGTGTCTTAGTGTACATAACCATTTACCTAATACTTTCTACCATTTTAGCTTGTAACATTTTGTTAACGGTAAAAAAATCTCGTCTTTAGAGCAGCTGTTTCAAAAACATCTCGATTTTTTTTCCATTTTAGCCAATTTCATTAAAACTTAGCATTAATACCTTAATGACGTTAACAGTATGAACTTTAAAATTCAGATATTGAATATATCAAATAAATGAGACAACCCTAAAGATTTAGGGTTGTCTCATTTATTTGTTGTTGTCTCATAAAATTTTAATTTGTTTTTTAAATACCAAATGCTCTCTCAATAACTAAAATAACTTGTTAGTGAAATACCGAATCTAACGCAAGCGCTCCTGTATGCCTGTACACACATGTCTTGTAAATATAATATAATTTATATGCAGTTTAATGACAGAGGCTTAATGTAATAGCGTTGATACTCATTTCGTTTGTTAATAAATTGTTATTAAGCAGTCTCGTGAGATTTTTGGGTGAACACTAATAAAAAAAATAATTAACATATTGTCAGTACCTTTACATAATATTACTATATTTATTTCGAACGTTTATTTATTTATTTTATAAGAGATAATTGGTAAAATTCGTACCAGTCATAATGTGATTGATTGCAATTGAATAAACGAAGAGCTTGAGCGTAAGTACGTAAAATATTGGGTTTCCACATGTCCCATATCTCGAGACTATTAGATTAAATGCCGGTAGAACAAAGACGGGTATTGGTTGCACAATTGCATCGTCTCTTGCTCTTGCAAATTGCATGTTTTATACAATATACAGGTTGATGTCGAAATTATTAGCATAATTTTAAGCCAGTGTTTTACCAGTGAAACTAACATTTTCTAAAGAAACTTTAATTTGGCACACGAAAAAAATTTAAGCTTCCCGAGCCCGTGGTATTTTCCATGGTATGTATGTTGAACCATGTTTTTGTCGTTTTTTAACCCATGTTTCTTTGGGAAAATAATTCAATTTGATTGCAATTTCAAATATATACAGGATATATTTAATATATATGTACAAATTCACAGTTAATACTTCGGCAGGCGGCAAATATTTATACTGATATACTTTCCGTGTTCGTGTTTGCCGACAATATCTGTGTCTCTGTGTCTATGTATACCTCGTAGTTCGCCTTCTATGCTTCTATAGGTAGCACTGTCTTGTACAACATGTGTATAGATCAATGACATCAGTATTTGCGTCGCTAGATACATATAATTGTTGTGTAACGTAATCGTACGGTACGTATTACCTTAATTTGATCACGGCTGTCTAATGTACAAAATATTTCGTCATTATCAAGTATTAAACATGTTTAGTAGCAATTTTTTTTAGTCTTTATAAGTTGAAACATGACAAATATTTTATTTTTTCTACGCGGTTTAAAAGTAAAAATGCTTTAATTTGTAATTGCTTACCTTTTTAATAAATAATATATATCTACGTATCTGGTGCATAATATTTACATTCATTTTGTTATTGTAAAAAATTAAAAAAAAAACTGTTATGTATAAATTATAATTAATTTATTAACATATGCATAATATGCAATCTTCTTAACATCTATGCAATATTGCTTTAATATAAAATTGAGATCTTTTTAAGAAAGCGTAAAATACATTTTTGTTTGCCACATAATTCAACCAAATATTGTTGATTGCCTACTTTATAAATAATGTAAGTGACAGTAAATTCGCTACTGGCTGTTTGAAAACCAATATATTATGATTATAGGTTTAACTGTATTAAAACTTCTATTTTAATTATAAATCCTTTTGTGTATAAATTTAAATTATAATATTTATATGTACATATTGCCTATTGTAACTAGAATACACTTTTAATTTTTATTTTTTTTTATAACATATTTGGCAGCAAATATATTATTAAATTGTTCCGTAGAGTTGATTCTATTATTTTTAAATTATACGCAGATGAATCAATAACTCAAAATATATGAAATAGGCCATATAGATATATGATAGACGAAATATACATATACCTACACGTACATGATATTACCAGATCTCAAATTGAGTTATAAGGAATAATGTCTCTACCTATTTCTAGGGTGATGGTAATTATAAATAGGAAATATAGTATCAAATAGGAACACACGTGTGCTATTTATTACATTCGATTGAATAATTGTTTACCAAAATTTCATGAGCGTGAGCACACATTGAAAAAGTTTTCATGTGACACAGTATGAAAAACTTATCTCGGAGAACCAGTCATCCAACGGATACATTTAGACGGAGCGATGTGTCTGGAATTGTCACGTGATTATTAGAGACGTATAAAGGCGTTGGACCACTGGTCGTTCTTTACGCTACGGTATGACTAATATAGGCGAAAATATTCTAAAAGGATATGTTTATATTGTATGCTATTTCTCTGGAAATAAAAAAAAAAAATCAAAACATTATTTCGTTATTGTACCTGCTAATGGAGGATATGTAGTTAGAATTAAAAAATAAAGAATATACTATTACTAGGCAGCTCTTTAATGTTAGTTTCGTATTATGAAGACAAGTTTAATAGATTGTATACTAGCGCCCCGCAACTGAAAAAAGATTTTTGTTTTATCTAATGTGTCAATTCTAAGGTTTAATCTCAAAATGTCCAAAGTGCAACGCACATACAGAAGTAAAACAATAGATTTAAATCTTAAAAAAACTTTGAAATGTGCATATTTTTAGATACTGGTCTTCTGCAGTTTGATTTTCTTGCAACACCCATGTAGGTTTTATATCTTGTATGCATTTTGCAAATTGGACATTGAGATTAAACAAATGAGAAGTGTGTCAAGGTGAATTTTGAAATTTATTGAGAGCTGTAACATGTTAATGAAATGTAATGTTACATCTTGGATTACATACTTAAGCTAAAGACTTGTACAGACAAGGAAAAATTCAGTTTTTCGCTCGTTACAACACATTCTTACATTCAATGTAGAATTTTGTCCTTTGATAAATAAATATTATCACAGACGATCCCTCGTTTCGTCATTTGAAAATTTCCCTTTGCGAGCCAACTGCCTGCATGGTACAACGTGTGCGTTGTACTATGCAGTTTAATTGTAACGAACAAAATGTACGCCGAGGATAGTCCGTTGTCTGTGCATGTTTATTATATACTCAGTGAATAGGGTTGTCAACGGCCGATACAATAATTTAACATCGACAGACCCTTAAGGTGCGATTGTTCGAACGTGTGACGTAACTTTAAAATATTAAAAAGTATAATATTGAAGTATTTTACAAGTGAAATGTAGCTTGTAAAATACTTAAATTGATACGTACTACTTTAACCAATTCAATGTAATAATGTAAACGTTGCACTTCGAATATGTTAGCGCTTAACACTTATGAATACGAAAAAAAAAAAATAGTAGCCCAGTTATGTGTTCATATTTTCACTACCACGAAACCAGTTGTTGTAGCTATATTCTTGTACATTGGAAGACAATTGTGCTGTTAAACAGTGGAACGATTTTTTATTTGGGATCCCCTGTTTCGTTAAATTTATTGTGATAATTTTTTTTCGCAGTCTACTCGATAATATGTTCCTTTAATTTATAAAACAAATTGTGAATTTATTTTTTTTGGGATTTTTATTGGAAATACTTATAAATATGAACTGTAATATATCAAAAAATTGGTAGCTTGGAGAATCCCAATGTTCGTACAAGTGCTGTAAAATTTAATTCTGTCTACTTAATCTAGTTACGGGATTCTAGGTGAAAATTGGCAACTATGTATTTCAAAAATTAATGTTTGTATCATGTCCCTTAAATTTATGTCTTTTGGACAGTGTTTTAACATTTACATAGATATTTTAAAATTCTATCAGGGCTTTATTTTTTTTTTCACATGATACTGCAGCAGTGGAGTGGCGCTTAGTTTCGAACACGTGTGAAAAGTGCCTAAGTTGACACACACAAATCTTTAAGCGCACATTACACAGATGGCGGTGTTGTGTGAAAGAATTTTATCATATTTATAGGATCATATATTCGACTAAGAGTCATAATTACAGGGTGGAAATAAGTGATCTCATTCATTTATACCTAAATTTTACTTGATATTTTAACACTTTAACATAATTCAAAATACGTCACTAGTTTACATAAATAGTTTGATCTAGATATGATCCTACATATATGATAATGTAATAATGCCCTAAGAAAGATATATTGTACAATTGGCATTGTTATAATTAGTAAAATTAAATACTATTACTGTGTCCTGCCTAGCATTCAAAAACATTTCGCTACTTGAGACAAAATATTTCAGAAGTATCTAGAATGTAAGGCTTCTTTCTGAACTGTATGTACAGTATCGTTTTTAATCTCTAACCTTGCTTTAAATTACGCAGTACTTCTATGCGAGTGTCGAACTACTTATATAATTTTAAACACACGGTGGATAATCTGTGACAAATTGTAGAGTACCGAATAAAATGATACTGTACTTATAGGTAAATCAGGAAGTGCCATAACTTGTATTTCAATTCGTAGATAACAAATTAATCGTCGATAATGATTTGCGTGTTACGAAATTTAAAATTAAGTATTTTAAATTTGGCTGCCTTGTCTCAGTATGATTTTGTTGTTAATGTTATATGGAGTGTTTTAAAATTCGTAATATAGTGCATAATAATAAAAATGAAAGATCAAAAACAGATTTGCGTTTTTTTTTTTTTATTTAATTTTTCTAAAGTGTTCTTTAGGAAATTTAATACCATCCTGGCATTATAAAAACATTAAATGCGGAATATAAATATATTTTAGTTAACGTTTCATTTCTCAGCTACCTACCTACATTCTCAATTTGAAAGAAAGCTTATTAGGGACAGGAAGTTTTTGAAAATATTTTAATCACATTATACAGTGACCGCATTAATTAGAATTTAATATTTAAAAAAAGTATTGTTATTAAACTACCACTAGAGTTTAAAAAATGTAGGTGTACATTAATATGAAAAATCTAAAATAACGATTAGATTATCTTATGAGTACAATTAGGGCAATAGGAAACCACTCTTTGATTATTAATTATTGAAAAATATTCAAAATTTACAGGGATTTAGTTACTCACATCTTTATATCTATAAAAAATATTGGGCGTGAATCTATTACTCTCAATATTTATATATAGGTTTTTTTTTATAATTATGACGTTTTAGTTTTCATTTGTCAAAATTCGAGTGTATTGTTTGTTCATTTGTTTTTTTTTTATAATTGCTATGAATACATTTATTCTAATTGCAGTCATAACGGGCAGTGGCCGCTACGAGGCGGAGCCGGAAGAGTTGAGCTCGAGCAGCTTCAGCTCAGCGTCCCGCGCCTCCCTCGATCCGCCGTCCTCGCCCACGCCGAGCTGCAGCGGTGACAACCTCCTGCACTTCCCCGGAGACTCCAGCAGTTCCGTTTAACACGCTCACTGTCTGACGCCCCACGTAGATAATAATATCCACACACACTTGGATAAGGGATCTCGTTAGCATGATATCGGTAATTCTATATTATCGTGAATGGAGTATCGATAATTTTCATTTAAATTCAAATTTAAATAGGTATATTTATTTAATTTTTAATTACTTAATACACGTTTATTAACATTTATTATGCTACCATGATTATGTATCAGATCTAATATCGATATTAAAATGTCGATGTTTTACTCCTTCGATATTGATATTTCGATAATATCATCTCTCATCCCTAACTTGGATTTAATATGATACATTTGTATCAACTTTACGTGCTGGTATTTTACCCCCTTATTATCATGTGAGCCGCGTTAGTTTACTTTAAGCTGTTTTGACAAATAGGACACTGGGATGGCAACACTTGGGTTGTTTGGGCGTAACAGTATACTTTGTTATGCATTTTTTTGTACAGTCACACACAATAATATCTAAATGATAAATGTAGCTAATAAACTGCCTGTTTATTAACTCAACCAGTACAATTATAAAAATGTAGGTACAACTGTTATTACGAGGTTAACAATGTAGTTACTCGAGTAGTTATTTAGTTAGTTGGCGAAACAGTATGTTATGTCCATGGTACTGTTCATGTCTATAGACGACGGTTACCACTTTCCATCAGGTGGACCGTCAGCTTGTTTGCCATTCTAAGTTGTATAAAAAACTGCTCGCTCATGAAATAGGTACACTCGGTACCTAAACGGACTTCAGTTTTACGATTCATATTTGTTCATAAAATTATTTCGAAAATTGTTTAGAGGTTTTACAAAAACAAATTATTGGGCATTTATGTAAAGGATTTGTACGGAAGGTGGTTTACTATCAATAGCTATTGTTATATCGCAGTATATAGTAAAAATAACACGTTAGTTTCATATAGACTGAGGTACTTGCGTTGTCTATATCTCTATTTATCAATGTGAATGAATGAACGAATTAAGTTGTTTCTCTCAAAGAAAGATACAAACATAAATTGTATAGACAAAATATCGCTAATTCTTAAAAGAGATTTTGCGTCACTCTGCGTGTTGTACCGCTTGTACAACGGAATGTGCTCAGAGGAATTGTTCTAGAGGAATATGATGATGCCCACGGCCACCTTCTACCATCGTACAGCTCACCATCGACAAGGAGTTCACCTCCCATAACTTAAAACTTAGATGGTCGTGTACAGCGCAGTTTCAGAGATGTTTCCTTGTACGAATGCTCAGGTTATAGAGTGAACTTCCTGTCGAGGTTTTTCTAAGGGGCTACAGCATGGGGTTCTTTAAAAAAGGGATAAAGAAATTCCTTCAGGGTCGTTCATAGGCTACGGTAATCACTTCTCATCAGGTGGGCTGTATGCTTGTTCGCCACATCAGTGGTGAAAAAGAAATGGCTATCTTTTCTAAACAATTTTGGGATAGAGAGGAATAACTAATTAGTCTAGTCGAGGTATACGAAATAATAAAAAAAAGTAACAAGAAGATTCAATACTTTAATGTCGACTAATAATTTTGGATAGATTGTTAATTCAAGAAGATAAAAGTTCAAATTTATAAAAGGTAGCTGTACTTTGTTTGTGTCTTTTTTTTTATACAACTTAGAATGACAAACAAGCTGACGGCCCACCTGATGGAAAGTGGTAACCGTCGCCTATAGACATTATTTTATTTTATTCCCAAATTTCTAAATTCATGCGTCAGAGACAATAATAGTCTATGGCATGCTGCATGAGACGATTTTTGCAAGTGAACGAATCAAGAGATTATCTTTTAGAGGTTAAAATCCATTTAACTCGGGCTACTGCGTGGGGACTTCGCTTCAAAATATTTTGATAGATTCATTAAACATTAGGTAACATATCCAATAAACAAAAGCATGTCGAGGACAAATGTGGAAGATAAGAAAATACATACATGTGTGTGTGTGTGCAGTGAATGTGTTAATACTAGACTTATATTACATATGTAATAGTTAATGTCGACGTAGGTAAGGTCCGTCTAGTTAGAATGGGGTCGAATTTGAGGTACCATCTCTCTAAATGTCTTAACCTAATATTTTTATTTGATAGTTTCTGGAACTTACTGTTTTATGGACCGTCATAAACTAAATTGATAATAATTTTGACTTACAGAGAGCTAGAGTCTGAGAAGCCATTTTCTAAATGTATCTCTAAATTAAAATTAAAAAAAAAAAACAATAATCTAATCTAATGTTACGATCCATTAAAGACTAAATTGAACTTAGTCCTAACTGAAATTATTTATTATAAATTTAATTATTGATCTCTGGAATATAGATTTTATTATTGTATTTTTTTGAATATTTAATTTTTGAGGTAGACAATGGTGCTTCTGAAACGACCTTAGCTCTTAAAAACGAGAGTATACTATTGTAGAAGAAATAATTAATTAATCAATAAGGCTTTCATTGAAGCAAGGGGTCAGGTTGGAAGTGAAACGAGGACAGCGAATGATAACTGCCATAGCCGTGCACACGATTTGCAAACGTATTCAAGTCTTTCACGGTGACACGTGTACAATTATTGTGATAACGCCCGTTTAAAAGGACAAAACTTTGATAATAAAATTAACCGATTAAGTACATGATATACTGTTAGCGTAGCATTGTATTGTATGATTCATGAGTTAATCTCATAATTAAACAAAATACAATACTATTTCATGATATTAAATTATTTTTTTCAATTATACTGCAGTATTTAATCATGTTAAAAATATGTTAATTTTATACGACTGATACAAAATTAAAATGCCTTTAAAATTAAAATACTTAACAAAAGAAAAATGGAACGCCTCTAAATTGAGAAGTTATTTTTTCTTATAAAACAATGAAAAATAAAAACAAAAACCAATATTTTTATAATGTGCGCTAGATTTTGATTACCTTTTTAACAAAAATTTGCACAGCATTTATTTAAATAAAAAAAAATTACGAAGGGTTATTATATGGATGACAATGGAATTGTAATTCAACCTGCGCTGTATATGCTGGCGGAGTATCAGTGAGGAAACATAGGTAAGGATGAAGTGGGTTCAGGTGGCCCATCGCGACAAACTCTCCAGGAATTAACCGCAACGGTTTCCGGAGTAGGCCACACAGAGGTCGCCCTGAAAGGGTATTATTACCAATGGGAATTGGAGTCAGCATTACTGACAATCATTCCCCCCCCCCCCCCTCCCGTAATAAGATGTGCTATGCCCAGTCTGTTACGCGTGTCTACAAAAAAGTATATACAAGTTGGAATGGGCGTAGTAAAATAGTAGTGTTAATGTAGGTAAGTCGATATAAAATGTTTTGCTACGAAGTCTGTATAACGTAGAACACTCCCTTTAAAAAAAAAACAAATTAACTTAAAGATAATTAACAATACTTCTATTGCACTTACATAGACTTTCATATAGTTAAATATGATGTACTTATACATTATTGTTGCTTTTCAATAGTTGATTTCATGATTTGCACCTACTGTTCTTTGTTATAAAGTTTCATTTTGATAATTTTCATTTGTTTCAATCATTTTGCTTGCATTTGTTTACCATAACTGTGATATATGTAGACATTATAGACTTGTATAGATTAAATGGAATTTATAGGACAAAGAACATTTGTCAGTATAACAAAAACACAACACTGTACACTATTTGACTTAATTTTTCTTTGTATTTATTATCAAACATTCCAATATCTTTGAAAATAAATCAACATGTTGTCATAATATTTTTTTTTATTTATACAGACGGACCGCTCGCTTCCGTTGAAAGTGTCTTCCTTATTTAATCATTACTTTTTATTTATGAATAATTATTTAATTGCCGTTTGTTACGTGAATATTTGTATACCTATTGGTAAAATAAAACTGTAAGTAACATAACAAAGGATTGAAACGTACTTATAACTATGTATAGTGGGTATCTTATAAGTATCGTAGTAATGCATAATATTCGTGAATTTAATTGGTAGAGAATTTAATAAAAGAAAAATGTTTTGTTTTTAGGAACGAATCGTTTGACTTTGTATTGTTTCTGCCTAGTTCAATGGGGGCAGGCGATTTTTATATGAATGTAATTAAGCTTGTATCGAACGTCGAATGTTTTAGTCAGATGATATTATTTGATCTTATATTGTTATTTAAATAAAAGTAGATGCCCTAATTAAGTACTTATACCGTAATTCGTAGTCATTAC